GATAAACCAGGCCCCTACACTCGGCTTTGAGAACGACGTTGGATCGAAGACCACTCACCATTTCATGTACCCCGAAAGCGCAAAAAACCTTCCGGCCAACGTCAGCTTCGTCCTGGTCCCTTTCAAAGCTCTAGACCTGCTGTGGATCACCAGCGCCCTCTCCACGGGGAAAATCCATTTGTCAGTATCCCAATGATATGGAATAATGTATACAGTGCCTTGAAAAAGTATTCATACCCCTTGAAAGTTTCTACATTTTGTCATGGTACAACCAAAATTGTAAATGGATTTTATTGGGATTTGATGTGATAGACCAACACAAAGTGTCACATAATTGTGAAGTGGAAGGAAAATGATAAATTGTTTTCAAATTTTCTTTTATAAATAAATATGTGAAAAGTGTGGTGTGCATTTGTATTCAGCCCTCCGGAGTCAGTACTTTGTAGGACCCCCTTTCCCTGCGATTCCAGCTGCACGTATTTTTGAGGATGTCTCTCCCAGCTTTGCACATCTAGAGAGGGACATTTCTGCCCATTCAGATTGGATGGAGAGCATCTGGGAACAGCAGTTTTCAAGTCTTGTCACAAATTCTCAATTGGATTTCGGTCTGGACTGTGATTGGGCCATTCTAACACATGAATATGCTTTGATCTAAACCATTCCATTGTAGCTCTGGCTGGATGTTTCGGGTCGTTGTCCTGCTGGAAGGTCAACCTCCGCCCCAGTCTGAAATCTTTTGCAGATGCTAACCGGTCTTCTTCTAAGATTGCCCTGTATTTGGCTCCATCCATCTTCCCATCAACTCTAACCAGCTGCCCTGTCCCTGCTGAAGAAAAGCATCCCCTCACCATGATGCTGCCACCACCATGTTTCACAGTGGGGATGGTGTGTTCAGGGTGATGAGCAGTGTTAGTTTTCTGCCACATATAGCGTTTTGCTTTTAGGCCAAAAAGTTAAATTTTGTTCTCATCTGACCAGAGCACCTTCTTCCATAATGTTTGCTGTGTCCCCCACATGGCTTCTCGCAAACTGCAAACAGGACTTCTTATGACTTTCTTTCAGCAATGGCTTTCTTCTTGCCACTCTTCCATAAAGGCCAGATTTGTGGAGTGCAGGACTGATAGTTGTCCTGTGGACAGATTCTCCCACCTGGGCTGTGGATCTCTGCAGCTCCTTCAGAGTTACCATGGGCCTCTTGGCTGCTTCTCTGATGAATGCTCTCCTTGCCCGGCCTGTCAGTTTAGGTGAACGGGCTTGTCTTGGTAGGTTTGAAGTTGTGCCATACTCTTTCCATTTTTGGATGATGGATTGAACAGTGCTCTGTGCGATTTTCAAAGCTTGAGATATTTTTTTTATAACTTAACCCTGCTTTAGACTTATCCACAACTTTATCCCTGACCTGTCTGTTGTGTTTTTTGGCCTTCATAATGCAGTTTGTTCACTAATGTTCTCTAACAAACCTCTGAGGGCTTCACAGAAAAGCTGTGTTTATACTGAGATTAAATTACACACAGGTGGACTCTATTTACTAATTATGTGACTTCTGAAGGCAATTGTTTCCACTAGATTTTAGTTAGCGGTATCAGAGTGAAGGGGGCTGAATACAAATGCACGCCACACTTTTCAGATATTTATTTGTAAAAAAATTTTGAAAACCATTTATGATTTTCCTTCCACTTCACAATTATGTGCCACTTTGTGTTGTGCTATCACCTAAAATCCCAATAAAATACATTTGTTTTTGGTTTAAACATGACACCATGTGGAACATTTCAAGGGGTATGAAGACTTTTTTAAGGCACTGTAAAATAATTGGTTGGTATTTGTTATGACTAAAGCAGACCATACATTAAGCAATTTTCCCATGGTTACAGGAAAGAAATTGCTTGATTTCCCGTTAACACATTCAGTGTTATTGGGGGAAGGGATCCCGCCACAGAGCTTTTGTATTCTGACAGCAGGTTTCCCAGCTGTCAGAATACAATGATCACTGCTGGCGGCTATAGCAGAAATTAGGGTGATCTGAGGTCTGATGGTGCAGGAATTAGGGTCATCTGAAGGCAGGGATTGGGACTGATCTGGGAGATTAAAGGCACAGGATTGGGTGGGATCTGAGGGACAAAGGTGCAGGAATTGGGGACAGGGGGATCTGATGGGCGAAGGCACAAGAATTGGAGATGGGGGGGATCTGAGGGGCGAAGGTGCAGGAATTGGGGACAGGGGGATCTGAGGGGTGAAGGCACAGGATTGGGGGGGATCTGAGGGGCGAAGGTGCAGGAATTGGGGATTTCTGATGGGCGAAGGCACAAGAATTGGGGACAGGGGGATCTGAGGGGCAAAGGCGCAGGAATTGGGGATGGGGGGGGATCTGAGGGCGAAGGAGCAGAAATTGGGGATGGGGGGGATCTGAGCGGCAAAGGCGCAGGAATTGGGGACATGGGGGGGGGATCTGAGGGGCGAAGGCGCAGGAATTGGGGACAGGGGGATCTGAGGGGCGAAGGCACAGGAATTGGAGACGGGGGGGGGATCTGAGGGGCGAAGGCGCAGGAATTGGAGACGGGGGGATCTGAGGGGTGAAGGTGCAGAAATTGGGGATGGGGATTTCTGATGGGCGAAGGCTCAAGAATTGGGGGCGGGGATCTGAGGGGCAAAGGCGCAGGAATTGGGGATGGGGGGATCTGAGGGGTGAAGGAGCAGGAATTGGGGATGGGGGGGATCTGAGGGGCGAAGGCGCAGGAATTGGGGGACGGGGGGGGATCTGAGGGGCGAAGGCACAGGAATTGAAGACGGGGGGATCTGAGGGGTGAAAGGTGCAGGAATTTGAGACGGGGGGATCTAATGGGCGAAGGTGCAGGAATTGGGGTGGATCTAAGGGGTAAAAGGAGCAGGAATTGGGGACACAAGATCCTAGGGGTGAAAGGTGCAGGAATTGTGGGGATTTGAGGGGTGAAAGGTGCAGGAATTGTGGGGGGGTGGAATCTGAGTGGGTATGATGAAAGGTGCAGGAATTGGGGGATGGGGGGATCCGAGGGGTGAAGGCACAGGAATTGGGGACGGGGGGATCTGAGGGGTGAAAGCTGCAGGAATCGGGGGGGATCTAAGGGGTAAAAGGAGCAGGAATTGGGGACAAGGGATCCGAGGGGTTAAAGGTGCAGGAATTGGGGGGGAGGGTCTGAGGGGTGTCGGATCTCTGTTCAGGGGACATGTGGGTGTGTATGTGGGGTGAGATTCCCTCCATATGGTGGTTTTGGACGCAGTTTCTGACAGTCGCTTTTTCTTCTTGCAGCACGTACGCCCCGGTGAAGCACTTCCTGCGGGTGGATAAGGATAAGGTGAGATTGTATTTATAGAATATCATCTTGTGTTGACCGAATGAACTTATCAGATCCTGGATTACAGAGAATGATGGATTGGCCCATCCTAAACCTATTTAAAGGGGAAGCAAGGCTGAAAAAACCCATGTGATATTGCGCACCCTCTAAAGCCCTGGTGCTCAAGCTGCTTCCCTTTTGGCTCTCATTGTGTGGCCCCTGGGACCTCTGCAGATAGTCTGTTCTTTCCCACTGAAGGAAAATACTCTGTAGACTGAATTCTAGTACGTGAATGGGTTGTTTTATTCACTATCTTTGTCCATCTTTTTCTCAGATCTTTGACATATCAAAAGTGGCAAAAGTAGGGAACACAAATGTGGAAGCAATAACAAAAACTAGCTGTGATCTCTAACAGTCTTATGTAATGTGAATCCAGCCTGACTGACTGCCTCCTAAAGCATGTCCACCGTTTCTTTAAATATGCCCCATATCCCCACAAATTCCTTTGGGTATGCTATAAAAGATGGTCAGAGACTACATACAGTTGTGTTCAAAATAATAGCCGTGTTTTGAAAAAAAGTGAATAAAGCTCAAAATCCTTCTAATAGCTTTTATTTCCATCCACACAAATGCATTGGGAACACGACACATTCTATTCCAAATCAAAACATGAAGAAAAATAGATCAAATTTGTGTTGTTCCTCTAAAAAAATTAAGAAAATGAATATTAGACTGTTCAAAAAAAGCGCAGTGTTTGTATTCTTCTTTACAAACTCAAACATTCACTATATATAAACTGAGAAATGTTTGAAGATTTTGCTTTCCTTTGAATGACTTCATGAATATTTGGTTGTAGTCGCACTGTTTCTGAGAACTGCTGTACATCTGTGTTGCATGGAGTCACCCAACTTCTGGCACCTGTGATCAGGTATTCCAGCCCAGGATGATTGGACTACATTCTACAGTTCTTCTCTATTTCTTGGTTTTGCCTCAGAAACTGCATTTTTGATGTCACCCCACAAGTTTTCTATTGGATTAAGATCCGGGGATTGGGCTGGCCACTCCATAACGTCAATCTTGTTGGTCTGGAACCAAGATGTTGCACGTTTACTGGTGTGTTTGGGGTCGTTGTCTTGTTGGAACAGCCATTTCAAGGGCATTTCCTCTTCAGCATAAGGCAGCATGACCTCTTCAAGTATTCTGATGTATTCAAACCGATCCATGATCCCTGGTATGCGATAAATAGGCCCAACACCGTAGTATGAGAAACATCCCCATATCATGATGCTTGCACCACCATGCTTCACTGTCTTCACAGTGTACTGTGGCTTGAATTCAGTGTTTGGGGGTCGTCTGACAAACTGTCTCCGGCCACTAGACCCAAAAAGAACAATCTTACTTTCATCAGTCCACAATATGTTGCGCCATTTCTCTTTAGACCAGTCAATGTGCTCTTTGGCAAATTGTAACCTCTTCAGCACATGTCTTTCTTTCAACAGTGGGACTTTGCGGGGGCTTCTTGCAGATAGCTTGGCTTCACATAGGCGTCTTCTAATTGTAACAGTACTCACAGGGAACGTCACACCTTCTTTCATCTTCCTGGAGCTGATTGTTGGCTGAGTCCTTGTCATTTTGGCTATTCTTCTATCCATTTGAATGGTAGTTTTTCGCTTTTCTTCCACGTCTTTCAGGTTTTGGTTGCCATTTTAAAGCATTTGCGATCATTTTAGCTGAGCTGCCGATCATTTTCTGCACTTCTTCTTTATGTTTTCCCCTCTCCAATCAACTTTTTAATCAAGGTACGCTGTTCTTCTGAACAATGTCTGGAACGACCCATTTTCCTCAATTTCAGAGAGAAATGCACTGTAACCAGCATGTACAACATTTGCTGCCTTCCTTCCTTAAATAAGGGCAATAATTGCCACCTGTTTTTCAAAGAATGAATGACCTCACTAATAGAACTCCACACTGCTATTATTTTGAACATGCCCCTTTCAATTAGTGATTCAATGACACAGAATCAGCAGCATGCATGTCATGACTGTTGGGTCTGTTGGATTTCTATTACTCTACTACACCTGCTAGTAAATTATTTGCCATGTAGAAATATCATTTCTACCAAAAACAGCGATTGATCCGGTTAGTGATGTCTGACTGCTATTATTTTGAACACAACTGTACATGCCACAAGAAATGGTCAGAGACTGCAGACACAGTCTCTGCCCGTCACCTGTAGTCTGTTCTTCAGTCTCCCACCATCTCCCATAGCATTACATACACTGGATATTATGTGCGATTATCTGGGACCACACTTTAGGTCCTCATATTAGATAAGTTGACTACTGCTGGTCTAAAGTCACAGCCCTGTCATCAATGTGAAATGAGGACTGGCTCATCATAGCGACCCTAGAAATATATGCAATGTGCAGCACAGACAGTTCATCCTTCACCTCTCCTGTGGTGACAAGCTGTGGTCACATATAGGGTGAGACAATGACACCTGATGCTGTATCTGAGAGATGTTTGTTTGTCACACAGATTTCTGTTTACAGGTCCAAATCTACAATCCAGCTTTCTTTAAATATATCCACGACAGCTGGACAGAACATCATGGCCGCTACCCCTCCACCGGCATGCTGGTCCTTTTCTTTGCTCTTCATGTCTGCGATGAGGTGAGTTAATGGATGCCATCTGGTGAAGTCTGGACACTCCGCAAAGTCCCAGCTCCTTCATCGGTGTTGCTACTTTCTATCTAATCATGCTGCCTGTGCTGGCCCAGCTCCTCCACCTTCCCCTCACGTCTCTACATGCACTTTTATGTAGCAGCTGGGGGAATAATAGTGCCACTTGAGCGACTGCTTTGAATCTGCTGGGGATGCTGACATCACATCCAATAAAAACAGGAGCTAAAGTAGCCGCTGCTATAATTAAAAAATAAATAAATAAATAAAGAAGACTGCCTGACACACTGTTTCTAACCAGACTCCTCCTGTTCAGACGGGGTAGGTAGGCAGGCAGATGGATACAAAGTAACATTGTTTATAAACATTGATCAGACAGGTCCATATCAGAAATGTAAGAACTGTTCCATGGCGTGTGTACAGGGGAGGAAAGCTGAACAGGTTAACCACTTGCCACCCATATCTGCACACTGGCACGCACCCTGGGACTTGCAGTGGTGCAATCCTGTGACCATGTGTTTGGTGAATGCAGCGGATCACAGTATCGTGATCACTAGCATGTAAGCAAAACTGTCATGAATGGATTTCATTCATGGCAATTTGCTTACTATTGTGATGCTGTGAACGGCCCACAGCTATCACATGGTACCTAGCTACCTGTACCATGTGATAGCTCTGAGCCAATCACAGCTGTAAGTAAACTGTCATGAACAATTCCATTCATAACCATTTTAAAACGATTGCTTACAACAGTGATCATCCTTTGTTATAAGCAGTCGCAAAAAAAAAAAAAAAAAATGTCAATAGTCAGTATCCCTGATCACCGCCATACGTCATATGATGATGCTGTACTGCACTGGTGTTTGTAAAGAAAAAAAAAATTGTGGGGGGGGGGGGGGGGAAGTATTTTTTTAAATTTTCCAAACAAATTGTGACCTAAAATTGCAACTTCAAAAAGCGTGCATGCCTCTTACCGAATACCTCAGACTCTGATTTCCAAAAAGGTGTCATTTGGTATAATACTGTATAATAATTGGTTGGTGGGTGGGCATTTGCACTGTCCTGGCATTTTAGGGTTTCAAGAAATTAGATCAGTCAGTACATCAGGGTTGATCGATTTTTTCAAGTATCCCATAGTTTGTAGACACTGTAACTTTCACACAGACTAAATAAAGTACATTGATTTGGGTGATTTTTACCAAACAAAAGTTGCAGAATACATTGTGGCCTAAATTCATGAAGAAAGATTTGATTGCAAAAGTTTGTAACTTTTTCTGTTTACAAACTTTTTTACAATTAACTCTTTCTTCATAAATTTAGACCACAATGTATTCTGCAACATTTCTTTGGTAAAAATAACCCAAATCAATGTAATTATTTAGTCTGTACATTATGGGAGAAAAATTTTATATACAGTGGGGATCGAAAGTTTGGGCACCCCCAGCTAAAAATTTGTATTAATGTGCATAAAGAAGCCAAGGAAAGATGGAAAAATCTCCAAAAGGCATCAAATTACAGATTAGACATTCTTATATGTCAACAAAAGTTAGATTTCATTTCCATCATTTACACTTTCAAAATAACAGAAAACAAAAAAATGGCGTCTGCAAAAAGTTTGGGCACCCTGCAGAGTTAATATCTTGTACTGCCCCCTTTGGCAAGTATCACAGCTTGTAAACGCTTTTTGTAGCCAGCCAAGAGTCTTTCAGTTCTTGTTTGAGGTATCTTTCCCCATTCTTCCTTACAAAAGTCTTCCAGTTCTTTGAGATTTCTGGGCTGTCTGTCACGCTCTGCTCTATTAGGTCTATCCATAGATTTTCAATTATGTTGAGGTCAGGAGATTGTGAAGGCCATGGCAAAACCTTCAGTTTACGCCTCTTGATGTAATCCCCCGTGGATTTCGAGGGTGTGTTTAGGATCATTATCCATTTGTAGAAGCCATCCTCTCTTTAACTTCAGCTTTTTCACAGATGGCATCAAGTTACCATCCAAAATTTGCTGAAATTTTATTGAATCCATTTTCCTTCTACTCATGAGATGTTCCCTGTGCCACTGGCTGCAACACAACCCCAAAGCATGATTGATCCAACCCCATGCTTAACAGTTGGACAGAGGTTCTTTTCATTAAATTCTGTGCCCCTTCTTCTCCAAACGTACCTTTGCTCATTCCGGCCAAAAAGTTCATTTTAACCTCATCGGTCCACAGAACTTGTTTCCATAATGCATCAGGCTTGTCTATATGTTCATTTGCAAAGTTCAAATGATGATTTTTGTGGTGAGGACGTAGAAGAGGTTTTCTTCTGATGACTCTTCCATGAAGACCATATTTGTACAAGTATCTCTTTATAGTGGAATAGTGTACCACAACTCCAGTGTCTGCCAGATCTTTCTGGAGGGATCGTGCAGTCAAACGTGGGTTTTGAATTGTTTTTTCTCACAATCCTGCGAGCTGTTCTGTCTGATATTTTTCTTGGTCTTCCAGATCTTGCTTTAACTTCCACTGTTCCTGATGACTGCCATTTCTTAATTACATTCCGAACAGAGGATATTGACATCTGAAAACGCTTTGCTATCTTCTTATAGCCTTCTCTAGCTTTGTGAGCGTCAACTATTTTCAGTTTCAGTTTTCTAGACAACTGCTTAGAAGAACCCATGGTGCTGATTGTTGGGGCAAGGTCAGATGAATCTGGGCATTTAAAACCTTTGAGCTTGACATCACCTGGTCTTCCCAGACGATGATTGAGAACAATCCATGACACTGGCAGGTCTCAGCTTGGCAAAGCAGTGCATGCTATAAATTCTGCAGGGTGCCCAAACTTTTGCAGACGCCATTTTTTTGTTTTCTGTTATTTTGAAAGTGTAAATGATGGAAATAAAAATCTAACTTTTGTTGACATATTATAAAAATGTCTAATCTGTAATTTGATGCCTTTGGAGATTTTTCCATCTTTCCTTGGCTTCTTTATGCACGTTAATACAAATTTTTAGCTGGGGTGCCCAAACTTTCGATCCCCCACTGTATGTGTGTGTGTGTGTGTGTGTGTGTGTGTGTGTATCTATGTGTGTGTGTGCAGGGGCGGACTGGCCATTTGGAAACTCGGGCACTGCCCGGGGTCAGTAGGGGGCCCCATGAAATACCTTTTTCATAGGCTTTTTTTGAGTTTGGGCAAGGACACAGGGGCCCCATGATCCCCTATTGCCCGGGGGGGGGCCTTGAGTTGTCAGTCCACCCCTGAGTGAGTGTGTGTATATATGTGTGTGTGTGTGTGTGTATATATGTAGTCAGGTCCATAAATAGTGGGACACAATTCTAACATTATTGGCTCTATACACCACCACAATGGATTTGAAATGAAACGAACAAAATGTGCTTTAACTGCAGACTGTCAGCTTTAATTTGAGGGTATTTACATCCAAATCAGGTGAACGGTGTAGGAATTACAACAGTTTGCATATGTGCCTCCCACTTGTTAAGGGACCAGTGGGAGGGTGTATAGAGCCAAAAATGTTAGAATTGTGTCAATGTCCCAATATTTATGGACCTGTGTGTGTGTGTGTGTGTGTGTACTGTGGTGGTGGTTAAATACCACCAAAAGAAAGCTCTATTTTGTGTGGAAAAAAAATGATATAAATGTCATATAGGCACATTGTTGCATGACCGAGTAATTGCCAGTTAAAATAGCGCAGTGCTAAATAGAAAAAAACGGCCTGATCTTGAAGGGGGTAAAACCTTCCAGAGGTCAAGTGGTCATGGTGTGTGTGTTGTGTGTGTTTTTGAGGTTTTGGTTTTCTGATGTTGTATTCTCCTCCCTCCCCACTAGGTGAATGTTTATGGTTTTGGTGCGGACAATCATGGTAACTGGCATCACTACTGGGAAAACAACCGTTACGCAGGTGAATTCCGCAAAACTGGAGTGCACGACGCAGACTTTGAAGCGCAGCTCATTGACACCTTGGCCCGGGAAGAGAAAATCAAAGTCTATCGTAGTACATGAGGCCCTATCTGAGCCACACACACTTCTACCAGCCCACATGACTGACAAGATACCCGGGACGGCACGCCTCTCAGGAATTCATCACCAACCAGGATCGCAGCAAGCTGCCATTTTGTTACTGTGACCACCCGAGGATTTGCCGGCTGCGGTTGTTACGCCACTGTGTACGATTTTCTTTCTTAGATGCCAAATTCTGGATTCTGGATCACCGTGAGATGTGGGGTGTCGTCTGAGGCACTTTTTTGTTCCTGACATTATTTCATCTAGAGGTTTTTTTTTTTTTTTTTTTTTTTCCTTCCAACTGGAAGATTATGCACATCTTTCTAACCAATCGCGTGCACTGATATTGGAGGAGAGCTGCTGCACCCCAGCTAATTGGCTTTGGTCTTCATTAAGCTAAACTGTTGTGCACGTATTGCAGAAATCTTAGTAATTATGAGCTCTGCAGGCTGGATTTTTCCACATTTGTAATTTGTTAGAGTTGTATTGTACATAAGCCACCCAACAGGGGCCCCAGGTTCCCAGGGCAATTAGGGTTTTTTTTATTTTTGTTCACTATACTGACAATCTGTTGGAGAGTATCTAATGGAGCTTGTACAATCCTCATCGCTGCATCAGCCAATCATTTTGTAGGCCTTAAGTTTTACCGCTCCATCTCTTGCTGCTCATCGTTGATGGCCTGTGGATTCACCTGAAGACGACTTTGACTTTAAGGGCAGCTCCGCCTCTGCTCCATAGAACTGTAAGAGGTGACAATTGGACACGACTAAGCCCTATGTTAGGAAAAAGACTGTCACTCCAAGAGGAATAAAGCTTGTCTTGGTGGTGGCTGGGCCCGTTCTTTGCAGTAGAGGTGGAGCTGTCAATGAGTGAGCCGTCTCCCATTGGGCCTGGCCACACGTGGCAGATTCCAGTGAGCGCGATGATCCGCCTGGGAACGGAGCCATCATTTTGGTTTGTATAGTTTAAGGGCAGCTCTTCAGTTTTTGAACGTTGAAAGTTCATTGTCTAAACTCTATAGGAAGAGTTTGGTTCTGTAAAAATATTCCTGGGACCCCTTGGGCCCTACAGTGTTATACCGCATCTGTATTGTGAGTCTAGAAAACTTTTTTTATTTTTATTTTTTATTTTAAATATTGAACAGTATTAATTCTCCAAAGCCGAAGAGAACGAGGAGCCTCTATAGTGTCACAGGAGACAGAGGAGGGGTTGGAAGGGGTCTCACCAGGAGAACGTTATAAATGGACTTATTAGTGCTGAACAGAAGAAGCTCCTGGGGGGCTGGACCCCAATTCACACACCAGCGCTTGTTTTTTTATGTAAAATGCTCCAAAATCCAGAACATGAGATGGAGATTGTTCACTTGTGTGATCCCTCTCCTGATGTCTGACCTGGTCAGAGATGTGGCCCATGTTTGTTCAGCTAATGCAGACCTAGAGAACTGAGCCAGCAGAAGATTTTCCTTTTTTTTTTTTTTTTTTTAATATTTCCAATCTGGTAAGGGAAGTCGGTACATACAGAGAAGATAGAACCCTCCATCTCCACCCCACCTTGAGGTCCACCTTTACCTTGTCTTATAAAGTGAAAAAAATTACTTTGCACAGCTGTAGGGATCAATCTAGATATCATTTTGTCACACAATAAAGGGTCTTGTGGAGGGTTGACAGCTGGAGTGTTTTGGGTGTATCACACACATCTTCATCAGGACTACAAAGTGACTTGGTTTTTCACAGGAAGGGACACAGGAAGACCTCACCATCATGTTACACTGACATCTCCGGGAGGATTGGACACTGAAAAAAATTGTAGGCCAGCCCAGGTTAACCCTTTCTCTAATCCAGTTTTTGCTTGTGTCCTGGGAGGAGAGATGTCTTTTTCCTCAGCTCTGCTGGGAACATAACCCTTTTTTGCTTCGTTCATCATGGTGAGGTGAACATCTATGTTGACAAATTCTTCTCAGTATAGACTCCTTGTTACTCTGATCATTATGGGATCAAGTGAGTTGAGGCTTATGGCTTTCTCTATTTAGAATGGCGGTGATCTTTTCTTTCCTGGGACATTGTTCTTGGGTCCCTCTGCCTTGTCCCAAGTCTTGGTTACTTATGTGTAGTCCCAGGTTTTAGAGGGGAACTCTTTCTCCTTGTTGATCACAGTTTTCATTTTGAGTCTTTTTTTCTGCAGGAAGTTTGTTTTTTGCTTCACCCTTCTGGTTAGATCAGGTTGCCCAGTTTTTCACAGTTGGGGAGTTTGTTTCAGTGTTTCTCCTCCGTGTTGACACTAGTTATCTGACATCAGACAGTTTCCCATGTTTCTCCTCCTGGTCTTGTTCTTATGCTCCTCTTACCAGGTTGAGGCTTCAACCTCCCTCAGTGCCAGCTTGGAGTGGTGGTCCTTCAGGTAGTTCTTGAGCTGCAGGTATTCCCCAGTACTTGTTGTACTTTAGGCCTTTTAAGCAGTTGTTTGCTGTTGCCTAAGCCTTGGTTGGACTACTTTTGAAGATACCAATGGTGAAGGCTGTCTGTGTCCCTCAATGAATGAGACAGAAAATTGTATTCATGGTAAAAATCATTTTCTTGGAGTCCATAAGATGCCAGCTTCATGTGTAAGGTCCTACAGACTGTTCCTTGAGCTGCATTCAGTACTTTAGCAATGCATTTTGTGGGACAGTCAATAATTTGTTGCTGTTGCTTGCCCCTCAGTTGGACTACTTTTGATATTTTACACATTCCCAACAGTCACTGAATTCCTGTGTCCCTTGAGGAGTACAAAGTCTTTTCTTTAGTGTTCCACAGTCAAATCCTTTTCTTGGAGTCCATTGAAGAACAAAGTGCCCTTCCCTCAGTGTGTATGGTGTCTAGGTACAGCTTTGCTACAAAATGGAGGTACGCTGGTAAGGTAAGAGGTTATCCTGGGCTTCCCCAAATTTCTTTCTTTTATTGCTTGCCAGTGTCCAGTCCTCTTTCAAGTGGCAGTATGACCTGATGGTGAAGGCATCCTGTGTCCTTCAATGATCTCCAAGAAAAAGATATACAGTGGGTACAAAAATGTTATTTCCTTGTGGAATCTGGACTTGTGATCGCTCCTGAGTTCAAATTCTTTGTGTTCCAAGGTTAGGAGTTGGGCAATTTACTGAGCAAGATCCTGACCTCTGTTCCCAAAGAATCGGAACATGGAGCGATCATCTGTCTTGATTTCAATCGTACAATAAAACCAAGTCATGTTGTAGCCCTGAAGTGTGTTGGAAGTCAACTCTTGATGGGACACTCTTATTGGCACAAAAATGTATAGCAGGACCAATCCATACAGCTTAGTGCTTTCATCCTTTCTTGCTATACAAGCTAAATGTGGCAAGTACTCTGGTGGGACCCCACAAGGCAGCAGAGAACTGTTGCACTTCAGCAATGGTAACTTCCTCAGAGCGTGGAGTCCAGCACTCCACCATCCTATTCACAGAACCTACCTTGCACTATGGCATGCTGCGAAGCCTCTTTAGAGGCCCTAGTGCCAGTAAGATGGTTGCCCCCTTGAATGTTGGAGCCATCCATGGTGAGCTGTGTGTCCAGACCTCAGCTGACACCAGGGACTCCCAAGGGCCAATCTGCCATCTACGTACCTACTAATCTTGCCTGATTAAACTCATTGAGGAAGAACTCCCACTTGTCGCTTGTGAGACAGCAGCCTGTGCAATATTAAAGCCCACGGTGAACAAAAACCTGGAGGAGACCGAAAACCTCCACCTGTAACTGAATTCTGAGCCGTCACTTAGAATTACCAGCAGAAAAAATATAAAAATGTTTTTTTCACCTTGTTGGTAAACATATAAAAGATTCATCATAATGGAATATACATATTAAATGGAGGTTGTATATTGGGGCAGGGGCATATCTTCCTACGCACAGCAGCCTTCCTGTCTGGGGAATCCCACAGAAAAGAAATGCCAGCTGTTACTTGTCTGCCACATATTAACCCAAAATGGCCGATTATGGTGAACCACGGACTATACAGAACAATAACCAACCTAACTATCAAATATTGGCTAATTAGGTATTGGTAACTGTTTTATATGAATTTGTTCTTGATTACAATTTTCTAGAAGCCAACTCCACCTTCCACCATTTTGGAGACTTTAATGATTTTGGCGGGGGGAGGTTTTGTCTCCACCCCTAACAGAAGGCCATAACGAATGTATTTCTCTCACTGGACCCACAGTAGAAATGACACATGATGGATAATCTTCAGACGGTGATACCATTATTTTCTTACGGTGATTTCAGCAGCTGAGGAACTGGAAATTCTGGTGGAACTCATTAATGGATCCCTCAAAGATCTTCCAAGCCAGCATGTAAGAGACCATACAGAATGGAGGCGTCAGTTCTTGGTGGAGTTGGCTTTTAAACTGCATTGCTGCCCTTTTAGTGATGGCACTCATTGCCTGGAGTGACCAATCTGTTTACAGCTGTCCTGTGTTAAAGGAAAAAGTCTGGAATCCCATTGGCTGCTGAGGACAATGAGCTTTTCCTCCCAGTTTTGTATATTCTCTCCCAGGATTAGTCCATCCCATGCGGCCAGATGATAGATATGAGGGTATTGGTCACAGTGGCATTGAGATTTCAGTGATAAAACTTGTTACATTGTATAAAATGTGACTTCTGTGATTTGGGTGTGATATCACATGGCGCCCTATGCTGTCCTTATCAGTATTATTATTTGTGCACTTTCTATGATTGTCATTGTGCTGCCCCCGTGGCGGGTGAACGGCGCTCTTTGAAGTAATAAACAATGAAAGCCTTGTCACTCGTGTCTAATTATTATTTCATTCATTTATTCTTCTGTGCATTAAGATAGCATTTTAAATTGTAATACAATGCATAAATCTAGAGAATTGTACAACTCTTGTGGGAAGATGATCTGAAGACACAGTTCAGTCCTTTATACTAGTGATATTTGTATTTTAGGGATTTTTTCTAGTATTCTTATTTATATATAATTTGACTATTTGCCCGGGTTCTTCTTTAGTAATTGCCACAGTATTATGTTCCTTATAGCCGATGATTTAAATAGCAGTGACATTCCCGAGGGATCTGGTGGGAGGAATTTTGAGTCTGGATTTGTAGATTTTCCCGTCTCTGGGGACGAGGCTCAATGCTGAGATAGATAATGGCAGTAGTCAAGTGAGCATCTCTTATGGGGGAAATAGAAGGATGTAGCTCATCGAGTATTAGCTCTCTGCCTGAATCCATACCACTCGGGTTCTTAGAGGTGAGAAGGATCTCTTCAGCTGTGTTTGTGTGAATTGCACATCTCTGCATACCCAGTTGGCAGCCAAGAATGAGTCTTGTGCCAGGAGCGTGGGACAGTGATGGGGTCTCTTGGGGCAGGAGGAGGAGTGAGTGGTGTGACATGACAGTGGAGATGAGACAACTGCAGCCCAGATCATCGCATGTTGGCAGAGGAGATGATGGACAGCAGAGTACTTAAATGGCATCTCGTCCTTGGTGTTCTCTGTAACATGGTGAGCCATGCCACCATATCACCCCAGGCAACTCTCAACCACCCCCGGACTGGCCAGGGTAAAGTGAACACAACTGATGTACATTCGGCTCATTCTAAGCATCAGGGATAGGGTACCTGCTGTGTGCAACACTTCATATCATCAGAGAATTTAGGCTCTTTCTGAATTTTTTTTTTTTTATATATCTGTATTAATTGATCATTCTGCCCTAATAGCAAGTAAATTGTCTCCAAATTGCCTCCACTCTTCTGGGAAGGCTTTCCAAAAGATTTTGGGGGGTGTCTGTGGGGAATTTGTGCCCATTTGTGAGGTCAGGTACTTATGTTGGATGAGAAGATCGTGGCTCACCATTTGAGGTCAATGTGTTCCGTTTCCTTGGCTGTCCTTAGTTGTATTTTAAAATGTATGGTTTAGAGTTCAATCACTCAAATTGAAATAGTAAATTAGAGCATTATCCTGCCCCCTTTTTTCCTGTAAAGTTCCATCAAAGGTTTGTGCACCCTGACATCACACCTATATGAGCTTGTTGGACATCACATTGGCCATTGTTATGTAGTTGCCCTTTTCATGGCCAATAATATGGAGTTGCTCCCCCCCCCCCCTTTTCCCCTTTGGTGACTATAACATCCCTCACTCTTTTGGAATGGCTTTCCACAAGATTTTGGAGGGTGTCATTGGGAATTTGTGCCCATTTTGGAGGTCAGGTACTGATGTCGAATGAGAAGACCTGGCTTTACGATCTGCGTTCCAATTCATCTCCAAGGTGTTCTGTAGGGCTGAGGTGGAGGATATCTAATCTGTGACACCTTCAGTGGAGATACCTGAACTCAATCACCAGTATAGACTCTCTGGGTCTCACATTTCAGTGTAGATGCGTGGCACTGGCGCATCCTCGCTTAGCCCTTACATCTGGGTATAGGTACATGGCACAGCCTAAGTCCCCACAGCTGGATGTAGGTATGTGGCACTGATGTGGTATCTGAGCTCCACATCTTGTAGGTAAGTGGTACTGATACAGCCTCTCTGAGCCCCCACATCTGAGTTAAGGTACGTAAAACTGACACAGCCTCTGTGATCCCCTACATCTGGGTGCAGGTAAGTGGCACTGGCATGGCCTCTCTGAGCCCCAAAATCTGAGTGCAGGTACATAACACTGGCATGGATTCTCTGAGCCCTCACATCTGGGGGTAGGTATGTAGCATTGGTACACCTTCCCTGAGCCCCCACCTCTGGGGGTAGGTAAGTGGCACTGGCACAGTCTCTCTGAGCCCCCATCATGTGGGGGTAGGTAAGTAGTACTGCATCTCTAAGCCTCCATATCTGGGTGTAGGTCCATAACTCTTGCATGGATTCTCTGGGCCCCCTCAGTTGTCAAGTGGAACTGGAATGACCCCTCTGACCCCCCACTTCTCTGTATAGCTAAGTGGCATTGGCACAGCCTGAGCCCCACTTCTGGGTGTAGATACAACCCCAATTCCAAAAAAGTTGGGATGCTGTGTAACATATCAAATGTTTAAACTGAGAAAATGTACCATTTTAAGAAGATTCATGGTTGCCAATAAGAATGTCAGATTTTGATTTGTCTGACCACAGAACAGTTTTCCACTTTGCTACAGACCATTTTGAATGGGCTTTGGCCCAGAGAGCTGTTTTTCAGGATCATGATATGGTTTCTTCTGCATGATAGAGCTTTATCTTGCATTTTTGGATGGCACGGCAAACTGTGTTCACAGAACTGTTTTTTAATGAAGTGCTGTCTGAAGGCCTGAAAATCATGGGCATCCAATATTGCCTTTCAGCCTTGTCCCTTACATGCACAGATTTTTTCCAGATTCTCAGGATCTATTGATGATATCATGTGCTGTAGATTATATATTTTAAAATCTTTGCAATTTTAGGTTGAGGAACATTATTCTGAAATTGTTCGACAATTTTTAGATGCAGCTTTTCACAGATATGTGAACCTCTGCCCATCTTTACCTCTGGGACACATTGACTCTCTAAGATGCTCTTTTTATACCCAATCATGTTACTGACCTGTTGCTAATTAACCAAATTAGTTGCACAATGTTCTTCCAGCTCTTTCTTGTTCATACACCTTACTTTGCCAGCTTTTTGATGCCCTGTCCCAACTTTTTGGAGATATATTGCTGCCATCAATTCAAAATTGCTTTATTTTTTAAAATTGAACATTTTCTCTGTTTTAAACATTTCATGTTTTCTATTTTTTATTGTGAATTAAATCTGAGTTTGAGATTTGCAGATCATTGCATTCTGTTTTTATGTAGATTTTACACCGCGTCCCAACTTTTTTTGACTTGGGGTTTTACATGGCACTGGCATGGACTCTGTGTTTTGCAGGTGTTGGGGAGAGGGAAATCTTTGCGCTGGTCTCTCTACATAACAAGCTCCGCGGTTGTGTGAATCCTCCGGCTGCCAACATGCGAAGGATGGTGAGTGAGGTTATGGATCAGAGGTGGATTGCAGCTGCTCTGTAACACTACACATTCCTGGCTGAACTCTGATGGGAAACTATTTCACTTTCCTCTCTGAGGGACCATAAAAGCCGTTGCACATCTGTCCCTCTACTGCACTGCCAGACCCGGTCCTAAGAGCCAGCCTGGACCCCAAGAGTGACCTCAGGGCCACACTACTCTGGGAAGAATAACGGGAGAGAAGACCAGAGCTTAAACTGCATTTATAGCTAAATCTTTTATTTGTAGTTTTGCATAGGCTTTGATGGGGTTAGACCTTCAGCTTTTTGCTATCTGTGTCCCCATTGGAGCAATTCACCCCTTTATTGTCTTGGTGTCACCTGGAGATCATGTTATGGGAAATCCAAATTATTACAGGGGTCATCAAAACAGGAAGTGAGGGGTAGTCTTCCACAATGGACACCTAAAATCCTCTCGTATTAAAAGATGTATGGACTCTCTAGAGAGAGAGAGAGAATTCTACTCCGGTACAAATCATTAGTAATACCTCATCTGGAATATGCAGTTCAGTTTTGGGCACCAATTCACAAAAAGAACATTGGGGAACTGGAGAAAGTACAGAGAAGGACAACCAAACTGATACGAGACATGGAGGAGCTCAGCTATGAGGAAAGATTAGAGGAACTGAATTTATTCTCTCTTGAGAAGAGGAGATTAAGGGGGGATATGATCTCCATGTGTAATACATAAGGGGGGATATGATCTCCATGTGTAATACATAAGGGGGGATATGATCTCCATGTGTAATACATAAGGGGGGGGGATATGATCTCCATGTGTAATACATAAGGGGGGGGGGGGATATGATCTCCACGTGTAATACATAAGGGGGGGGGGGGATATGATCACGTGTAATACATAAGGGGGGGGATATGATCTCCACGTGTAATACATAAGGGGGATATGGTCTCCACGTGTAATACATAAGGGGGGGGGGGATATGATCTCCACGTGTAATACATAAGGGGGGGGGATATGACCTCCAGGGGGTGTAATACATAAGGGGGGGGATATGATCTCCACGTGTAATACATAAGGGGGATATGGTCTCCACGTGTAATACATAAGGGGGGGGGGGGGATATGATCTCCACGTGTAATACATAAGGGGGGGGGATATGATCTCCACGTGTAATACATAAGGGGGGGGGGGATATGGGGGGGGGGATATGATCTCCACGTGTAATACATAAGCGGGGGGGGGATATGACCTCCACGTGTAATACATAAAGGGGGGGGAATAGATCAAGATCTCCATGTTTAAATACAACAGCGGATTCTTTCATACTGAACTAACGGTGTAGATTGGTTGCACCCTTGATATTTCTCCTATTCACGAAACTAAGCATGGACTTCAGAAAAGAGGAACGAAACTGTCTGAGGACACTGATGAACCAAAATTGTTGCAAAATATCAACAATCTCAAGGTTACACAGTCCATCTCCCACAAAAGTAGCTAATCTCCCTGGTCGTGGACGGAATGAGGAAAATGATGAAAGATTTGCGAGGTCACCCCATTAACACAGAGACATTCCCCTTTGTGATGTATTGGGGCACTACTGAGGAAAAGAACCCTTTTAATCAAGCATGTGATGCTCCAACATGGAAAGGTTACAGTTTGTGGGCAAGTAAGAAATCACACCTGAAAAAATGTGGAATAGACTAACCCTCAAGAGTTGGTTCTGTGCACTAAGCTGGACAGTGGATCGCTTAAAAAAAACATCCAAAAATTGGTGGGATTCAACAATCTCAAGTTACAAGTTTCTTAGAACTAACAGTGCGCAACATACAAGAAGTTTGCAACCCATGGCACTTTATCTCCCTGGGTCGTATATAAAATTGATGAAAGTTGCAACGCAGAATCCATGGGGATAAGCAGCCCAAACCGTTTGCTGTCCTGCAGGCTCTCGGGAGATCAGTGTCAGCAAGGAATCGACATTTAAATGAAAATGAAACGCTTCCCCACGCTGGACACATTGGATAAAAAAGCAAGACTACAGTGCAAAATTACTTGGTAAGCCAAAAGCCTTTTTTTTAGAGCATTTTCGGTGCCTTCTTCTGGCTACAAAGAACAACTATGTAAAATATGGTTGGAGGTTCAATGATGTTTTGGGGTTGTTTTGCTGCCTCTGGCACTGGTTTTTTTTTTTTTTTTAAAGTTGAAATTGAAGATCTTTTGTCGCACTGTTTTTGTCAGAAAGCCAGACTCCAAGCAATCCTGGGTCTTCCAGCAACAATTTTAACTAAAAATTCAAAAAATTAGCGCTGGAGATCTGAAATTGAAAAGATCTGAATTCCCATTGAAAGGGACATGGGAGCAAATTCTTACATAAACTGGCTGTTGGGAAAGAGGTGTCCTTCCACATAAGAGAGACCTGGAGCTGTTTAATTGTAAAAAAACTGCTGTCAGAAGCTTCAACATGGTTCAAGGAAGCGACCATTTCAGTTATGTTTGCGCCAAAGGGTGTGCAACCAAATGACTAACTTAAATTTTTTTCCCTTCATTTATGGGGTTTTATGTGTAATGGTCATATTATGCACCTGTTTTATATTTGTTCCAATACATACAAAGGGAATAAACATGTGTATAGTGCAATACCCTTTTTTGTGTGAAATACTTGATTTCAGGAAAAATATCAAGGGCCATGACTGTATGTAAAGTTGATCCAGGGAATATCCCGAATCGGGAGTGAAGGAATTTTCTTCCCGACGCACAAATATGGGTTTTTTTTTTTGCTTCTTCACATTATGACCAGAAGATCTTTTTGTCTTTTTTTCAGCCAGACAGTGGCTAAATGGTTACATCTTCCAAAGGGACATGGAGAGCAGTACTCTGACAGGGTCGCTGGTTCAAATCAGCCAGCCACAGCACTGAATTTTTTTTCCCTTTAAACCTGCACCCTGGATGCCATTTGCATGTTCTCAGGACCCAGAACTGTGCCTGCTAGCAGTACGGTCGCTGGTTTTCCCAGCCACAGCACCACCTCTGGGAGTTTGCATGTTTCCAGTGCCTTCCTCCCACTCCACGCCACAAAGACATGCTGGTAGTTTAAATTGGCCCTAATATCTGTATGTATGTGAGTTAGGGACCTTTAGATTGTACGCCCCTTGAGGGTTAGGGACTGATGTGAATGTACAATATATGTGTGTTTGTGTGTGTTAAGCGCTGTGTAAATTGCTGGCTCTATATAAGTATGTGTAATAGTAATGACAGGCTTACCTGTAAAATGAAGCCATCCAGCACTGAGCTGTTACGGCTCCTAGCTCTTCCATCTTCAGCCGGTCTCCCTCCCTTCCATCTTCCTTCCAGGTTCGGGCTCTCCATCCACTCTGAAGTCACTCCCATGCATGCCGCAGGAGTCCCCATCACAACACACACTGTGTACTGTGATTGCAGAGTGTACTGCACATGCCCCAGTGATGTCATCAGCTTGAACCCATATGAATATACCTACTAAACTACAAGGTGCCTAAGGGTAAAACTTAAATAATCTTACCTGTGGGGAAAAGTTTCACATTTAAAGTGTTCTTAAACCCACAACAGTAAAATCAGTCTGTATATGCAGTAAAGCATGCTTGTTATACTCACAATGGAACCTAAGTGGTTAATCCTCTGCATTGTGTAAAAAGGATGTTTGATCCTGTCTTCTCTGATCTTCCCCTTCTTCCAGTGTCTCCTAAATGTCTCCTGAGAGAACAGAGTCTCAGGGACACTCTGCACATGCTCAGTTTGCTATGTATTGCTAGAGAGGTTTCTTTTTTTTTCTTGGGAGTGTATGTGATCAGCACAGGACCAATCGGCATTGTCCAGGCAGAGTTCAGGGTTTCTGCATTCTACAAGCTGTAACCAGTGCTCTGCTGGACACTGATAGAAGTCACAAGACTGCTCTAACTACTGATGAGAAAAGTTATTTAGCAGTTAATATTTACTAAAATAATTACATTTCCATGTACTGGGGTGGGAGACCGGATATAGTGAATGCAGGGTCTGGGGAGACCAGATATAGTGAATGCAGGGTCCAGGGAGAGCGGATATAGTGAATGAATGTAGGGTCCGGGGAGAACGGATATAGTGAATGCGGGGTCCGGGGAGACCAGATATAGTGAATGCGGGGTCCGGGGAGAACGGATATAGTGAATGCGGGGTCCTGGGAGACCGGATATAGGGAATGCGGGGTCCGTGTAGACCCAATATAGTGGATGCAGGGTCCCGGGAGACTGGATATAGTGAATGTGGGGACCCCTGATACAGCGAATGCAGGGTCCCGGGAGACCGGATACAGTGAATGCAGGGTCCCGAGAGACCGGATACACTGGATGCGGGGGTCCGGGGAGACCGGATATAGTGAATGCGGGGTTCAGGGAGACCGGATATAGTGAATGCAGGGTCCTGGGGTTAGTAATACTTTAAGCTTAGTGGTTCTAAAGGCTCAAAGTGTTTTATTTCTATGCATAAAGGTAAAAACCTGCTGTGTACAGTATCCCCCCCCCCCCAGCCCCCCCTCATACTCACTTCCTCTTGATCCATTGATGTGCACTAAAGTCTTGGCTATCCTGGGACACCCTCTTCTCACTGGCTGAGACAGAAGCTGGAGTTATTGGCTCTCACTGCTGTCAATCACAGCCAGTGAGCCAATGAGATGAGAGAGGGGGTGGGGTTGAGCCGCGGTTCCGCTTTTGAATGGACACATGGAGCAGCAGGTGCTCCACCATAACAAGCTGCTTATTGTGGGGGCACCCAACAGGAGAGAGGGGCCAGGAGAGCCTGCGGGGGACCCGAAAAGAGGAGGATCTGGGCTGCTCTATGCAAAACCACCGCACACAGCATCACTTTTGTAGAATCACTTTTAAATTTGGTTTTCCCATCATCTCCACTGGATTTCTAACATTGTACATATTACAGAGAATGCAGACAAAATTAGAAACCAAAAAAATCCTAATTAACATGTGGCCACACCCCTTTAGCACCAAGTTTTATGTACTGTATATATTGTCTCCTTGAAGCTCCAGTAATCACAATGGTTCAGCCACAAAAAAGGCCTCACTACAGTAAATCATTCCTAGTAGCCTTTGCATTTCAATACCGGTAATACCAGTCACTGCATCCAGATATGTGACGTCCCTTTGATGACCCACTGTCTGGTGGCGTGGTGAGTAATAATAGGGAGGTGTATTAGCAATGTTGCCATTTTCTCTCTGCTTTTTTAGGGGTGGAGTGAGGATTTGCGCTCTCAGGCCCAGACTGTGGCCTCCCAGTGCCGGTACACACTTCCAGATGATCGCCAGGTTGGGTGGAACGTGCAGAGTTTCCCAGTAGGGACAGTCTCCTTACTGGATGTGATTCACCTCTGGTTTCGCCAGGGAGAAGATTATGACTTTGAGACAGCGCAGTGCACCCCTAATCACACCTGCCGCCATTACACCCAGGTGAGGGGACAGTATGTATACTATATGGACGCCTGACCATCACTCATATGGGCTTATTGGAAATCCCATTCAAAAACCATGGCCATTAATATGGACCTGCCCCTTACCCTTCTCCATGACCATCAATATGTTACTTCTCCATCCCCCATGGATTTAATTTGGAGTTAACCCTCCCCATGAACATTATTCTACAAACAGAAAGTGGACTTGTTGAAAATCACATTTCAAAACCACGGCCATGGCCAAAACCAGTTGCCCCTCCCCCATGGACATTTATTTTTGGGGGGGTGGCTGTGGGACTTTTTGCCCATTTGTGAGGCCAGGTACTAATGTTGGATGAGGAGACCTGGCTCATGACTGGGGTTCCAATTCATGTAGTTCAGTAGAGTTCTGTCCCCTCTGTCCTGCAGATGGTATGGGCCACATCGTGGGAGCTGGGCTGCGCTATCAGTAGATGCTCCTCAGAGCAAGGTGACACCGACATGATGGTGTGTGCGTATTCTCCGGGGTAAGGTCATGTGACATCTCTTCCCCCTACAAACCCATCACCAAAACAACACTACTACTCAGTAATTATAGTTGCATGTCAGAAATTCAAATGTACCTTTGACCTGGCATCAAGGGGGGGGGGGGGGGGGGGGGGGGGGGGGGGGGGGGGGGGGGGTGTTGGACTTGCAATCCTATCCACCAACTCCATCACTCCCATCAGACACCCTGTTTTAGCCATATTGCTCTCTTCTGTCTACAATCATAAAGCTAAACACTGTGTTGGACTAACAGCATGTCTTTTGGCTGAACTACATACACTTTCCAGAATCATATCTGAACACAGCCATAGTTATTAGAAGCTGCATGCGTACACACGAGATCTGCTCCCGTCATTGGCTATCCTATCACAGCAGATATAGAGCGCCCTCCATGTGTGTGTATCCTGTGTGCTGGGAAGTTGGCTCGTCCCCTCTGTTGTCTATATACGCTTTTTTTTCCCCCAGGGGTAACTGGGACATCAGAGGACAGATTATCAAACCCTACCAGTCCGGCTCCTGGTGCAGCTTCTGTACAGCCACCTGGTCTGGCTGTTTCAAGACCTGGGAGCAACGTGGAGGCCTCTGTGGTAAGGATCTCCAAAAGGAAGGAGGGCTGAGTAGAAATAACAATTGTTGAAAAACTCTGCCATCATAAATAAAGCCCAATATCCAACATAGGGATCACATATACCACAGAGAGGCCAAATATCCTACATCAAGCTACATAATGGCTATTATCACCATAAGAACCCAGTATCCTACATAAGGGCCGAAAATTGTACATAATGGCCTAAGAACACCAGATCCTACATAAGAGCCAAATATCCTAAATGAAGACCCATTAACTTGTATTTTGGCCCAATATTCCATATATTGACCCAATATCCTACTTAAGGACCAATATTCAAACATGAAAGCCAAATATCCTACATAAGGGCCGAATATTGTACATAATGGCCTAAGAACCCCAGATCCTACATAAGAGCCAAATATCTTAAATAAGGACCCATTAACTTGCATATTGGCCCAATATTCCATATATTGACTCAATATCCTACTTAAGGACCAATATCCAAACATGAAAGCCAAATATCCTACATAAGGGACAGATATCCTAAATTAGGGTTCAATAGCCTTATGCCTAGTACACACAAATGAGAAAATCAGATGGAAATATACCGCTTTCGCAACGATTCTCCGATAGTCTGATCGTTAGAACACAGCTTTCAAGAGCTGATCATGACAGTTCATGAGAAATTATCAGAAAGGACCAGCACAAAAATGTTTCTTGTACAATAACAATGAATGATTTCCATTTAATCAGTAGTGTTCATCTGTAAAGAATCTAGTGAGACTCTAGTAAGACTGTGCATGCTCAGAAACAAATGAATCCATTACAATACAATATATTATATGATCGTGGGAAGTTGTATTCTGTCTTAGGAGAATTTTCGTAACTCTAGTAACCTAGTCGTTGTCGATTTGAGACTAGCATGCAAAAAAAAAGAGACCAATCATTCATCCAATATTCACATTGTGTGAACCAGGCATTAATAAGAATGCAATATACTACATTAGGGCTAACATCCTACATAAGAGCCAAATATGCTACATACAGTAAGTGACAATATCCTAAATAAGAATGTAATATTCTACACAAGGCCCCAATATCCTACAAAAGGGCCAATATCTTAAATAGGAACCCCATCCATAACCTACAAGGGCCAATATCCCACATAAAGACCAAATGTCCTACATAAGGGTTCAGTATTCTAAATACAGTAAGAATCGAATATCCTACATAAGGGCCAAATATCCTACATAAGGGTTCAGTATCCTAAATGTGGTATGAATCGAATATCCTACATAAGGGTTCCATATCCTTTATAAGAACCTAATGTCCTACATAAAAGGCAAAATCCTAAATGTAAAATATCCTACATAAGAGCCATGCTTAATAAGGCCAAATAATGGAACCCAATATCTACATAAGGACCCAATATCCTACAAAAGGGACAGTATCTTGAATAAGAAACCCATCCAAATCCTACAAGGACCAATATCCCAGATAAGGACCAAATGTCCTACATAAGGGTTCAGTATCATAAATATAAGAATCTAAAAATGCTACATAAGGGCTAAATATCCTACATAAGGGTTCCATATCCTTTATAAGAACCAAATGTCCTACAAAAAGGACAAAATCCTAAATAAGAGACAAATTTCTAAAATAAGGGCCCAAATATGCTACATAAGTGCCAATATCCTAAATAGGATCCCAAGTTCCTGCATAAGGATTCAATATCCCACAAAAGGGACAATATCCTAAATAATAACTCAATATCCTAAAAAAAGAACCCAATATCCTACATAAAGACCCAATATCCCACAAAAGGGCCAATATCCTAAATAAAAACTCAATATCCTAAAAAAAGAACCCAATATCCTAAATAAATACCCAATATCCCACAAAAGGGCCAATATCCTAAATAAAGACTCAATATCCCAAACAAACCCCAAATGTTCTACATAAGCACCCAATATATCCTACATAAAGACCCAATATCCCACAAAAGGGCCAATATCCTAAATAAAGACTCAATATCCTATAAAAAACTGAATGTCCTACATAAGGACCCAATATCCCACAAAAGGGCCAATATCCTAAATAAAGACTCATTATCTCAAAAAAAAAAAACCCCCAAATGTCCTACATAAGAACCCAATATCCTACATAATGGCCAATTTTCTAAATAAGAATTAAATATCCTAAATAATGGTTCAATATCTTACATAAGAATCTAATATCCTACAAAAGGAAGCAATATTCTACAGAAAGGACCTATATCCTGCACAAGGACCCACTATCCCTCAGAAGGTCACTTGTTATTGTATGATATTTGTTTGAGCTCTTCAATGCTTTGCTCCAAGATCAGTGACTCTCTGTCCACCCCCCCAGAGGTGCCACGGAATCCCTGCCGAATCAGCTGCAGGAACTATGGCCGCCTAAACACCACCAACTGCCAGTGTCACTGTGCACCGGGGTACACCGGCCGCTATTGCCAAGGTGAGTGATATACTGGAGAGGAAGTCAATGGTCTGTGCAGAGCACAGGACACACCCATAGTCTCATCCGAACACATTCCAGTGATTGTGGTAGAAAACTTTTGGGGATGACATAAAACACAAAGGATGGAAATCTCATATCTCCAATGAAAGCTTAAAGTGTATCTAAAGCCAATTCATTTTGGAGTAAGGACTGACTATAACCTCTGTCAGGTTTTTTTTTTTTTTTTTTTTTTTGTTTGAGTCCAATTGGAAAGCTGTTTCCAAAAGGGAAGGAAATCCCCCTCTTAGATAGTCCTCACCTGGACAAGTGTCCCCATTTCTTAGATCTCCCTTCCATTCCTGTTATGGTGACAACTCCAAACTCATCTTCTGTCCTAGTGACACCAGAACAAACCGACAGGGTGAATCTTTCCAGCCAGGACACAGGCAGAGGCCCCAACCCATCATCACTCCATCCAATGGATAAGGAAAAAAAAGAACTTTGGCTTTGGATACATTTTTAACAAAAGGCTTCCGGTCTTCCTGGCTGTTTAATGTTTCTTGAAATGTCAGAATATAGGAAATTGGAGAGGATTTGTAGACTGATGATACTTGCGTGTCTCTGGCAGTGCGGTGCGGGTCACGCTGCGTACACGGTCGGTTTCGAGAGGATGAATGTTCCTGCGTGTGCAGAGCTGGATACGGAGGAGAAGAATGTACAGGTAACACATGACATGTATGACCAATCCATGTGAGTCAGTGAGATCCTAAACTGGATCAATCACATTAGCTGGCAGCCACTGGCACAATACAACTGCCACTGATTGCCTGTTATATACCATCCACACATACAAAGGGCCCCGATCAGCACAACAACCCGACTACTTGCTGTGTTATACACCTGAACTGCGTGACATTTCGTTTGTTCTGTGCACAATGCACCATAAACAATTGTCTCTTTTTAAATTAAGGCTCTGTTCATACTTGTGCGACTTTGGACACATAAAGTTGCATGACAAGTTGCAGTCCATGTATTTCAATGGAAGCTGTTCAAATCTATGCAACTTAACCACTTCAAGTCTGAACACTTTTCACCCCCTTCCTGTCCAGGCCAATTTTCAGCTTTCAGCGCTGTCACACTTTGAATGACAATTGCGTGGTCATGCAACACTGTACCCATATGAATTCTTTAGCATTTTTTTGATACAGATAAAACTTTAATTTGGTGGTATTTATTCACCGCTGGGATTTTTATTTTTTTTTCTATATTTAATGAAAAAGTCCAACAATTTTGACAAAAAGTGTTTTTCTTATAAAATTTTGCAATTAAATAATATTTCTTCATAAATCTTGGCCAAAATTTATTCAGCTATCTTTTCAGTAAAAAAAAAAAAAATAAACTAAATTAGTTTATAACCAAAAAATTATAATTTTTTTCAAAAAATGTTTTAAAATTTTTTTTTTTTTATATTATTTGTTTATTTTTTACGTATGGTCACCCTAGCAGTACAGTGTCACCATAGTGACACTGTACTACTTGTGGGGGTGATGAAGATTTTTTTTTCTACACTGATGGCTTTTACACCCATAGAGGCTCTGTAAAAGCAATCATTTCTCCTTATCTCTGGCTGCATTTTTTCAGCCAGTGAGAAAAATACTGTGTGAGCTGCGATTGGTCACAGCTTGTCACATGGTACAAGGCTGTTGTGAATAGCCTTGTACCATGTGACCTCTGTGATCATTCACAGATTTCACTAGTAGTAAGCAATGATGTCAGAAGTGACATCTTGCTTACTACTATTCATGTGATCACTGATTGGCCCTTTATGAACAGCAACCCACTCCTGCACTGCTCCCGTCCAGGCCGTTTATATACATGGGCTGGTCGGGAAGTGGTTAAAAAATGTTCCTGCTCTACTTTGATGTGACTTCCATGCAGGGGCGGACTGAAAACTCATGGGGCCCCTGGGCATTAGGGGATCATGGGGCCCCTGTGTCCTTGCCCACACTCAAAGCACACTCAAAGAAAGGTAACGGCATTTCATGGGGCCCCCTACTGACTCTGGGCCCTCGGGCAGTGCCCGACTGTTCGAATGGTCAGTCCACCCCTGCTTCCATGCAATATGAATGCCGTAGATTGCAATGTAAACTTTCAAAAAGTTGCATGAAAGTCGCATCTTAAGGTTATCAATGCAACAGTCAAAGCAAAAGTCGCATCCAACCAAAGTTGTATCAAAGTCACAACTGTGGAGTCGCACACGTGTGAATGGAGCCTAAAAACCTTTATCATCCTCTGTTACATTGTTTCTGATCTCCTGCATCCTCTTTGCAGCCATTTCTTGTCTACACAGACTCCAGTGATGGCATTTCTCAAGTTTCCTGGCAGCAACAACAGTGAACCAAATCCGTGTAATGTTTGATGAAATGGCCACTTGTAGTCTCCATCAGAAGTATAGGTGACAAAATGACAACACAGGAGAGTAGTGGAGAGATGGAGACAGAGTGTTGTCACCCTATAACAGGAAGTGCTTGAACAAGGACCTTCATGGCAGGATCACCATGGATTATTTTCAATTAAAGCAACAATGTAGTAAATAAACCTCAAACATCTTCACACCAACATCCAAAATGCAGGGATTCCATCACTGCAAAGTACTTGACACATAAAACCAGTTGATTATTCCACAGCTTTATAAAACATCAGACATCATTTATTTGGGGAGGGGCTACAGATGGCCATGCTATAGACTGGCCTGAATGGCTCCTGAACTCTATGTGTGATGTGATTGGTTTGCTAAAATAACAGGGCAGGTTTATACCAGGAATCGCACAGAAATTGGCTTGCGTTCCTGTGCGATTTGTGTGCAGTGGCCTTGTCTGTCCCAGACTTTCAATGGACATATCCCTGGCCGCTCTGGGTTCATGTATACACAGTAATCTCTTTGTATTATAAATCTATATAATAGATGTCTGTCATTACAGAGAAGCTGCAGTCATCTGCTCCATCCTGTGACATCCTGAGTGATGAGCTCTGCTTTACAATCTCCTCACAACTTCATTCCTATTATGGAGCTAAAAAGGATTGTCAGGTAAACCAGCCAATATGTCCCTGCAGTATTTTACACTCAGCTAGTATAAGTACCAGATACTGTCTTCCTTTCATGTCCTACCCCAGTGGTCTCCAAACTGCAGCACTTTGCCAGCCTTTATCAGGCCCTTGGAGAACTTTTCCTCCCAACGGTGAGGCACTATTCCTCCCACTGCCACCAACAGTGAGGCATAATTCCTGCCACTGACACCAACCACGGGGCACTAGTCTTTCCACTGACACCAATGATTGAGTACTCTTACTCCCTCTAATGCCATGATGGGGCACTATTCCTCCCACTGACCCATTGCTGGGCTCTATTATTTCCACTGACACCAACAATGAGGCACTATTCCTTCCACTGATACCAATAATGGGATACTATTCCGCCTACTGACACCAATGATAGAGCACTATTCCTCCCACTAATATCAATGATGGGGCACTATTCTTTCCACTGACATCATCATTGATATTAGTGGGAGGAATAGTGCTCTATCATTGGTGTCATGTTGGCGGAATAGTATCCCATCATTGGTATCATTGGAAGGAATATTGCCCTATTGTTGGTGTCAGTAGGTGGAATAGTATCCCATTATTGGGGCACAATTCCTCCCACTGATACCTATGATGGGGCACAATTCCTACCACTGACACCAATGATGGGGCACTATTCCTACCACTGACACCAATGAGGGGGCACTATTCCTACCACTGACACCAATGAGGGGGCACTATTCCTACCACTGACACCAATGATGGGGCACTACTCCTTCCACTGACACCAATGATGGGTCACAATTCCTCCTACTGATACCTATGATGGGTCACAATTCCTCCTACTGATACCTATGATGGGTCACAATTCCTCCTACTGATACCTATGATGGGTCACAATTCCTCCTACTGATACCTATGATGGAGCACTACTCCTTCCACTGACACCAATGATGGGGCACTATCCCTTCCACTGACACCAATGATGAGGGCACTAATCCTTCCACTGACACCAATGATGGGGGCACTATTCCTCCCACTGACCACCAACCCTGAGGTTACTAATATTCTCACTGATGCTGGGCACGGGACATTTTCCTTCCCCACTGACCACAATCTGGCCCCCTTAAAGTCTGAAGGACAGTAAACTGGCCCTTTAATTGAAAAGTTTGGAGACGCGTGTCATACACAATTGCAGAATGGCACAGAAATGCAAAACTCTACAGAGCGCTCCGTCTCTTGAATGGTTGGAGTCACACCTTTGAATTTTAACACTGCAATTCCCACTGAAATCAATATTAATGCATAAAGAGACCTGAAATGCCCATGTTATTGCAGCCTGCGCCTCCTCTGTCATGTTTTTCAGAGGTCGGGGGGATTTCTGGCTCAGATAACTACGCCGAGAATTCAGGACATTTTGGCATTCTTCCTTGGCCGTCTGGAAGATACGAATGAAGTGACGGACAGAGACCCTCAGAAATGGAACTTCTGGATTGGTGAGAACCTCCAAATCCCAGCTCCCATATGAGTCCTGTGTGCTCGGGGAATTCCTGACCTTACCCATAATCCTGTCTGCTTTCAGGCCTGACATACAAGCCGGGCTTCACCTCCTACCGCTGGGACACCGGGGAGCCCCTGATCTTCCAGAGCTTCGCCCTTGGACAACCGGACAACCCCGGGTAAGATCACTGCACCCACAAGACTTCTGCTGCCCAGGTTTAGGGCTCATTTACATCCTCGCATTGTGGTAACACACAGGCTATTGCAATGTTCGGCAACATGCGTTACATACATTGCTGCTCTATTCATTTTGTATAGCACCCCACACACTAAGGCCCTGTGCTTGTGGAAGTTACAATGTGCAGAAATGCATTACAGCGGAAAAAAAATACAACACTTCCGATTTTGACATATTTAAGGTGCATTGGCAGCCTCTTAAATTGTTACTAAACCCACAACAGTAAAATCAGTCTGTATATGCAGTAAAGCATGCTTGTTATACTCACTGTGGAACCTAAGGGGTTAATCCTGTGCACTGTGTAAAAACGCTGTTTGATCCTGACTTCTCTGATCCTCCCCTTCTTCCAGTGTCCCACCCTTACCTCCTGATAAGACATATCGTGTGGAGTCTCTCTGCACATGCTCAGTTTGGTGTGTATTGCTAGAGAAGTTTTTTTTTTTTTGGAAGAGTTTGCTATCAGCACAGGGCCAATCAGTACTGCCCAGACAGAGTCAGGGGTTCTGCATCCTCCTAGAGCAGGAATAAACTTCTCCTACAAGCTTTAACCAGGGCTCAGCTGAAGTCACAAGACTGTTCTAACTGCTGGTGAGAAAAGGTATTTAGCAGTTTATATTTACTACTAAAATATTTGCATTTCCAGGTTGTGTGTACGGTAGGAGAGTGGATATAGTGGATGCAGGGTCCGGGGGGAGTGGATATAGTGGATGCAGGGTCCGGGGGGAGCGGATATAGTGGATGCAGGGTCTGGGGACTGGATATAGTGAATTCAGGGTCCGGGGGGGACCGGATATAGTGAATTCAGGGTCCGGGGAGAGCGGATATAGTGACTGCAGGGTCCGGGGAGAGCGGATATAGTGACTGCAGGGTCCGGGGAGACTGGATACAGGGGATGCAGGGTCCGGGGAGAGCGGATATAGTGACTGCGGGGTCCGGGGGGAGACCGGATATAGTGACTGCGGGGTCCGGGGAGACCGGATATAGTGAATGCGGGGTCCGGGGAGAGCGGATATAGTGACTGCAGGGTCCGGGGAGACTGGATACAGGGGATGCAGGGTCCGGGGAGAGCGGATATAGTGACTGCGGGGTCCCGGGGAGACCGGATATAGTGAATGCGGGGTCCGGGGAGACCGGATATAGTGAATGCGGGGTCCGGGGAGACCGGATATAGTGACTGCGGGGTCCGGGGAGACCGGATATAGTGACTGCGGGGTCCGGGGAGACCGGATATAGTGACTGCGGGGTCCGGGGAGACCAGATATAGTGAATGCGGGGTCCGGGGAGACCAGATATAGTGAATGCGGGGTCCGGGGAGACCGGATTTAGTGAATGCAGGGTCCGGGGAGACCGGATATAGTGAATGCAGGGTCCGGGGAGACCGGATATAGTGAATGCAGGGTCCGGGGAGACCGGATATAGTGAATGCAGGGTCCGGGGAGACCGGATATAGTGAATGCGGGGTCCGGGGTTTAATAACGCTTTAATTTCAATGTAATTTCCTGAAGCAATGCATGTTACTGTGCAATATAGCATGTGTTAACCTACCGCAGAAATGTAAATGTGCCTTAGGGGCCTTTCACACAAGTGTTGCAGTAATGCATTCTCTACCACAGCACGCAGCCATGCACGTTGAATGCATTGGTAAAATGCAACGCCATTCATTCTGTCTGGCACCCCAGTGCAGTAATGTCCATGGTGGCACACTACCATAAAATGGCATGACCACAAACATTTCCCGTGTGCTGCCAGAAAATTGTGCATACCCATTTTTTACCACAGCACTGCCAAACGTTAGCATGTGCACCATTCTTTAGGAACGGCGCATTAGTGTGTTGGAGCAGATTGCTCTGTGCCACAATGCACACACCTATTTGGGAGATACATTGAGGCGCCCTTCACAATGGATGGCACTACATTGCACCTACACATTTCAGAAGTGTAAATTGTGCAGTAATGCATGCATTAGACCCTCAATGTGTATGTATGAACCCTCAAACACATGTGAGCTGACAACACGGTGTTTGCTGTCCTAAAATAGCTGTCAAACCTTGCTGGACTACAGAACACCTCCTTTTGTCATGAAAATGAAGGGGGAGCATGAAGGCTGGCTGTACTTTATGCAATTTTCTTGAGAAATTTGCTTTTCATTTACCAAAAACCATATAATATGAGGTTAAACCCAAACAACACTTTCAATTGTATCCAATTAGGCAGGCCTTTGCGCTACATAGTTGAAGATAAATCTAATGGAAATTGGGCAGAAAATTGTATAGTGTATGGCCAGGCTTAGGAGAATTTATACGAGGAGAGGGTGTTCTGTATTCCAGCAGGGGAGAACTGGAGAAGGTTGACAATTCGGCTTGGAATTTTAGTGCAGCAGAGTTCCTTTTGTCAGTTCACTGCAGGAAGTTAAAAGATCTCTGGCAGGATCAACAAGAATGAAGTGCTTGTATAGAAACAATTATTGATTATTGTAGCGCTCCCAGAAATACTGTTCACTGTTATTAATCTGATCTATATTTTTATCATATAATTTATATCTGGCAGGACTGGGAACTGTGTAGAGATGAGAGCTAGTTCAGGATTTAACTGGAATGATCAACAATGCAAGATCCAAAACCGTTACATCTGCCAGAACAAGATCTAGGAGCCCCCGGGGCCCAGCTCTGAAATCTGCGCTTCTGGAAGATAAATATTTGTCCGTATGCTCCATATAGACCTGACTACACAACACATTGCAGGACACTATGATCTGCCAGTTATCAATACCTATCCTATCTCCACTATATACTTACTACTGCTGATGTCACCACTGCCCTGTATACAGGTTACACAGCTCAAACACTGACCATATGCAGAAACCAGCTGCCTCCTTTCTTCTATAATACTAGATGCATGTATAGGTGAAGTGATGAGCACTTTCAAAATACCCCTCAGGGACAATTGGCTTCCTTATTTACAATAGTAGCGTTCACCACGTGTGCAGAACACAGGACAGGACACATTTCACGCCTGTCTGTTCTGGTGAACTGCATTAACACATGTGCAGCAATGTTCCACATTAACAGGTATTGTATTAAGGCAGCCCATTCAAATGATTGGGGTGGTGCTGGCAAAGCACCTGAACGGATGAAAGATCCAGCCCATGGTGACTTTCCCTGATCTAGCGGAGTACTTTTAGCATGGGGCCCTCAGCTTGCTAGCATTGGTCACTTAGGAAACACTTGCAGGACAGTATAGGACTAGAACAAGTACATTACAAGGATCTCAAAGAGTCAGAATGGGGACCATGTGAGAAACAGAACGGTACTAGGACAGTATGGGGTCAGAACAGGGATAGACCAGGTTCATGAAGCGGTTAGTATCAGGGGCGTATTTGCCACAAGGCATTTTCCCGGGGGGGCAGTGCTGCCCCCCCCCCCCCCCCCTGGAAGGGATGGCAGAAGGGACACAGGCAGCATGGGGACCAGGTGGGATCCGAGAGAGGCTGTGGGCTGCATGCAGAGCCTGACTCTTGTTCCCAGGGATGTCTGGAGCTGTGAAGGTGAGTGTCTTCTCTCTCGTGCCGGGGTGGCCAATGTATGGGGGGCAGTGGTAGTGGAAGGCTCGGGTGCTGTTGGTCAATGTCAGGCTCTCTTTGTGGGGGGGTCTTGGTTGGGGTCAGGGTCTCCATGTGGGGGAACCTATTTGTGTTGCCTAGGGCAGCATGAAACCTAAATACACCACTGGTTAGTATGGGAATAGTAGGGAGTCAGTAGAGAGACATAATTGGGAGAGGGGTATTGGCTGGGGTCAGGGTCTCTATGTGGGGGAAACCCTATTTGTGTTGCCTAGGGCAGCATGAAACCTAAATACACCACTGGTTAGTATGGGAATAGTAGGGAGTCAGTAGAGAGACATAATTGGGAGACTACAGGGACAGTACAAAGTCAGCATAGGGGACAGCAGGAGATCAGTAAGAGTGTAGTATAGGGTTAGCATAGGAACTGTATGAGGATAGTACATGGTCACTATGGACCTGAACAAGGACAAGGAAAATACATACAAAAAAACAAGGGTAGTATGGGCAAAGAAAGGACAGTACAAGATCACTACAGAGCGAGAATGAGGACAACAAAATGGAAAGGGTGCAGAAGACCTTGTCATTATAAAAATCACACCAATGTTTAAAAGACCAATTCCATCTTTTGCAAAAAAAATTATATAATAAACGCACACATTTCAGGGCAAGAATGTACATTTATTTATTTTGCTTTTGAGCAGAGGTGTCAAACTCCGTTTCATTGCAGGATTGATCAGCATTATGGTTTCCCTCAAAGGGCTGGTTGTATTTGTCAGACCTCTAAATGGAACTACACGCAAGACTTCACCTGTGAAAGGCAGGAGCCCCCTGGCACAGCGCCCCCTTCGTACTCCCGGAGCAGATGATGCAAGTCTTACAAGGAGAATTGCACACCGCTGGTATCATCCACAAGCTTTTTTGGAGAATGCTGACAGAACCTGGTTCTTCCATGGTGTTCTGTGTGCCCAGTCTCCAATAACGTTTCTTGTGGATGATACCAGCAGTGTGCAACCCTCCTTTTCAACTGTAATAGAATTGTACTAGTCTCATAATAAGCAGATGTCCAGAACCCCCCCATCAGATGTCAAGAGTCCCCCACACCCTATTACATTAAGGTGCTGCTGCCAAGAAGAAGTGGGGGGCAGAGCTGCAGGAGAGGTGCAAGGGCCACCTGATATGGCCTGGAGGGCCACATTCAACCCAAGGGCCTTGTGTTTGACACATGTGCTTTTGGCCCCTTTCACATCAATGGTCCAATCGGGTCCACCTGTCAGTATTTCAGGCAGACCTGATCAGACCATCTATAGACTGGCAGGCGCTGGCATCTGATCCAATATGCCAAGAACAGGATGGATGGGGATCCGTTCCCCATCCATCTGGTGGACCAGATTGCTGTCAAATGGAAGCGGACAGGTAATCCGTTTCCATCTGACTGCCCCATAGAAGCCAGCAGGCAATCTGTGTCCGCTCTGCAGCAGTGGAGTGGACACAGACCTGTCATCTGCCTGCTCAGTGGGGATCAGCAGAGAGATCCTGCGCTGAGCAGGCAGATCCACTGACGGGGGGGCCTTAGTGATTTGCTTTCTGCAGACTCTTCCTCCAGCTCAGGGCAGTATAGAAGTTGCAGGAAGGAACCATGGCCTGGTGTTCTTTTCCTTCTCTGGTGACTGTACACAGTCATGTATTTTCCCAGCTTCAAATTGTTAAACCATCTACCACAATAGGGTCTCTTAGCTGTAAGGCTAGTTTCACATATATGCAGGATGCAGTTGATGCGTTTTTCTGGTGCATTTTTTTTTTTTCATACATGTTAAACGCATTTTGTGTTTTCAGGATGAGTTAATGTTGCTAGGGGGAAACATCTGTTGTGATGCAGGAAATGCACCAAAAATACATGTACATGCATTTCCATTGAAGTCTATAGAACCAAAATCTGTTGCAGGGAAAAAAAAAAAAAATAAAATCTGACCCTTTCCAAAAAAAAAAAAAAAAAAACCCAACACACACACACAAAATACAGATGTGAACACAGCCCATAGGAAATCATGTTAAAATGAACTGTAGTGTGTTTCTGGAAATCTTAAAAACATATAGGCATGAACCTAGCATAATAGATCACATGAACTAGTAGCACACATGCAATTAAAGAAACCAGCACAGGGGTTTCATGAATTTGGTGCAAGGCTTCTGATTGAAACCCAGTTCTGGCAGGGTGGATGTAAATACCTTATTGAATCACCGATATAACACTAATATATCAAAAGTGTTCTCATCATGAAACTGGCATATATCCAACCGGCTGAGGAACAGGACACCCAACTGAACTGCAACCAACCAGCAATGGAAAGGTCAATATTTTTCCATATAGTCACCACAAGGGATTTTATTGTAACATCCAAGCTATCCATCCTAAACCTGGTGCACTCAGAATCTGGTGTGGCTGTGCATGGTAGCCAGACAGCTTCTAACTTCAGCTTGTTCAATAAGCCCTGGTTCACACACATGCTGATGTAACTTGTCATGCAACTTGACCGTTCAAATTGCATCCAATAATCGGCAATGGAACCATCGGTGCGACACCAACTGATTTGAAAAGTCAATCCTGCACTACTTTTGCTGATTTTGGGTGCGGCTTGCATAGAATTCTGTGAATGAAGTCGCACAGATGTATGCAAGTCGCATTGACATGTGAATGAAGTCACACAATTTCTAATTTGCATGTAGTGTGAACAAGGGCTTACAGGAGAAGTTCACCTTTGGGAACATGCTATATGTTCCACCAGTTTTTGCTGCTGCTCACTGCTCCCCCTCCCTCTGCCAGAAGTACGGCGAGAAGTCTCCCCCATACTATCAGTCAAATTTGAAAAGCAGCATGGCCATGCGGGTGCCCACCCACTCCATTCACAAGTCCCGACAGCCTTAGAGGCAGTGACCTTGTAATCTTTCAATGCACTATTACAGCGCTGTAGATTGCCATGGTAGATCATTGAATCTGTCAATATATATGCTTGCTGTCAAGAGTCCCCCACACCCTATTACATTAAGGTGCTGCTGCCAGGAAGAAGTGGGGGGGTGACCTGCAGGAGAGGTGCAAGGGCCACCTGATATGGCCTGGAGGGCCACATTCAACCCAAGGGCCTTGTGTTTGACACATGTGCTTTTGGCCCCTTTCACACCAATGGTCCAATCGGGTCCACCTGTCAGTTTTTCAGGCAGACCTGATCAGACCATCTATAGACTGGCTGGTGCCGCCATCTGATCCAATATGCCAAGAACAGGATGGATGGGGATCCGTTCGCCATCCATCTGGTGGACCAGATAGCAGTCAAATGGAAACAGACAGGCAATCCGTCACACAATTTCTAATTTGCATGTAGTGTGAACAAGAGATTACAGAATAAGTTCACCTTTGGGAACATGCTACGTTCTACCAGTTTTTGCTGCTGCTCACTGCTCCCCCTCCCTCTGCCAGAAGTACGGCGAGAAGTCTCCCCCCATACTATCAGTCAAATTTGAAAAGCAGCATGGCCATACGGGTGCCCACCCACTCCATTCACAAGTCCCGACAGCCTTAGATACAGTGACTTTGTAATCTTTCAATGCACTATTACAGCGCTGTAGCTTGCCTTGATAGATCATTGACTCTGTCAATATATATGCTTGCTTGTATCTGCTTGTCCCGTACAGGCAAGCAAATATACTGACAGATCTGCAGAAGACCAGCATGGCACCAGCGATCTGATTGCGGGTGAAATGCTTTCCAGGCTCCTGCAGACAAAAAAATATTAAATGCACTTTTTTTACCTGAGAAAAAAAAAAAAAAAAAAAAAAAAAGTGCATTTAGTATTTTTGTGTAAAAAGTGAACTTGACCTTTAAACCTGGAAGCTGATCAGTTTCTATGCAGAGCTGCACTAGACTTTGCACTCTCCAGTTTTAGGAAATCCCCCCCGTGTATGGGACAGGGGCGGACTGACCATTTGGAAACTCGGGCACTGCCCAAGGGCCTGTAGGGGGCCCCATGAGATGCCCCTGGTACCTTTTTCATAGGTTTTTTTGAGTTTGGGCAAGGACACAGGGGCCCCATGAGTTGTCAGTCCGCCCCTGGTATGGGATGTATTGTATATCAATATTACAACTATACATGTTGGTTTTTGTTTAATAAAATGAAGTACAGACGCCACACAAGCATCAAATCTTTTCATTCTGCAACTTTTTTTTTTATTTTCCTTGGCCATACAACAATTCTGTAACAATGAATGACGCACTACATGCTATGAGTGGTGAACATTATGGGACATGATTGCCTCCCCCTCCGTAGCTAAAGGAAGCAGACACAGGTTACACAGAAGGGTGGAGGAACCTAATGTTTAACCCTTCCATGGCTAGAGATCTCTTTTGAGCCACACAGGGAGTGTTAGCAGCTAGGTCCCAGGTGCTCCAGTGAGATGCACATAGTCGTGTTAGTCTGGACATGTTAAAGGGGAGGCGACAGGCAACGAGGGATGAAGATGGAACTAGATGAAAATATCTCCAGGGTGGCCAGCAACCTCATAACACTATGCCGATCCCTGGATTCTCCCGGACGGAATGACAATCAGCCTGCCTGTTGTCGCTGGCAGAATGGGGTTAAGTCACACGCCTCTCTCAGTTCTTCACAGACTCTAGTTTTAGTTTGGCAAAATCTTCAGCCAGTCTGAGCACCTCAGACAGACAAGAGGTATTCCTCCCCGTGGCCTGGGCAGAGGTGTCTTTTCCACCTCCCTTCCCATCTATCAGCTCAGACACTTGTGCCACCCATTCGTTGGCCTTCAGACCTTTGTCAGCGGTTTCCTGCGAAGTAGAAAGAAGATTAGCACATGACAGACTGTCTAATCATATATTCATTGTACTTCATGCTTTTATCTCCGGTGTTCAATTACTGGTCAGAAAAAAAGTAAGGCCTCATGCACACTGGACACTATAAAAGTTCCAGTAGAGTTAGCTGTAGAATGCAGCATTTAAAAAAAACAAAAAACAAAAACAACAAACAAAAAAAACACACACGCAAGTTTGGTTGCATTTTGCAGCACTTTTGCATTCGTATTTTTTTTTTTAGCAAAAATTTTATTCCCACAAAACGTTGAGGCTTAAAACCCTCAAATGCTCAGTGTGCATGAGGCCCAAGGGTCAGTCTGTCCAAAATATTTCAGTTCTAGGTGGAGACTGGTCAGATGAGTAACTTGCTGGGCTTTGTATACATTTTTGGGGCTTCCAGCAGTGAGGATCTTGCTACTATAGTGGCTCTGCTCTCCCAGGTTCTAAAGGCTGTCTTCACTCTTTTTCCTGTATATTTAAAGCAGACCTGTGCAAAGAAACAGGTTCGCCTTAATCCCCTCCCCCGCATATAGTGCAGTATAGGGTATATACTCCCCTCCCGTAGAGGGAATATACACTCATTCTGTATACACTGTATAAAAACTGTATACATTCATCCTGCATATAGTGTCATAACAGTATATATACCCCCATATAGTGTAGTATAGGAAACATACTCATCCCAATATAATGTAGTATAGGGTATATAATCCCACCCCATATAGTGTAGTACAGACCATAGGCTCATCCCTCCCCCCACATAAGTTATATACTCATCTTTTCTTAAACCAAGCAGAAGGAAATCCTGGGTAATGGGGAGTATGTGACAGCACTGGGCCAATCAGCACCATCACAAAGAGAGCCCAAAGCCCATGAGAGCCAAGACTGGTAATGTATACCTTACACAAGTCACTTCTTCCACCCGCAGCACCTGAACTGATCAGTACAGAAAGGAATGAAAGTATAAATCTCTGCAGGTCTTCATTAAAGTGGACCTTTTGCTTTGCCTTGCATGGACAAAGCAAAAGATTCACTTTAAAGCCAATGAGAACACAGTCAGAGGTGGAGCCCCTGGTAATGGCCACACCAAGTGAGCTAGTAGGACACTTACCTGAGGAACCTGGCAGAGGCAGGTGATCTTCCCAGCATCATTATCCAAACTGAAAATTATGGCGGCAGTCTTGGGAGACTGAGACTTCAGCAGTTTCAGAGATTCATTTAGCGCCTGAGAGGAGAGAAAACACGATAATCAGAACTCTGCAATCCCTATTATAATTCACTCAAACACAGAGTAGAATACTGACCTTGGCGGATGCTCCGCTTTCCATCTCCAGGATGAGAAGCGGTTGGTTGGGGTTCTCTTCTATCAACTGTTTTGTCTTCTCCAAAACCTAAAGGGCAAAGAACGATATTTACATGTTAATGAAGTGAGCCGACTGCGTTTCCTTACTAGGCTGTGCATGAACGGTATGATACGCTGCCAGACTTATTGCTTGGCTGTGCTTGTACTGTATACCCCAGCCAGGCATCTTCTGTCATGGAAATGCAGCTATTTCATGTTAGGAAAAACCAACATATTTTCCTTACCCGTTTCTGGATATCTGCTTTACTGGCACGGTCAAGGTCATCCATGGTTTTTTTTCAAGGCTTTCAGATGTTCCCGGAGCTCATCCTTCTGCCACTGAGAGATGACAGCAGTGGCCAGAGTCTAGGAGAAGGAAAGAGGGTGAAAGTCCCAAGTAGAATGCAAAGAGGACAAGGGTGAAGGTGAGGCGGACAGAGGGCGAGATGGAAAGAGGGTGAAAGTCCCAGCACTGGGTGGGCGATGACAGAAGGTGAGAGTTCAAGCGTGTGAGGACAGAGGGTAAGCATTCTAGCAGTGAGTGAAGACAGAGGGTGAAAGTTCCAGCAGAGAGCAAGAGAAGGTGAGAGTTCAGGAAGGGTTTGAGGAGGCCAAAGAATGAAGGTCTCAGCAGAAGGTGAGAAGTAGAGGGTAAGAGTTCCAGCAGATGGAAGGTGATAGGATAAAAGGGCTGAGGGTACTGACATGGGGAAGAAAAGGGTGGGCAGTGTTTTATGATGCCTACAGAGTGACATCATATCACGGCAGGTCATGAGACAATCATACCTCGCTGAGATCTGCGATTTCCTTCTGTACATCCTTGTTGGGTGACGTCTGCTGTTTCACCTTGGCCTCCAGCTGGCTAAGTGCAGCTTTCAGGGCCTCCTGTCTGCGCACAGCCTGTGATGAATAATACCAGTCAGTGTGATCTATTGCGGTGTTGTGGTGTACTGCCACTGGCAATCAGGGTCAACTCACCTTCTGTGCCTCAGCCCCAGTAACTGCCACTATCCTGCGGATTCCTTTAGCTATGGCTTCTTCAGTGACAATGACAAATGTTCCAGCATGGCCAGAGTTCCGGAGGTGTCTGGAAGGATAACACTGGTGGTTGGGATACAATGTTGTGGAAGAACCAAAACTTCCAGCCATTGACGTTACATGCTGAAGCTTAAAAAACGACTGGTGTTACTTGGTATAAATGAAATGCTAAAAATGCTCTCAAGTTGGATGTAAAATATAAACCTAATACCCCATGCTGCTTTTGTACATACGGTGTGCCCATCCTTTGTCTTAGTTCTGAAACATTTAGCTTGGTTACTCACTCTCTCTGTGCACCCTATAAATTTTGATCATGCCTAGAGATGGGGAATTGGAGAATTGTGACAGTGTGAATGTCCCCACATTCGGAGTTCGAGCAGCTGGACACACAAAAGCCACTTACGTTCCTCCACAGAACTCCACTGATGCGACTGAGCCGGCTGGACCTGAGGGGTCAGCCAGGAGGTCCTCCACAGGAATTCCCACAGACACCACACGGACAGGATCAGGATAGGTCTCATCAAACACAGCACGCAGACCTTGAATGGCTTTAGCAGCTGCCAGTGGGCAATCCAAGGCATAGACCGTCTGTAGAAAACAATGTACCCGTTATTGGTGAGTAATGGGAAGGGAAGGCTCAGGGACCCCCAAGGAGTTACACAATGAAGGAAAGGCACAGGAGTAATGATCATGGTAATACTGTGAGACAGGCAATTGATCCAACTGTTTTTGCCTTGCTGATCAGTTACCTCCGGATCTCTGTTTTCCCTGTCTACATCATGGCTTGTGTGGTTTTGTAAGTTTTTATTTACAATTTCTCAGACAAAAAGGATACAATAAAGTCAATGAGAAAAAGTCTTGTCAAAAGAAGAAGGACTAAAGACCTGTGAAGACCAAGGTCTATTTCAAACTGGCAGCAAGGCGTTGGTAAAAACAGATGGTTGAGTCACTTTTTTACTACCACCCATCCAAGGCCTAGAATGGAAGCAGAAGGGTTGGTACACATACCATACTCGTGCAACTTTGACAAATTAACCTTGGTTTATGGAGTTTGACAGGCAGCTCCACCTGTCAAATTTGTCAGTTGGAATTAATGGGGCTGAGCTGCAACTGCAAGGCAATTTACCCATCCATATTGTATGGCACACCTAAAAATTGGCCTTTTTGGAGTACAGTAATCCCTCCCATAAAGCAGATTACATCAACATGTAGTGTCCATTTGGCTACTGGGGGTCATTTTGTGGCTTTCCAGAATTTAGGGATCAAGCTTTGGTAACATTCAGTAAATGTGGCATCACCGACTTCTTGTATTTGGAAGCTGGAAATGATGTATTGTAAAACGGCTTTTGGAAATTATGGTATTGTGCGATTTAGAAGGACATTTTTGGCTTGTTGGGACTACTGAGAGGTTATGAGATATGTTTAAAAAGAGAGCAAGAACCAATTAAAAATGTAGAAATATAGAAGAATACGGGGCAGACTGGGGTACTGATGGCGACTGCCACACTCACCTTGTTTTCCCGGATCAGTTTTTCTGCAATCTCTTCAGCTTGGTGGATTTCCCGAGTGGTCAGGGCACCTTTAGCTGTAAAATCGAACCTCAGCCTGTCTGGGGCAACTAGGGATCCCCTCTGGTCGGCCTCTCCAAGTACAGATCGCAAGGCGAAGTTCAGAATGTGGGTGGCTGTGTGGTTGCTCATGATTGGGCGTCTTCTTGGCTGAGGAACAGAGGAAACAGGTGACGTGTCTGAATGCTGCAAGAGTCATCCTATAGTACTAAGGTTCAGGGCAGAGCCAGCACTCACTTCATCAATGTAGAGGTGCACGCAATCCCCAACTTTTAGGGTGCCGTACACAGTCCCTATATGGAGGACATAACCACCTCGTACTTGTGTATTCCTGACGGTGAACTCTGTTTTCTGCCAGGCATAGAAGAACAATGTAAACAATTATATAATTGTATCCTAATTATCTTTACAAATTTGAATTGCAGTGAAAACAAAGACGTTAAAAGAAAAAAAAAGAAAAAAAAAAAAAAAAAAAAAAAAAAAAAAAAAAAAAGCCAGTCTAACACGAGTTTCATTTATCCCAGTGTCTTGGTGGCGAGTAGATTCTGACTGTTGGCTATGGGTATGTACATATTCCACTCAGGCCTTGACCGAGAGGGTACCCATGTAAAGGAGGGTAGAGAAGTGACACAGCAAAGTAACCCACACAACTGCAGCCATCAGAGCTCAGACGGATTTTATATCAGCGCAGTCTGTTAATGAGAAATGTCAGGGAGAACAATCTAATACAGACTCACATCTTCACTGGAATCATCCTCCCGGACCATATATCCTTCATCATATGTCTGTCCACCTTGTTCTGCATAGAAGCAGGTCTTGTCCAGGACAACGCCGCACTCCTGTCCTGTGCTGACCTCGTCCACAAAGGTCTTTTCTCTGCGGATCGCCTTCACTGTGCCCACCACACTTCCAAAATCTGAGAAGAAATAATATCAGATCATTATACCCACTCCCACACATAAGATTCTACATCAGACTTTATCTGCTAAGGTTCTTTCAGAGTGTATTAGGGGTTTCTTGAGAGCATGGCATATTAATCTCCTGCCTACACTAACCACCAATGTAAGAGGACTCTTCTTCATTGACCACCAAAGTAAGGGAAAAATTCTACACTGACCACCAACGTGGGGGTCTTGTAGGGGTGCCACTGACCACCTATGCAAAGGGACCCACCCCCACTGACTACAAATGTATGGCTCACTCATTCCCCACTGACCACCAATGTATGAGGTCACTTCCACACTAACCACTATTGTCAGGGCTCACTAACACTTGACCACCATCACCAAGTTACTGATCATGGTAATGCACCATGAACTGTAGATCTAATGTTAGCAGGGGTTCTCCGAGACCTGAAAAACATTTTGAGGGTTCCCTCAGGTGAAAATGTTGAGAAAAGACACTGAACCCTCCCACCAAGATGACGACCGCTGCAGCACTAGACAAGCATCTTACCATAGACACCCTCAGAACTAGAACTGTAATTGTATTTCAGGGAATCGTCGGTGGGCTCCAAGCCCCGGGAGTGCAGCTCCTCAATGGCGTAAATGTCCAGCATTAGAAGATCCTCATCTCCAGCCCCCTTCCCCTGAGACTTCAGCTGAAACAGGACAAGGAGATGTCAAAGAATACAAATAGAGGAAAGGCAGTATATGTCCCAGATATAGTGGAGGAGCTTTAATAAGACCCACACATGGAGAAGGGGGGCGCTATATTAAATATATCACAGCCTCATAGAAGAAACAAACAAAAATACTGTTTGCTGAACATGATTACCATACACAGTATAGTATATTGTCTACCTGAGCAGCTTTCCTCTCATCTTCAAAGCTCTCCATATCCACCTTCAGACCACGCTCTTCTGCTATCAGACCCGTCAGATCCACTGGGAAACCATATGTGTCATACAGAAGCCATGCTGTGTCACCTGGTGAGTGGACAATGGAGATTGAGGGGATTTAGTAATTCATATAGCAGCGACATACACCACAGTGCTGTAGAGAGAACACTGAGCCATTTGCATTAGCCTCTGCACCACTTACATTCTGTCTCCCGCAGTCACACACTATTAAATATTATACATTTATAGAGCTCCGACATATACCACAGTACTGTACAGAGAACCCTTACAGTTACACTCTAATGTCCCTCCAAAGTTTGTTTATGGATAGTGTTAGGAAAGCACAACCCCTATAGTACCCCTCTGTGCACATAATGCTCCAGCTGGGAACTGATTGCAGGACTCCAGGGACACCACCAATATTAAATGTAGAAAAGTAACAGCAGAGAAACAATAGGTTAACATTTGGCTGCCAGTGCATGCTGGTACTAGTTTTTCAAAATCTACTATTCTGCAAAAGTTACAAAATCTTTAAAGCACAATCCCTTGTGATTCTTTCAGCCAATCTTCAAGAAAGAGGCACAAGGGTCCCGTCCTCGTACCTGGGATGACCTTATTTTCTCCTAAGCTCTGGATCTTCCTGTCCAGGATGCGGCGCCCTCTGTTCAGTGTTTTCAGAAATTGCGTCTCCTCCTCATTTATGATATCCTTTACCATATCGGGGTCTTTCCTGAGCTCAGGGAAAGCAACTCCCTAAAACAGATCAGAGTGTGAAAGGTGAGCAGACAGACAAAGCTGGCCGATAACTGAACACAGTGCCAAAAGGAGAAGATCTGCAGACAAAACTAAATAATGTCCGAGCACATCATTCTTCAAGTATAGTCGATAAGTTTCCATCCAAGATCATTGTAACAAGAACCAAACACAAGAGGATTATTATTTTTACCATTCAGACTTTATTCATAAAATTCTGGTTTGTCTACTCTTGTTATCTTAACCCTCCAGCCAGCCATTTGAAACTTCATAAAAACTCTGCGGAGTCACTTACCAGTGATTGGACAACCACATCAACCAGAGTAGCAAAGAATCCTTTAGAAGCATTGAGTTTTTCATGGGCATAGCGGACAGCACGGCGGAGGATACGACGCAGGACATAACTATAGAGAAAAAAAAAAAAAAAAAGAATAATAAACCAAAAAGATTACATCGTTAGGTAGGTTTATAAACTGATATCCTATAGCCAGGACTCCTACCCGCGTCCAGTGTTGTCCGGTCGTCCACCATCAGCCAGTGCCACGGTGATTGTTCTGGCATGGTCAGCGAGCACTCTGTACGCCATGTCTATGCCATCTTCATCCTCAACACCCACCTTTCCAGAATAAGGGCGGGCTCCAGTGCCCTGTGATGACAGAATATTGATTACATTATGCAGGAGATTCTGAAGTTAGGAATTCAGGAACAGGAGGTCACAGGAGGGGCGAGTATACAAACAAAGGGTTAGGCAAAAGGTAATGTGAGGGGGCTTTAGGGCAGATTTTGCTCCAAGTGGTTGGAACTCTACTAGTGCCAAGCTACCAACACTGAAAGCAAATGTGTTATGATACAGAGATTAAGTGTACCCAGAGAACTTGCCACATTGCAGCAGTATCCAGGCATCTGACAACAGAAAGATTCATAATTTTTACATCAATATCTCCCATATACTTTTATGGTGGGACACATGCAAATGAATTTCCTCCTCTCTAGTTCCCTGGTCTCCTCCTCCCATGCCCGCCTCCAGGACTTCTCCAGGGTGTCACCCATCCTCTGGAACTCCCTGCCCCAACCCATCAGATTATCACCTACTCTCCTCTCCTTTAGGCGCACCCTGAAAACCCATCTCTTCAGGGAAGCCTACCCCAACCCCTGCTAACTTGCCGACCTCCTCCACTCTTCCTACCACTCCATCCCCCACAGCTATCTCCTCCTATGCCACCATCCCCTCCCTCCTAGATTGTAAGCTCGAAAGAGCAGGGCCCTCAATCCCCTCATGTTTTGCATTGTATTGGTATTGTTCTGTCACATGTTCTGTCCCCCTTTGTAATGTACAGCGCTGAGCGAAAAATTGGCGCTTTATAAATACTGTATAATAATAATAATTTACAGACATGGCTGTGCAAGAGTCGACATACCTTCTGGATGGCCTCAAAGTATGGGATGAAGAGGTCAGTGTCATAATTGGACATTTTGTTCTGCAGTACAGACACCAGTCTCTCCAGCCCCATGCCGGTATCAATGCTTTTCTTGGGCAGAGGTTTCAGGCTTCCGTCACTCTCCCTACAAAAGTCAGATAGTGAATAGGTGCTACCTGGTAGGACTACAGCCGTGGATCCTATAGAGCATTGCAATCATTTAAAAATGGTATACAGGGAAGAATATTATAAACAAGACACAAGGAGGAAAAAGCTGGAGAGTTCAAAACACTGGCAACATTATTATTCCAGACAAAGAAGCAAAGATTGCTCCCACCTGGGACCCTCCTCTACACGTTTCTCTATGTCCTCTGCACTTTATCCCAGGTGGAATGTGTTAGGAGGAAGAGGTACCAGGCCGGAAAGCTTTGCTCGATGTTAGTGTTTAACCTTTCCTGGAGGGCAGACCTCTTTCTCATTCCTAGACCCATATGACTTATGGGGTAGAGAGAAAGCCTTCACCAGCATCAAGCACCTGGGCATTTAAGTCGGGATCCTCCCTTAGGGTTTGGGAGAAGGGCACTCTGCATTTTAATTTAAGGCACTTGATAAATTGGTTCATACAAACATTGGCAACAGGCACATTAGGAAATAATAAAAAGGATAATAATTTGCCAAAAGATGTTTTGGTTCTACGCCTTCACAATTTTATTGTGACTTTATAAATTGGGTTCCTTCCCTGCCCTTGAGCTTATTAAGCAAGGAAGTGACTGTGCCAAGACTCTGCTGTGATGAAGTGCCAAGATTCAGCAGCAATCCATCATGCTTCATTAAAGCGTCAGTCCACCTGAAACCAAAATTTGTGTTTCGTGGATGGAGAGTTAAAGTGACCGATGCTCGTTAAAGATATTGTAAAAAAAAAGTGCTCACAGTAAGGGGGAAAAAAAAAAAGAAAAAGTGAATACTCCGCTATCCCACTACCAGCCGCAGCTTTGTTGCAGGATCCCTCTGCCTTGGCCTACCTATACACAAGCTGTCCCCTTCAGTCTATCATGAATGTGGCTGACAGATTCATCCAACTTGCTACTGCTCAGTGTCTTTCACCCCTCTGTGCCAATCCCTCCACTCAGGGTCCTCCACCCCACTCTCTGCCAATCCCTCCACTGGCCTCCACTAAGGTCCACCCCTCTATCCCTCCCCCTCTCTGCTAATCCCTCCCACTGGCCTCCGCCCTCCAGGGTCCTCCACCCCTCTCTGCCAATCCCTCCACTGGCCTCCGCTCAGGATCCTCTACCACTCTCTGCCAATCCCTCCACTGGCCTCTGCTGAGGGCCCTCCATCCCTCTCTGCCAATCCCTCCACTGGCCTCTGCTGAGGGCCCTCCATCCCTCTCTGCCAATCCCTCCACTGGCCTCTGCTGAGGGCCCTCCATCCCTCTCTGCCAATCCCTCCACTGGCCTCTGCTGAGGGCACTCACTCCATCCCTCTCTGCCAATCCCTCCACTGGCCTTCGCTCAGGGTCCTCCACCCCTCTCTGCCAATCCCTCCACTGGCCTCCGTCAGGGTCCTCCATCTCACTCTGCCAATCCCTCCACTGGCTTCAGAATGCTTATCAAAAACAAATCAAAATACTAAACACAAACATAAAAAGCCATCCACACCTTCACCCCAAGTTACCTGATCAACCTCATCTCAAAAATCACCCAAACCAACCTGGTCGCTCCTTCCAACACCTCCTGATCTCTAGCTTCCTCATTACCTCCTCCCACGCTGGTCTCCAGGACTTCTCCAGAGCCTCTCCCATCCTCTGAAACTTACTACTCTTGTAAGGCTATCCCTGAAAATTAATCTCTTCATGGAGAAACCTACTTTGCCTCCACCTAACAACTGAGCTTTTACTTTCTCCATCAGCTCATCCCTCACAGTTATTACCTTTTGTATCACCTGCCCCTTGCTTTTAGACTGTAATCGCTCATGAGCAAGGCTCACCTAACACTACTGTCTGAAATTGTTTAGCAGCCAAAGCACTTCTAAATATCCCATACCTGATCTCCCCCCCTTAAGTGATGTGGTTACATAGGCAAAAAAAAAAAAAAAAAATATCACCTGACAGGGACCAGAAAATCTACAAAACTGGAAGGGTGTAAGATGCCAAAGAATTTTCGGTCAGTGTAACTCTGCAACAGGGCAAAGATTGACAGTAGGATAATTATTAAATGCCTGTTATAAGGGGTTCTCACTATTCCTGTGCTGAGTTCCTGGGTCTCTATACCTATTGTGCCCATTATGAGGGATTCCCACCATCCCTGTGGTTCGTACCAGGGTCTGTGTACCTGCAGTGCCCACTAAAAATATGTCAGATTCCTCAAGAGAAAGGCAACATGAGACTCCATCAGTGACAAATATGCCATTTGGGTGGAGAGGGCCTTGCCTGTAGTGAGACTGAAGCTAGAATCCAATTAACCGCACCTCGCCTGCTTGCATCTCTTAGGTGAATGCTTAGGAAGGACAAGACCCTGCCAATATCTTTTAGACATGGAACTGCTCCTCAAGTCTAATCTGGTAACTACATGTGGTCTCCTGTGTTTTACCTGTTAAACTGGATGAACACAAGATTCCAAATTTCCAGCACATTGGGGTCATCCATGTTCACCAAGTGGGCTGCATCCCGGCCACCAATGCGGTCAAAGTGCATCTCACTACAAGGTCCACAGGGGCCGGTATCTCCCATCTCCCAGAAGTTGTCCTTCATGCTGCCTGGCAATATTCGCTCCTCTGGCAGGCTGGATTAAGACATCATACATTAAGAGCGCCCAGGAGATGAGGATCAATAAATTACATACAGAATATATACGAGACATACATCTTACCCCAGGTTAAACCAGATCTGTTTACACTCCAGGTCAGGTTCAAGGCCAGCAGCCTCATTGCCCCCAAAATAAGTGACATACAGGCGGTCAATGTCAATGCCGAACTCCTTAGTGAGAAGGTCCAGTGCCATTTTACATGCCAGCTCCTGCAAAGGGCAGTACAGTGTTACTACAACAAGTCAGATCTGGTCTCACCTGCACAAGTCACAGACGGCCTCACCTTAAAGTAGTCACCGAAGGACCAGGAGCCCAACATCTCGAAGAAAGTGTGATGGTAGACATCCTTCCCTACATCGTCCAGGTCATTGTGCTTCCCACCAGCTCGGATACACTTCTGCGTGTTGGCTGCTCGGTTCAGCTTGGCCATGGGGTGAGATGGGTCGATGGTATTCAGGAAGATTGGCTTGAACTGCAGAAGAGAAGATATTACAAGACGGACAGGAGAGGAACACGACGTCTAGAACACATGAGGTCCTCGTGATCGGGGAAGATGTTCATCATAAACTGAATTTTGTCTTTTTTGCTTATTCTAAAGCAAAATCAAATGCCTGATTGGCTCCTATGCCATGATCACAGGAAAACTCCACTTTTACCTCCATTTTCCATAAGGTCTCATTTACACCGACATACTATAGGGTACGGGCGGCACAGTGGTTAGCACTTCTGCCGTGCAGTAAATGGGTCATGGGTTCAATTCCCAACCATGGCACCTCCTGCATGGAGTTTGCATGTTCTCCCTGTGTTTGCGTGGGTTTCCTCAGGGTACTCCGGTTTCCTTCCACCCTCCAAAGACATGCTGGTAGATTAATTGGCTTCTGTCTAAATTGTCCTAGTTTCATCCCTGGCCCTGCAGGATCTCCTGCATATCCAACACAACAAACACTTTACTCCTGCGCTAGGAAAGGACTCAGTAGACCCAATAGGAATGTTCTGGAATTTTCTGGAATATGCACTGCTTGCTGCCCTCAACAGACCGGGGTGGTCCGAATACACTGGATACAAATTGAGAAACAGAAAAAGGGCGCACCGACCTAGTGCATTATCGTTTAGAATAATTTATTAAAGAAACAAAAATAGGTATCATACTCACAATGGACATAATAACACAGGCATGTCAAACTGAACAAGATGTATGATCCAAACAACATCTGAGTCCATACGATGGAACCCTGAATGACCAACTTTCTAACTCTTTTCGAGGACACAACCTCTTCCTCAGATCCAAAAACAGGCTCTGAGGAAGAGGTTGTGTCCTCGAAACGCGTTAGCCAGTTGGTCATCTAGCGTTCCATCGTAAGGACTCAGATGTTGTTTGGATCATACATCTTGTTCAGTTTGACATGCCTGTGTTATTATGTCCATTGTGAGTATGATACCTATTTTTGTTTCTTTAATAAATTATTTTAAACGATAATGCACTAGGTCGGTGCGCCCTTTTTCTGTTTCTCCATTTGTATCCAGGATCTCCTGCATGGTGGGGGTTGGGGAAAGACCTGGCAACCTACCCTGTAAAATAATTGCTAACAGAATTCATGGAAAAAGTCGCTTACGAGTGATGGCCCATGCAATCGCCAAGGGTTGGATACGATTGAATGGATAGAGAGAGACTACTATAGGGTACACCCACGCAGGGATGCACAGGTGTTCCATGCATTGACATACAGGCAGCCCCAGTCATATCAATTTGGATGCAGCAGCTGTATGGACACAAATTGACAACAGCGCCGATGCACAGCCATGAATGTAGACAGTGTGGTTTCCATGCCGTGAACCCGCATGGCTGTCAGAAGGGGAAAGGCAGCTGTGACCGTGCATCCACTGCTTCTCAATTTATATGAATGGGATTGCCTGCACAGGGATGCATTAATACCTGTGCATCCCATTGCAGGCACACTGGCCCTCACACTGGCATATGCTATAGTACACCCATATGAATGAGGCATAATCCTCTCCAACACTCTTCAAAATCATGTCTATGATGGTGACATGTCTACCTCCAAAAACAGCCATCATGTCACCCAAGCTGCAGCATGGAGCAGATTGTGAGTGCATCGCAGAAGCACCAACACCAAAGTGCGCCAATTCCTGAACCGGAGAGGGAGCTTATGCGCTTTATGGAGAACCCTCATAGCCATCACAGTACTCAGCGCTTTCCTACAGATATTCAAATCTGACAATACACACAATTCCAGAACATATTTTTCCAGCATAGAAAAGTGGTAATTGAGCGGTGGGAATAATAATATCAGGTTGCTAGCATAAAAGGCAACCTCTAAACCCAGTATAAGAAATATAAAATAAGTATGCAGCGCTAATAAAAATATAAAATCAGGTAAAGAATCAAATAAATCAGAAATTGCACAATATCAAAATTGAGCAACTCAGTCCATTTATAGTGGTATATATAGTGGTAAAGCAAAGTGATTATGTGCAAGTGTTCATAAATCTGCAATAGAAGGACAACCGTGACTCTTGTGCTCTTGAGAGTGTACAAACATTGCACTAACCAGATAGCACATTAGCTGCGCGTGGAGCAATTAAGACCTGCTCCTGGTGCTCTGGACTTGTAATACCAGGAAGATGTCATCGGCGTGTAGGCCACTAGATGTCATCAGTCTAGGTGTCAATCAGGATGGCCTTGCGGTATATGTGCCCCTGACCTTTGTACATATACCGCAAGGCCATCCTGATTGACTCCTTGGTGGCCATATCAGATCCGGATGTTCCTGATGACCTGGATTGGTGTGTGACCTCTCCCTCCGCCGCTGGGGATTGGCATGGTGGAAGGTTTAAGAGTTTTAGACTGATGACATCTAGTGGCCTACACGCCGATGACATCTTCCTTTTATTACAAGTCCAGAGCACCAGGAGCAGATCTTAATTGCTCCACGCGCAGCTAATGTGCTATCTGGTTAGTGCAATGTTTGTACACTCTCAAGAGCACAAGAGTCACGGTTATCCTTCTATTGCAGATTTATGAACACTTGCACATAATCACTTTGCTTTACCACTATATATGGACTGAGTTGCTGAATTTTGATATTGTGCAATTTCTGATTTATTTGATTCTTTATCTGATTTTATATTATTTTTATCAGCGCTGCATACTTATTTTATATTTTTCCGGCAACAGTGTGCAGATGCTCAGTGACAACCGAAAAATAACATTTACGGTGCTAGAAAAGGGGAACTCAGATCATCCGCTTATACATCACTTTTCTGTGGTTTACCTAAAACGAAAAAAAAAAAAAAAAACCAAACAAGGAAACAAAAAAAAACAAACAAAAAAAAAAACATCCCAATTGATGAGATTCCTTTTTTATGGGTTGCAGGTGACAAGTGGAAAAATGTATCAGAAAAAGAAATTTCTGTAGAGGTTATAACTTTCACATAAACCAATTAATGTATACGTATTGGGATTTTTTTTTTTTTTAGCAAAGACATGTAGCAGAATACATTTTGGCCTAAATTTATGAAGAAATTTGATTTAATTTTTTTTAAACTGTCAGTCTTTTGTTTATAGCGCAAAAAAAAAAAAAAAAAACAAACAAAAAAAAAAACGCAGAGGTGATAAAATACCACCAAAGGAAAGCTCTACTTGTGGGGGGGAAAAAAAAAAAAAAAAAAAGGAAATAAACAAAATAAAAAGGTGATTTTTGAACAGCCTTAGCCAATCATTTGATACCCTCAGATGTAACGTGAAGTGTAATGTGTGTTGAAATGGCCGCTTGCAGTTTCAATAAGAAACCCATCTGACAGGGTGACAAGGCAAGATCATAGCTAGAAGACAGACAGAGTGTTGTCACCCAATATCAGGAAATACCCAAACAAGGACCTTCATGGCAGTATCACAGAGATTATATTATTGAAAGCAGCAGATTTAGAATTGCTGGAAAGGACTTTGAAACTCACTACACATTGCAATCTGATTGTGCAAGGGCCTGCCTGATTGGATAAAAATTGATTGGGTAATTTAGTTGGGTCCTCATATTGGATCACTTTGGTGAATCCATAGCTGACTGTACTATCAGATTGTATGTGGTGACCCTGATGGCTCATTTTCACTTCCGGACGGAGTGTGTGTGGGATGGGTGGGGTCGGAGTGATAAAAATGTGCAGTTTGAGCCATAGTTTCTCCTCCTCCCGACTGCCCACCTTAACATTGCATGTGTACAGTCCCCTCTGGTCACAATGTTGTGGCGCTGATGCTCTTCTTCATGGCAAAATTTGTACCCCATGTTGCATGTATTGGGCAGTACTGCTGTCAAACACGACCCATCCAAGTGAATGAGTGTTTGGCTGTGGTTATAATGGAACCACGTGTAGTGCACACCTATCACAGGCCATTGCTGCTGCCTTTTAAGGGTTAAAACAGGCAGTGAGAAGGCAACATATAAGTCTCCCAGTCACCTGTCATCTGCCCTCTAAAAGAGATCCAATTCAGTGAGAGGTCTGACAGGAAGCTGTGCAATGCACTGACATGGTTTACTTTTTTAAAACTTTATTTGTAGTGTCACTTCATACCTATGTCTGCAGAGCACTGTGCTGTAGTACAGTGACATATGGTGCCATCCAGTTGGCGGCATCTTAGCGCACTGCAGACTGGGGCACATAGAAAACATTTGTGTTCTGTGTGTCCTAGCAGTGATCTGCATTTTATAATGCAGAAAAAAAACAAATCAAAACAAAAAAAAAAAAAAAAAAAAAAAAAAAAAAAAAAAAAAAAACACAACCCCCCCCCCCCCCCCAAAAAAAAAAAAAAAAAATAAAAACCCACAGGTCACCACACATAAGGTGAATGGACCTGTATGGGTACGTTCACCTTATGTGTGGTGACCTGTTTTTTTTTTTGTTTTTTTTTGTTTGTTTGGTTTTTGTTTTTTTGCGTTTATAGCAAATACTGAGATTGTAGTAATTGGGTTGAGGTATCATTTAAAAGGAATAAAGTCGACCATAGTGATCAGAGAATAGATGATGGCTCAGATATGGGTTGATGGTCTTCCATGATGTACATCTTTTTTTCCCCCCTAAATGTTAATAGGCTAAAGCCAGCCATAGTTGGTTTGAATCTTGGCAGGTTCAGCAGGAACCGGACAAGATTCAATCCATGTGTTGGTAGGCTGATTGTACCCAAGTCGATCCATCAATTTTGGATACAAAAAGCATGAGGGCAGCACAGTGGCTAAATGGTTAGCACTTCCGCCTGGCAGTACGAGGGTCATTGGTTCGAATCCCAACCACGGCACCACCTGCCTGGAGTTTGCATGTTCACCCTGTGCCTGCGTGGGTTTCCTCTGGGTACTCCGGTTTCCTCCCACACTCCAAAGACATGCTGGTAGGTGAACTGGATCCTGTCTAAATTGTCCCTAGTATGTGTATGTATGAATGTGAGTTATGGACCTTAGATTGTACGCCCCTTGAGGGTTAGGGACTGATGTGAATGTACAATATCTATGTAAAATGCTGTGTAAATTGACGGCGCTATATAGGTACCTGAAATAAATAACTGTTGGATTTTTGGGATGTGATCACTGCCAGAGGCTACAGCCGCTAGCAATGATCACTGTGTTCTCCTGGCAGGGACGTCCCCCCCACTTCCGGCAGAACACAATTGCTCCATGAGAGTGACCCGCGGTTACAGCTGTAAGAAAAATGCATCATCTATGGCCTACCCAAGTGTAGGGAAATGGAGAGTAAGTAAGGCAGGACCCCCCTTACACACACATCTGCCACAGCAATGATCAGTAAAGGATTCCTTACCCAGAGATCTGATCACTGCAGATGCCGTCAGTGAAATCAGATTCTGAAGAGTTATTTTGGGTTTCTGCATTCCTCTGAACACTGTCTGCCTCCATCCCTCACCCGCAATCCCCTCACCCTGCCCCCCTGCACACATAAATCAGCAAATAAAGTGAATGGGAGGGAAGGATGAGGTCAAGTGCAGTGACCTACAGCAACCCAATATTACTATAAGCAGCAAGATCAGAGTTGAAGATCTGGGGATATGTATGGAGGATCTGTGATGGGTCTGCAGATGCAGCGATGGATTGAAGCTGCTCAGAGTCGGCACATGGACAGAGTGTCGGGAAATGCTGAGTAAGGATAAGGAGGGGAGGAGGTGGGTGCTGTGTCATGGGGGCTGCAGATATCATATACTGTGCCCACAGGAGTGGGCGGGGCTTCTAGTATAACCACAACCAATTATAAACTGGTGTTTCTGATGTAGATAAGAAATACAGCGCAGATAGCTCGTTATCCAACTGCCCCGCTGGACACACCTTACAACAGCTTGCCAATCTGACCATCAAAAAGAGGGTTACATACAAGTAATAAATAAAAACACTAAATCAGAATGACTCAATCTTTCTTCAATACTTTTTCTTTCAAAAAAGTATGCAAAATCTCAAGGCACCCCAGATGAAAAAATTTTTTTTTTCTTCATTTTTATATCTTAAACAGGTTATAAAAGTTATTGGATATCTCCTGATCATTTATTTTTTATCAAAAGGAACCCCCCCCCCCCCAAAAAAAAACAAAACAAAAAGCAAAACAAACCCCCCCCAAAAAAAACAAAAAGCAAAACGCAAAACAAACCCCCCCAAAAAAACAAAGCGAAAAGCAAAACAAATCCCCCCCCCCCCCAAAAAAGCAAATTTTAGCAACATTTATACATTTTATTTAATTATTTACCCGCTTCCCCGGTGTACATTTCTGTGTAGGGAGCGCGCGCCACCATTGACTGCTACAGATGTCAATAACTGGGTATCAGCTGGAGATTCCCCACCCGGCGATCGCTGAGAAACAGTGACAGGGGAGAGATCTGCGTGTAAACACAGGTCTCTCTCCTGCCAGCAATATCATACTGCTGTGCATTTCTCTGCATAGCACCCCTAGTAAAACACACAGCACACACAGTAAAACAGCACACAGTTAACCCTTTGATCGCCCCAGATGGTAACCCCTTCCTGCCCAGTCTCAGTAGTACAGTGTGAGTGCTTTTTATTAGCACTGATCACTGTATTAGTGTCACTGAGGATGTCAGTGGCAGTTAGTCAGTTTCCCCCCCAGTGTCAGAATGCCCACCGCAGTCCCTGCTATAATTGGCTGATTGCTACCATTACTAATAAATATATATATATATATATATATATATATATATATATATATATATATATATATATATATATACACATATACATATATATATATACATATATATATATAAAAGGGATTCCAGTATCTATTTTTGTACACACTAACTTTCACGTAAACCAATTAATTTACATATACTGGGATTTTTTTTGTTGTTGCAAAGACATGTAGCAGAATACATTTTGGCCTAAATTTATAAAGAAATTAGATTTTTAAAAATTTTTTTTACTGGATGCTTTATAGCAAAAAGTCAAAATTTTTTTAAATTGGTCAGTCTTTGTTCATAGCGCAAAAAAAGAAAAAAAAAACGCAGAGGTGATCAAATACCACTGAAGGAAAGCTCTATTTGTGGGGAAAAAAGGGACATAAATTTCATCTATGTACAGCGTTGCATGACCGCGCAATTGTCAGTTAAAGTAACAGTGTCATATCGCAAAAAATGGCCTGGTCAGGAAGAGGGGTAAATCCTCTTGAGGGCAAGTGGTTAAACTCTTAATGTACTTTTATCAGCCACCAAAGAAAAAAAATCTGAGATGTATAAGGATACCACAATGTGTGCGGTACTTTTGTTTTGTTTTCTTTTTTTTTTTAGCACAGCGTAACACAATCCACAATCTCTCACTGTACTACGGACAACAGAATTGAATGAAAAGCCACTGACATTTCAATAAAGGGTTTTTTTTTTTTTTTAAATAAACAAAAACGTGCACAGTGCAATGTATTGTGATTGGTGCATTGACACTGCTGTCACCCTACCACACACCACCTGCTGCGTTCTAACCCATTTTTGCTACCAGACACTATGGGCTCATACAAATGTGTGCCAATCATTGCCCCCCCTCTGAAAAGCAATCCACTGCATTTGAGAGGCGGTGAGGAGACATTTCCCCTTTTCGTCACCTGTGTTACCCTGAAAATGCCGACCCAATGTTGCTTGGCATTCCTAGAGTGTATTCCAGGAGGTTGCAGTGTGGCCCCATTCATTTGAATGGGTAGTGCACGGTGGTGGTGGTGGCCAACTGCAACGGTTGCGGTTTCATTTTTACTGCGACTGGGAAAGATAACATCAAGGCTGCAGAATTTGTACAGCCCTGAGCAGCTGCATCTCCTTGTTCAGGTGAGTTGTTGGGGATGGGAAGTAAGACCTCATCCACACATGGTATTTTGGAAGCCACTTTTAGGGGCGTCAGGGCGTTTTTTTTTTTTTTTTTTTTACTGCTTCCAAACAGCCCTCCATGTGATTTATGTGTCCGTGCACACAGACCTTTAGAAGCTTTTAGTAGTAGTAGTGTTATTCAGCAGGAAAAAAAAAAACCCCCAGGGCCAGTGTGTCCAGGAGAGGCAGTGTTTAGGCACCTAAACGCATCTAAATGCTTGTGAACGCTAGGTGCATTTAGCGCTTGAGCATATTATTCTGGCCAATGAAATTAATGAATCCCTGTAAATGCACCTAAACACTTGAAAAAGCTATAGACACCTTGACAAGCATCAGGCGTTTTTTCTGCCAAAACCCCCGCTGCCAAGAGTAAGAGCGTTTTTAAAATGTTCGTGTGCATGAGGCTGAAAACTGCCGCTTGACCTCCTGCTTGTAGTACTCCCGAGTCCCATCACTGACCAAAGTCAATCTCCGATGTAACCATTTTGTCTTTCTTTTTTTTTTTTTACAAAGTTCTCCTCTAGATACAATGTATCTTTTACTCCTGAGAATGGAGGATCAGTACAGGGGCGGGATTTAACAGTAATGACCATGGGCGTCCCTAGGGTTGGTGTCGCCCGGTGCAATAACACTTGGTGACACCCCCTCCGACGATCCCCGTAGGATGGATCGGATCTGCGGATTGAGCACAATGGATCGCACTCCGATCCATCATGCTCCCCAATCCGCAGATCTGATCCATCCTGAGGGGATCGGCTTGCTTTACAACTTACCTTTTCGTGGAGCGGGTCTGGTGTCACCCTGTATAGGTTGCATGCCGACAATCCCCGCAGGATGGTTCGGCTCTGCGGATTGAGAATAATGGATCGGAGTCCGATCCATTATGCTCCCCAATCCGCAGATCCCATCCATCCTGCAGGGATCGTCGGCATGCCTCCTATACGGGGTGACACCGGACCCGCTCCACGAAAAGGTAAGTACTAAAGAAAGCCGACGATCCCCGTAGGATGGATCGGATCCATCCTGCGGTGATCGTCGACTTGCTTTACAACTTACCTTTTCATGGAGTGGGTCCAGTGTCACCCCGTGTGGTAGGTGTCACCCGGTGCGGCGCGCACCCCCTGCACCTGCCTTGGGACGCTACTGGTACTGCCCACTGTGATTGGCTACCAGAATGATCATATGATCAGACCCCGATCTTACCAGCTACAAATTGCTACGCAGGAAATGACACTGCCAGCTGTATCACTGCGGTGGGAGCGCACAATTAATCGCGCTTCCATCCCTGACACATTCACTGTTTCTTGGGAGAAAGCAGACTTTCATATTGCTGCATTTCTGGGTCATCGTTTGATGGCACCCCAATGGGCCCCAGCGACACCCCAGTTAAGAAAGGTTGGGCTAAAAGCATAGGATGCTACATCCCCAATCCTGCAATGCAATGCTCAGGCCGGAGCATCCAATAAGGGTCCCCAGACACTCCCACCTGAGGGCACTCATTACTATGCAAACATTGACCAGCAGAAAGTCGCTGTACAGGAGGTGAAGCAGGAGGAACGTTAGGGCCCCATTCACATCTGAGGGTAGCGGGAGCTCCTGTACCCACACACGTTTTGGAGCATTTCAACTCGTCGCACATAGGGTAGCCCATACAACCAATGAGGGCCCAGCATGGATCCCACCACCAAAAGATTACCCATGGCCAACCCTCCCCCCCTCACAACCAATCCAATGTTATGTGCGGAGACACACTTTAACCTGCAGATCTGACCTGGTTCATGCCGGCGTTGGCGAAGAGCAGGGTGGGGTCATCCAGGGGGACAACGGCCGAGGAGTGCACATAAGTGTGCGCATTCTGCTTGAAGAAGTCGATGAACTTCTCCCGGATGGCGGAGGCGCTCAGTGGTGTCGTCATGGTGACCTGCGCCAGGGAAAAAAAAAAAAAAAGTATATGTGAGAGCTTACCACTAGATACCCAACTCCCCTCCCCATTACATAACACCCCCCCCCATCCATGACAAATCCCCCCCCCCCCCACAACATAACCTCCTCAACACATCCCACCCCCCTTTCCCCTCCCAAGAACATAACACCCCACCATCCATGACAAATCCCCTCTCCACAACACATCCCACCCCCAGAACACCCCTTTCCCCTCCCAAGAACATAACACCTCCCCCCATCCATGACAAATCCCCCCCCATCCATGACATAACCCCCTCCAGAGCACATCCCCAAAAGAACAGAACACCCCTCTTTCCCCTCCCAATAACACCCCACCAGAACACATCACACCCCCCCACACCCAGAACTCGACCCCAACATAACATAACACCCCCACACAGGGCACATACCACTGACAGAGGGTAATGAATGGCTCCTTCAGGGGTAACTACTCTCCACTGCAAGGTAAGTGATTCCCCCGAGCCATTCCCCCTCCTGTCAGTATAACTGCCCCTATTTCCCCCCCCCTCTCCTCTCACCTGCCCCGGTTGGGGTTCTTTCTTTCGCACGTTGTCTCCTCGCTGAGCAGCTCAGGCACTGACAACTCAGGCTCCACCCCTCCCACCGATTGGCAGCCGGTCCCCGGCTTCCGCTTTCAATTGGCTAAGGCAGCTGTCACTCCTCAGGAGCGAGGCTGCGGCTGATGCAACTAAAAGTAAGGGGGGTCACGTGCTCGGGGGTGGGGAAAGGGGCGGAACGAGGGAGAAGACGCTAAGGAGCGTGAGAGAGGCGGGAAACTCTGATTGCATGGATCCGCCCACTTCACAGAGGAACTATAACTCCCAGCATGGCTACCCTCCACAGAGGAACTACAACTCCCAGCATGACCTTCCTCCACAGAGGTACTACAACTGCCACCACGCCTCCCCTCCAAAAAAGGAACTACAACTCCCAGCATGACCTCCCCCTTCGCAAGGGAACTACAACTCCCAGCATGACTTTCCTCCACAGGAGAACTACAACTCCCAGCGTAACCTCCCTCCACAGAAGAACTACAACTCCCATCATGACCTCTCTCCACAGAGGAACTACAACCTCCAGCATGACCTTCACAGAGGAACTACAACTCCCAGTATGACCTTCCCCTCCACAAAGGAACTACAACTCCCAGCATGACTACCCTCCACATGGGAACTACAACTCCCAGCATGACCTCCCCCTCTGCAGAGGAACTACAATTCCCAGTATGACCTCCCCCTTCACAGAGGAACTACAACTCCCATCATGACCTCTCTCCACAGAGGAACTACAACTCCCAGCATGACCCCCCCCTCCAGAAAGGAACTACAACACCTAGCTTGACCTCCACAGAGGAACTACAACTCCCAGCACGATCTCCCTCCTCCACAGAGGAACTACAGCTCCCATCATGACCTCTCTTCTCCACAGAGGAACTACAACTCCCAGCATTACTACCCACCACAGAGGAACTACAACTCCTAGCTTGACCTCCACAGAGGAACTACAACTCCCAGCACGACCTCCCTCCTCCGCAGAGGAACTACAACTCCCGCAGAGGAACTACAACTCCCAGCACAATCTCCCTCCTCCGCAGAGAAACTACAACTCCCAGGACGATATCCCTCCTCCGCAGAGAAACTACAACTCCCAGGACGATATCCCTCCTCCTGCAGAGGAACTACAACTCCCGCAGGAATATCCCTCCTCTGCAGAGGAACTACAACTCCCGCAGAGGAACTACAACTCCCAGCACAATCTCCCTCCTCTGCAGAGGAACTACAACTCCCAGCACGACCTCCCCCTCCACAGAGGAACTACAACTCCCAGCACGACCTCCCCCTCCACAGAGGAACTACAACTCCCAGAATGACCTCCCCCTCCACAGAGGAACTACTACTCCCAGCATGATCTCCTCCTCCACAGGGGAGTCACAACTCCCAACTATCTTTATAGGGATTTGACCCAGTCCTGTGTATCTGACAAGGTGTGATGCTCTGCAGTCTATATTGTGATTAGGTGTGATGTTCTGCAGCCTATGTATGATGAGTTGAGATGGTCTGCAGTCTATAAATGAGGTGTGATGGTCTGCAGTCTGTGTATGATGTGTGATGGTCTGCAGTCTATATCTGATGAGGTGTGATGCTCTGCAGTCTGTGTATGATTAGGTGTGATGCTCTGCAGTCTGTGTTGAGGTGTGATGCTCTGCAGTTTGTGTATGAGGTATGATGGTCTGCAGTGTACAGTATATCTGATAAGGTCTAATGCTCTGCAGCCTATGTATGATGAGGTGTGATGGTCTGCAGTTTATGAATGATAAGGTGTGATGCTCTGCAGTCTATATTGTGATGAGGTGTGATGCTCTGCAGTGTACAGTATATCTCATTAGGTGTGATGCTCTGCAGCCTATATAGGATGAGGTGTGATGCTCTGCAGGCTATATCTGACCAGGTGTAATGGTCTGCAATATATATATGTGTGTTGAGCTGTAATGCTCTGCAGGCATAGGTGACATGGTGTTTTGCTATTCTGGCTGAATTCACACCTGAGCAGAGCGATTTTCAGGGGTTTTGTTTTGAGCTTTTCTGAACATTCTTTCCAGTGTATATTAGGCGTTTCTGGCAGCGTATTTCAGGCGTTTTACATGCGTATTCACGCTTCAGGCTTTTTGTTTTAGCCAATGGAAATCCTTTACAGAAAATCGATTTAAAAAAAAAAAGTTTGAATCGGGCATTTTCAGGCGTTCCCATTGACATCTATGGGGCCAATTGAATTGTTGCTTGTGTACTTTTTGGAGGGACAGGCTACAAGCCACAAGACTCTCAGGTGTGAACAGGGGCTACTGAATACAATGTGTTTTTGTCTTGCTGAATGTTTTTATGCTACAAGCTGTGAATGGGGCCGGGGGTGTGCAGAAGGAGGTACGGTACTCCTGCAGATCATCGCATCGAATGAATTATAGAGCGTCACACTTCATTATATATACATCCAGAGCATTACACCGAGTCCTGTACCCCCTATATGAAAAGAGCTGTAATGCGCTGAAGGTTTATACCTACAGAGGATCATACCCGATATATGCATGCAGAGCATTACACCTCACCATATAATTCTGCTGATTATATATATATATCTATATATAGAGGTGTAATGCTCTGCATGTTTATATAAAGTGTGATTTTCTGATGATCTACAGTATGCAATAACATGTAATGCTGTATGGCTCTATATGATGAGGTGTAATGCTCTGCAGGTATATAGGATGAGGTGTGATGTTCTGTGTGTGTGTATATATATATAGGGTGTAATGTTCTGCATGTGTGTGTGTGTGTGTGTTGTGTGTTTGTGTGTGTATATATATAGGGTGTGATGGTCTTCATGTATACATGATGAGGTGTAATGTTCTGCATTTATACATGATAAAGTGTGATGTTCTGTAAGTTGTTGCGATGTGGTGCGATGCTCTGCAGGAATGACTCGGCCCCCTCACAAACAAGACCTGTTGCTGTGTTTGCTGTGTGGGGAGGCGACTCGTGGCCGGAGAGGAATGTGGAGGTAATAATGAGGTCTGCATGGCACACATCCTGCACGGTCACATAGCAGCCGGAGCGCCGCAGAGCGGAGCTCATCACACGGTGAGTGTCTGGGGTTGGGGGGGACAGATGGAACTACGCTACAACCTGGGGGGACCCCACAGGAGAGACTGTCTGTGTAGGTGGAATAATCTGCAGATCTCTGGGCACTCATTGAATATTCACTCAGATTTTCTTCCTCTTTCTTTACTATTTTATGTCCATTTCTTTTGTCCTGTTGTGGCAGCCCTTCTGCGTTTTTTTTTTTTTATTTGTATTTTTATTTTTTCTATTAATTTTATCTTTATTCCCCGATAACAAATGAAAGTGATGAAGGCGGCCGTCCCCCGCTGGATATATTCTGACATTTTTTCAGATATAAAGCAGACAGGATCCAATGTATGGAGAGCGCTCGGAGCGGTGTGAGCCGCGGTCTATGGGGGCGATATGTGCGATACGTCATGACGATGATTGCTCGCTGCTTCATACAATGTTATCATTGTAACATTCACCGCCGGGATCCCCCGACTTCCATAATTGTTACATAAAATTCCTCTTACTTGTCTACGCCGATGAAAAACATTGTATCAATGCTTAATATGTGGTGGTGGGGGGAGGATGTCACCCGATTAACTCTGCTTTCCTTCCTGCAGGGTGTCACCATGGTGAAGGCGATTTTGCTGCTCTGCGTCACCCTCCATCTTCTGGGCCCCTCCGCTGGCCAGGTGAGTCTGAGTCACTGCGGGTTATCGCCGCGGGCACACGTCACCTTGATCACAGTGGGTGGTTCCCCTCAGGGGCGGACTGACAACTCATGGGGCTCCCGGGCAATAGGTGATCATGGGGCCCCTGTGTCCTTGCCCAAACTCAAAAAAGCCTATAAAAAAGGTACCAGGGGCATCTCATGGGGCCCCCTACTGACCCCGGGCCCTCGGGCAGTGCCCTAGTTTCCAAATGGTTAGTCCACCCCTGGTTCCCCTTCAGTGTTAACTCCAGAATATGGGAACTGCCACTCTTCTGACTTTTTGGATGTAGGCTCCAAGGCTGACTTCCTTTATTCCATAGGAACAAGCATGGGTGAGTTAGATGTTCTGACTTCACTGGTTGCATGCTTGTTCTGAGTCAGGAGGGCAGTCCTAGAGCCTGCAACTTGCTATGAAAACAAATAAAAAGCTGATTAAATGAACTTCTCATGTACCTGGGAGAAAGTGTCCATATACAATGTTTCCTTCCTCTTCCGAGATCTTTTCAGTGTTGCAGATTTTCCATTTTCTGAATCCGCTCTGGGAAGAGATTGACACTGGACTGCAGCAGTGGTGGAACAAGTCCGAGAAGGTCAAAGAGCGCCCCCTACCCCGTGTGCTGTGAACTACTTTGGCAGTATAGATCCTCCAATAAAGCGCAAATTGGAAAGTGACACCATTACCTGGAAGTAACGTTTTACACGGCACTTCCAGATCATTAGCAGGAAGTCTGTTCAGTGATCTCTCTCCACTCCATGTAGCGGCACCCACCATGCTGCTCTCCGATCCGCTGATAGACACGCAAAGCCTGGGAAACGTGGGGGTGCACACAGAGGGTGTGTGTATTGGGGAAAAGACACACTGGAGGGTGGAAGCTATCCAGAGGCTTCCATCCAACAGCCAATAGTTGGTTTGTCAGATTTACAAGCACTCCTGGTGGGTGAAGCTAACGGGAGTGTTTAAAAAAAAAAAAACAAAACACTATTTATTTATTTCAGGTACTTATAGAGCGCCGCCAGTTTACGCAGCGCTTTACATATATATTGTACATTCACATCAGTCCCTAACCCTCAAGGGGTGTACAATCTAAGGTCCCTAACTCACATTCATACATACACATACTAGGGCCAATTTAGACAGGAGCCAATTAACCTACCAGCATGTCTTTGGAGTGTGGGAGGAAACCCACACAGTCACAGGGAGAACATGTAAACTCCAGGCAGGTGGTGCCGGGGTTGGGATTCGAACCAATGACCCTAGTACTGCCATGCGGAAGTGCTAACCATTTAGCCACTGTGCTGCCCAACCACTAATATAATACGTATGGCAGTGGCAGTTCATACATACATTAGGTGACAATTATCAAGCAAATTAGTAACAAATCAAACTGCATCTCCTTTAGCAAAATCTCTACCGTATTGTACAGATATTGTTATGGCCTCCATAGGATAACTGTCCTGTAGCAGTAGTGTTGGTGTCTGTGTACTCCACACTGATGGTGTCATGATTTACCCCCTGTATAGGGGCAACTTGGCCGATCACTATACACAGTAACAACCTGTGCTAGGAGCAACGTGAATGGTAAAGAAGCAGCTGACAAGAATGTTGGCAACAAACAATTAATAATGTATAGCAAAATTCAATGCTAATTATCATATATGTAATAAAGGAAAATCTATTCACAATAACTTGAATGTCGGAACATAAAGTGCAAGTGTCATGAGGTGCAGTTCTCAGAATAAGTCCATATGGTGCAGCTGGAAGTAACATAAACCACATGTTGTAAGAGAAAAAAGTTCTTGAGGAAAAAAGAATCTTCCGCCCAGGGGCGGACTGACAACTTATGGGGCCCCCGGGCAATAGGGGATCATGGGGCCCCTGTGTCCTTGCCCACACTCAAAAAATCCTATAAAAAAGGTACCAGGAGCATTTCATGGGGCCCCCTACTGACCCCAGGCCCTCGGGCAGTGCCCGAGTGCTTGAATGGTCAGTCCGCCCCTGCTTCCACCATCAACACACACAGCCTCTTACCGGAAAACAATGACCGCAGATTAAGCGGTCTAAAAGCGCATAAGGTATGTATTGGTGGCTGGGGACCCCAACAAATCTCTTCACCGGTCTCCTCTCCACTGCAGCTTACTCCAAGGCATAAGTATAATATTAAGCCAACAGGATGATGAAAATCTCTCAGATATGTATATGCAAAGAAAAGCAGAACCACCTCATTGTGTGGTCATTTCTAAAATCAGAATTTAATAAAATTATTGCATTTACAAACAACAAATGGTATTCAGCATATGAGAAATCAAAGGGTGTTTCCAGCCAACAAAGATGGCTGCGATCCATGACGTCATGTACAGTCATATTATTTTTATGACAAAGCGCATTGGGTGGAGCTACAGTGTATCACATCATCGCGTCAAGGATCACTGCCATCTTGTTGGTTGGAAACACCCTTTGATTTCTCATACGCTGAACACTGTTGTTTGTAAGTGCAATACTTTTTATTAAATTCCGATTTTGGAAATGACCACACAATGAGGTGATTCTGCTTTTCTTTGCATTTTTGGTCATTGTTTTCCGGTAAGAGGCTGCATGTGTGGATGGTGGAAGATTCTTTTTTTTTCTCAAGTGGTTTTATCTCTTACGACACGTGCATTTTGCTATACAGATTGGTTTATGTTACTTCCAGCTGCACCATATGGACTTATTCTGAGAACTGCACCTCATAACAAGTGCACTTTATGTTCTGACATTCAAGTTATTGTTTTTGTGACGATATCTTTCTTCATTACATTGAATATATGGTCATTAGCGCTGCATTTTGCTATACAGATTGGCTGATTAGTTGGTTAAGTCTCTGAAATTAAATGTCTGCGATGGCAGTGCCTGTGCTTCTGTCCTGACTGATGTAATGCAGGCACAGAATCAATCGAAAATAAATCTGATATTTCCTATATTTTAATTGTATTGTCTCCCTTATATTGTAAAGTGCTGAGCAAAACTGTTGGCGCTATATAAATCCCGTAAATAATGAAAATAATAATAAAAATAATATATAATATACGTCTTGTATGAGACCAAGATATATATATATATATACAAATATATATAGGTTATATAAATCCTGTGTAATAAATAATAATATATATAAATATAAATCCTGTGATAATAATATATATATCTATTATATATATATATTCCGGGTATATATGGTTATAAATTTCCTGTGTAAGTTAATAATAATTTTTGGGGTTTTGTGTGACATTATCATATTTGCTTTTCTGCCTCTGTTTTATATATATATATATATATATAATATATATATATATATATAAATCCTGTGTAGTAATATATAATATAATATATATATAAATCCCTGTATAATATATAAATCCTGTATAATATAATAATATATAAATCCTGTATAATATATATATATATAAATCCTGTATAATAATCCTGTGTAAAATAAAATATATATATATATATATATATATATATATATATATAATATATAAAAATCCTGTATAATAATAATAATAATAATTGGCCTTCCAAAGACGAATATACAATGGAGGCCTGTAAGATGAGCCCAGGATAGATGTTTCTAATACCGTGATCTATGGCAGCCTCTCAGCAGCAGCTCCTTCCCCGTCTGTCTGAGCACCTGCTGCTGTCCTATAAATTTCCTCCCAGCACAAAGCCATCAAGTTTTACTGGCTGTGGTTAGGTGAGTTCTGTTACCTTCCCCCACACACTTGTACATGGAGGGGGTTTCCAGGCTGTTGGAGATCTGTGATGATTGGTATGTGGTTTGTCCCCCCCCAGACCTGCTCAGAGCAGCGTGAGGCTCTCCGAACTCTGCGTCAGGTCCAGAAGTTGCTCACCGACCATGAGGCATCGTACCTGCGAGGAATGAGGACCCTGAGCCGGAGGCTGAACCAGCTTAGGACCCATCTGCAGAAGGGAGACGGGAAAGGTGGGTGCAATTCCGGTGTCTGCAGGGGACTCCCTCTCTCATTCCTGCACCTCTCCATCACCTGACCGTACACATTATTGTCTCATTGTACAATCTTTTTGAACCCTTGTATGGCTGAGGCCGGTAGGAAGGGCTCCTGATCATTGTGATTGGCTGCACAGTCCTGATGTCATCAAGAGCTCATTCTACTGGCTCAAGATTGCCAGTCGTTGACTGAGCTGTCCATAACGCTGGTAGATCTCCCCAGAACAAGACTGACCCTTCAACACATAATTATTTATTATTGTTGTAAAAGGTGTTACATTTACTGAAACAATTTAATATGAGGGCAGGGCTGAACAAGCCATTTTGTATCCAAACTACAGAAGATTGTACAACTGGATTGTATAGTGTATGACCAGTTTGACCCTATTTATATTTGTCATCTGTCTGCTACCCTCCTCTTCACCCATAAACCTACTTATGCAGTATTGATATCCCTCTCACCCGGCCTTCCTCTAACCCCAGACAGTTGCCCTCTCCTGAAGGCTCCTCGTCATGGACGCATGCTGGGCAGAAAGCTGAAAGTAGGACATGAGGTGCATTTCTTGTGTGACCCGGGGTACCAGCTGCTCGGCTCTGAGACCAGAACTTGCCTGGACAACCAGACCTGGAGTGGACATGCGGCCAGCTGCTCAGGTAGTGGTCATTTTGGATTCTCACTTCTGATTGGTTGATTGCATAGTTACATTCTACAGATTTTGGTTGACATATTAACTGTCGACACCGGCAAACAATCTCTGGCTTACCAGCTGCTGGTGAACTGTAAATCCCAGCATGCCCACTATGTTCAGACTGTACTGGCTCTTGCAGTACCACAATATCTGGGGAGTCAGAGAATACTGGAAGAGAAATCGATCGGTTCTCTCATGAGGTATGAGGCTCTGTTCACTCTCACACCCATCTGTGATACAGAAAGTGGTGTATGAGTGTCTGTGTGTCCCGGGATGACCTGGGAGATTTCATTGGTCATTTCTCTTCTGCGGAGAGGTATAAGCCTTGACACACAGTATAGGTTTCCAGGAGCAGAGCTGACCATTGTGCTCCTTCTAATAGAACTGAAATCGGTTCATGACCCCGCACTGTACTGCATGACTGTAGACTGTACTGCATGTCCATGGACTACTATAATACACAACCATAACCTATACTGAGTTACCATAGAAAGACCACAGAGGGACAACATGACCTGTGTGGTACTCCACAGCCAAGGGAAGAACCGCACTACATGAGTCTAGACTGTATTGCATGACCATAGAGTGTACTGACCGTAGACTGTACTGCATGACCATAGAGTGTACTGACCGTAGACTGTACTGCATGATCTTGGAGTAAACTACATGTTCATTAAATGCATTGCATGACCATAGAATGTACTGCAGGACCATAGACTGGATTGAACTACTGTAGACTTTATTGCATAACAATAAACTGTACCGAGTGACCATAGAGCAGGGGCAGACTGACCATTTGGAAACTCGGGCACTGCCCGAGTGCCTGGGGTCAGTAGGGGCCCCATGAGATGCCCCTGGTACCTATTTCATAGGCTTTTTTGAGTTTGGGCAAGGACACAGGGGCCCCATGATCCCTATTGCCTGGGGGCCCCATGAGTTGTCAGTCCGCCCCTGCCATAGAGTATACTGACAGTAGACTGTACTGAACAACCATTGATTGGACTGCACTGTACAACTGTGCCCTGGTTTGCATCACCATAAAGTGTACTGACCATAGACTGTACTGCATGACCTTAGAGCATACTGCATGTCCATGGAGTGTACCATTGGACTGCATTACTGTACTGGATGACCATAGAGCAGGGGCGCTCAACCTGCTGAAGAGCGAGGGCCACTTAAGTGATTTGGTAACTGACCGTGGGCCACAATGAAATGAAATACTTAAGAATTTTTTTATTTATTTTAAATAGCATAATGAACATTTCCCTCCTGCAGCTGTTGAGTCCCGGCAGGAGGGAGAGGAGGAGAAGCCAGATTTCAGCTGTTGCAGGGGAAAATGGAGAGAATCAGTTCCTGTATATGTTGCCTCTCCTGTTCAAGTGTAAAACAGAATTGGAGGTCGCATGGGCCCCATGGAGTATGGGGTGGGGTCACCAGTGGCTGGGGCACTGTGGTAAAAACACCTCTGAACTATGTGTTTTTACTTCCCCTCAAACTGCAAATGTAAACAAGCTCTTACTGTCCTACATCCCTTCTTATAGGGCTGTTTTCACACTGAAGCTCTGCAGTTTATCCGCACCGTAGGTGCAGTGCAGTGCATCCGTAGCTTTCCTGAGAGTTAGGTGTATTTCGCCATAGACTTCTATTATATCTTGTGGGTGTGGTGCACTTTCAGAATGCACAAAAAACCTGCAGGATATAATAGAAGTGCTCTTTGCTGGTTTGAGGTTGAGGGCCACATCAGAGGACTCTGAGGGCCACATGTGCCCCATGAACCACAGGTTGAGCACCACTGCCATAGAGCATACTGACTGTAGACTGGACTGCACAATTGTAGATTGCATGACCATAAACTGTACTGCATGACCATAATGTGAACTGACCACAGGTTGTACTGCACTAAGGAAAAGCAGTACATGACTATAAACTTTACTAAATGGCCATAAAATGTACAGACCATAGACTGAACTGCACCCCCTTCCTCCCCATTTCAGAACAGTCCCTGCACCCCCCTCCCTCTCTAGACCAGTGATTCACCACTTCCTTCCATACAGCTTCATCTGACGTTTGGCATACAAAGCAAGCCAGCTTCTACTGTGCCATCTCTTTGGGTATTCCATAGTGCTCTGGGAATCATTTTTTTAAATTCCATATTAAAACCACCATTAGTTTACAATCTTGCTCAATTTCATCCCAAATTATTTATTTTATTTTTCTTTAGAAGATGACTGTGACAGCATCCGTAAAGGGAACCCAGCAATAATACAATACACAGGCTATCATTGCTGACCTCCTCTTAAAAAATGCCTGTCATGCTGGTCCTCGGTCCTGTGAATTGCCCATCCTGGTACATTCCATTACATAAGCAACATTGTGTTTTGGAGTTCTTTTTAAACGTCCTGTTTTTTTATGAGTATCCATGTTCAGCTTTGTGACATTAGAGCTTTGCCCTGTACTTGCAAGTGTTGCACCTGGTGCCTGTGTTGTAGGCACACAGCCATGGGTTATAATCTGCCATTGTGATCTCTGCACCATCAGACCCTGCAGGCTGATCCAGATCCAGATATTTGGTGTTGTCTCTCTCTGGCTTGTTAATGATTCAGCTGCTACGCGATGTCACCCTGCCTTGTGTCACTGCAAGTTTCTCTGTCCACAGAGTCACCGTCTGCCACCAACACAACCCTCCTTCGCCCTGCCAAGTGTTCCTCCTTCCACGGGACTCAGCACTGTACCTGCGATGCCGGCTATGTGATCCAGACAGGAGGCGTCTGTCAGGGTAACCAGCGGGGGAAGGGAGGGGGGAATATGGTGGTCAGGGGTATGAGTATTGGCCACACTGCCAAGTCTGTGTGAGAAGGGACTATGCCCTCTCAATGTTTCCAAACAGAATGTGTGTTCGAGGGGAAGGTCTTCTTGAATGCTGTGCAGGGTTTGCTGGGGATGTAACCTTCAACATGAACCCAATATTGAGTTATTTTAATTAAAATGTAATTAATGGGCTGGAAAACAGAATGATAGGCATTTCTTCAGTCAGCGATCACATCACCGTGAAGCATCGCCTTTCTGGCCAATCAGCGGCTTTGCCTGACCAGTGGTGGTATCCCCGAGACCATAAAACAGATCCTTGGCGTTGCTCATGTGACCAGCTATTGGAGGAATGCCAGTGATATTTTTTTGGACTCCATTATATTATTTTGCTGGATAACAGAAACAAATCTGATCTGATGTATGTATGTATGTATGTAGGTCATTTTAAGACAGAATTCCAGCAAATATAATCTCAGTTTTTGTGCATTTAGCATGTAAAATGCATTTGTTTGTCAAGGCATTTATAGCATCTCGGAACAAAGCCCTCTAATCAGGGGAAGGACTTGGGATACAAGTGTGAGATAGTTTTACACTGAGCTGCATTGTGTGTAAGGGAGAGTTGATGGTGTATTTGTAAAAAAAAAAATCACATAGCTAATTGCCCATTGAAATTGCATGTAAATTATTTCTTTGCAAATGAGGCAAGAGCGAATGTTCTCAGGTATATTCTCTGCAGATCGAATGTGTGAATGGGGAAAATACCGCATTATATCCTCTGGATGGCACTATTATAGGAAATAAGTATGCTCCTCAGTGCCATATAGTGCCTACAATTAAGTTTTTTTTTTTTTTTTTTTTTTTTTTGCATTCACACATTTGAATTGTTGAGAATATAACCTGAGAACTTTTGATTTTGTCACATTCCTACTGAAGGAGTTTTCATGCAGTTTCGATAGATGAACAGCTATGCAAATGTTTTTTCTATTGGTGCCTGTGGTGCATGCAGTGCATTGTGGGATGGGAAGTGAAAGAGCTGAAATATACATTCTGAGGGAGCCCAGGTTTGGGGCTTCTAGGGTGCACAGTTTTTTAGCCGGCACCCTTCTGATTATACTTTCAGATACTTATATTAGTTTTATATATCTTTATTAATAACAGTTTCACTTTAAATATGATGTTCAATTTGCTTGTATTTTACCTTCCTTGGACCCTCCATTCTTTGTAGGAAGTGGGTATTCTTAAGAAGATTGCATTTGCATGCAAACCACCCTTGGTAAAGGCCACAAGATAAATCTAGTGAATTAAAGGGGCTGGGCCTGGGACAGTCAAGCTGAAGGAAAGAGCTAGAAGATGCTGGATGTCCTCCAGCCAGGAAATGAGGCGGGCTCTGTCTGCCTTGATGCAGCTTCTAATGCACATTGTGAGAAGCTCACAGTGTGCAGTGAAATCAGAGTAAACCATTTCTGTACAGGAAAGCCTCTAGAAATCTTCAAGACTGCAGGAAAGGCTGGAGATGAGATTAAGGAAGAATATGGGTGACCCCACTGGTCAGCAATTTGTAATGGTCTTAGTGACACTTCCCTCTATGGCACCAATCTGCAGATATCCTGCAGACATCCTCCCATTGCGCACTGCTATACACTCCCCTCCTGTTCTTATTTCCAGTCCTACACAAGTCCCCAGGGATTCTCCCAGCACTGCCAGGAGTGGTATGTTGGTATCAATGGACCTCAAAGCTCCTAGAAGAGGAGGTCATTGACAGTCCAGGAGTTTGGGGTCTGTGGATAAGAGGTTACTGGATCTGAAGTGTTTATAGAAATTACTGGTCTTGTTTCCCAGCAATTCGGTTCTTCTTATCATGTTTACAGTTCAGTATGGAAGGTGTGGTCTTGTGAACAAAAACACTCCACTATTAGGAACAATCTAGTCACACTCCACTGGTTTATACACCACATGGCCCAGTCTGTGGACGCCTGACCATCACACCTATATGAGATTGTTGGACTTCCAATTTCAAAACAATGGCACTTGCTCCATCGCTCTATTGCTATGGAGTTGTCATTAGTGGCGTTTGCCCCCATCCCGTGGCCATTAGTACTGCCCCTGATTGGTTTATACATTACATGGCCCAGTCTGTGGCCATTACCTGAGTTGCCCATCCACACCATTAGTATTGAGATTGTTGGACTTCCAATTTCAAAACAATGGCCATTAATGTATTGAGTTGCTCCATCGCTCTATTGCCATTAGTATGGAGTTGTTGCCCCGTCCCCGTGGCCATTAGTATTGACTGTGTGCGTATTGAGTTGCCCCGTCCCCGTGGCCATTAGTATTGAGAGTTGCCCCGTCCCCCATGGCCATTAGTATTGAGTTGCCCCGTCCCCGTGGCCATTAGTATTGAGTTGCCCCGTCCCCGTGGCCATTAGTATTGAGTTGCCCGTCCCCCCCGTGGCCATTAGTATTGAGTTGCCCCGTCCCCGTGGCCCGTCCCCCCGTGGCCATTTAGTATTGAGTTGCCCCGTCCCCGTGGCCATTAGTATTGAGTTGCCCCGTCCCCGTGGCCATTAGTATGGAGTTGCCCCGTCCCCGTGGCCATTAGTATTGAGTTGCCCCGTCCCCGTGGCCATTAGTATTGAGTTGCCCCGTCCCCATGGCCTTTAGTATTGAGTTGCCCCGTCCCCCGTCCCCATGGCCATTAGTATTGAGTTGCCCCGTCCCCGTGGCCATTAGTATGAGTTACCCCGTCCTTTATTAGTATGGAGTTTTGCCATTCCCGTCCCCATCCCCGTGGCCATTATTATGGAGTTGCCCCGTCCCCATCCCCATGGCCTTTAGTATGGAGTTGCCCCGTCCCCATCCCCATGGCTTTAGTATGGAGTTGCTCCATCCTCATCCCCATGGCCATCAATATGGAGTTGCCCCTTTGTGGTTTAGCAGTCTCCGCTCTTCTGGGAAGACTTTCCACAAAATTTTTATTCATCATTCCAATTCATCCCAAAGGTGTTCAGCTTCGTTGAGGTCAGGACTCTGTACAGGACACTTGGGTTGCTCCACATCAAACCATGTCTTTATGGAGCTGGCTTTGTACACACTGAAGCAGAAAAGGGTCATCCCCAAACTGTTACCGCAAGGTTGGAGGAGCACAATTGCCCACAATGTTTTTGTATGATGTATTATTAATAGGACCCTTGACTGAGGATACCTGAACTCCATCATCGGAAAGGGGGGGTTCACAAACTTTTGGCCTTAGAGTGTATGGTTTGTGAAACTGCATCTCTATACAACACATATTTTGTTTTGGGTGGAATGTGGAAGGATCAGAACCCCTGTCAGATTTTTACTGCTGTGTCCCTGCTCGAAAGCTCTTCTCCATTTGTTCTGGAGGCAGAAACTGATGGAAAATCTAAAATGTTATGGTTGTCACTGAAACTGGAGGCGAGGGACACTTTCCAATGGAAAGACCTGTCCTGGTTAAAACTGTCTAAGAGGAGATTGCCCATCACTTCTTGTTGAGCCTACAGGTAAGAAGGTAAAGAGAACTCTCCCCAATGGGAAAGCAGTGCAGTGCGCAAGCTAAAGAATGTGACTGATACAGACAGAAAAAATACTGATAGACCTATTCTATCGAAAACATAAAATACATTTTGGCTTTAGATATATTTTAGAAACACTCAAAATGACCCCTGTAAATCCCAAACTTGGGGGTTGAATAAAAACTGATAAACACATATTGTGGTATAATAGGATTATTATCTCAAAGTTTTTATTGGTTTGTTTCCCCCCCCCACAGACATCGATGAATGCAGTTTGTTCCATGGAAGTGCACTTGCAAAGATTTGTATCCATGAATGTGTCATACTCCTGGATCATACCAATGTGTCTGCCCACAGGGTATCTCCTGGATTCTTCACAGAACATTTGCCAGGGTAGGTCGCCCCTTCTATGACACATTAAAAAAACGGTTATCACATGACCACCTCACCAGCTGATTCCTTTTCTCTCAGATATCGATGAGTGTGTGGCAGAGCAGAGCACCTGTGCTGGGGGACAGATCTGCGTCAATCTGTACGGCGGCTTCACGTGCGTCCGTCCAGAGTGCCCCAAACCGAAACACAACACAACCTACATGAAGACCTCTGCACAGTGAGTATGATTCCCCCTTGTGATCTACAGATAATGGAGGACTTGGAAAGGCTTCAGAAGAAGCCAAATAAATTACACCCTCAGCTCGAAGGACAGGGGCACTTAGAAGATTTTACAAGGAATTCAGTAAGGTGTGTCCTTTACAGGAAGAGAGGTTTAGCTATGGAATGTCAGAATATGATTTGATGACAGTAATGGAGATTTGTTGATTGGCCTCTAGGGGGAGCTCTCAGGGCTCAAAACAACTCTTAACAACTGTTGAGATAATCTATGAGCCACACAGGGAGGGCATTGTTTTTAATAGGGCTGTTTAAAGCAGACTTTTACGCAATAGATGCACTAAGCATCACTGCAGTCCTATCCCTATTTGGCATTTTTTCATTTTTAAACCAGCCCCACCAACCTGCCATTATATTCGCTTAGGCGAGAATTATGTCTCCTCCTCTCTGAATCCTCCTGGAATATGCACATCACATATTCCAGAAGGAAGCGGGAGCAGGGACACACAGTGGCCGATGTGCAGAGCTGGGGTTTGTCATCGGGGGCTTTCTGCCTGAACCTGGAAGAGAAAGCCAGCTCTCAGTGATGTCACAGAAGAAGATGGCAGCACAGGACCTTGACTGTAGCAGCAGAGCAGAGGATTGCAGTAGGACAGCACTGGATTAACTGTGCAGGTGAGTATGTGAAAAATATATAATACCAATACAGTGGTGCCTTCCCAATTCAAATAAATTGACAAGTGAAAAAAAGTGTAAATATCAATTGGATCAATGGATGTTTCCTGCTTTATTACTGAGTGTGCTATAATGAGTTTGACCATATGAAGAAGGATCTGGGATTCACTCCATGACCAAAAGCACCCTTGGGAGATCTTACAATGTCACCTACCTGTTAAAAGGGGTCAAAACCCTCTGGTGAGTGAGCACTTTTTTATGAACACAGGTAGTGAAGAGGTTGGGAGACTGGACTGATCCCACATCCTGTGAAGGACTTACATCATAGTGTAGCGTTGGGTTGTACACTTTGGTGGACTTTTTCTAAGTTATCAAGTTTGTTTACAGATGTGTTTATGAAATTCTGTCCTATCATTAAGAATTCAGCAAGCGCCTATCTTTATATGCATTTATATCTTAAAGTGAGTATGTGAATTTAGAACAACCCAGCATAATAGGGGAAGGGGTTAAAGGACACGTTCACTTTAAAAAAAATAAATTCCATTTTTTTTGTGGCTAAAATTGCATTTACTATTTTCCTATTTATTTATTTATTTATATATATATATATATATATATATATTGTATAAAAAAATTTTTTTTTTTTTTGGTGCCTGGAAAGCAGTTAGTCTGACAGGAAGACTCCATAAAACACCACGGGTCTCAACAGCGTCGTGGTAGTTATTTAGAACTACAAGTGGACAGCCGTAAAGACGCTCGGGACTTGTAGTTCATTAATTCACAGAACTCTGAATGAATGATGTGGTCGTGCAGGCAGAGCTAGTACGGGGAACTTCTCTCCATACTGCTGTACCGGGAGGGGGAGGGGCAGCGGCTGCAGCAGTGGGAACATGTTACGTTACCCTAAAAACAGGTGGAACATGTAACATGTTCCCCAAGGTGAACTTCTCCTTTTAAACAAAAAAAAAAGGGGGGAGTCATGTTCCCTCGTAACCTAAAGCTGATCTCCAGGAATGCATTTTATTGTATAGTTACATGTTATCCAGCATGGACCAATGTCTGTATGCATATGCCATTGCTGTGGGATTGCTGTCGAAGTCGAGAACCACTGTAGTAATTGCTGATGTCTTCTTGGTCCCATGTCGAGTATCTGCATAGTATACAGAAAGGGGTCGCTTGCTCAGCGCAGCACCATTCACATTTTTTTCAATATATACAAGGTGTTCTCTGATTGGAGGAGGTGGTGGGGTGGGGGTGATGACATCACAGTATAAATCCATGTGTGTGAGCTGTGCTCCTCCACCTTGTATCTGCTCAGTCCTCTCACCTTGTCTGCTCCTGTTTCTGTGCAGTCAGTGTGAACGGACACCGTGCCACGTGGGCAGTGCCGCCTGCCTGGAAGCCCCCCATTCCGTCTCCTTCCACTACATTGGCATACAGTCCCAGCTGCCAGTTCCTCGAGTCCTGTTCACCATGACGGCACCACGGTCTCTAGGAGATGGCCAACGCTTCACCATCACAAGAGGAAAAGGTCAGCGCGGCCTGGAAGTGCGGCAAGCAGGCCGCCACCGGGGAGAACTGTTCCTGACCAAATCACTGACTGGACCTGCTGAGATACAGGTAGACGTGGAGATGGCAGAAATGTCAGCACAGGGGTTGCTCGGGAGGCACATCTTTACTGTCACTCTGTTTGTATCTCAGTACCCATTCTAGACCCTGGTGAGGAGAGGGCCGATCTGCACTCTGCAGTATTATAGGCAGTGGCACCGCAGAGGAGGTCAGGTGGGGGCTTTTCGCTTCACTTTATATGTGAACATCCTAGTGCTTTTCCCAGTTTAATTGGCAGAGCTTCTATAACGTTGTGCTGGCAGATCACTGTGTTGACGGGTTGTGTTTTCTTTGGAGCAGAATCTAAATGGCAGTCTTAACATGGCATCCCTTGTTCTACTGAGAGGTGTTGTGTGACAGCTGCGATACGCTGGTGACAAGCCGCCATTCACAAGCAGGACTCTACAAACCACCTCACAGGGTCAGTAGAAGGGCAGTACTTCCTGGAGGCTGTGCTGTGTAAGCTCTCTCTGCTTTTGCATACAAAGTTCAGGTTTGAAGGTGGTGCCTGATGGCACATCTTAGCACCATTTTGTAAGGTTTTCTGTATGTGAGAGTTGGCAAAAAGCCTATAATAGGAGTTCCGGCATCCCCAGCAGGTGTGATTTCAGGGAGAAGGGTACAAGATGGATGAAGGACTGAATATGAATAGATAGGATGAGCGGTTTGCATATTAGGACTTAAAATGTTAGTTTTGACCAGAGTGTGCATTTCCTGTCAGCCAGAAATTATTCATCCAACACCTTCCCTCTCTGGTATATAATTGGTCAACAATATGCTGAGAGCATGAGCCCACTGCTACAGTGAGTGTGAGGGGTAGGGACTGAGCAGACAATGGTGACTGACTGACTGTCACCACTCTCTGCTCACAGCGGCGGTGAGAACTCAGTGGTCATGTGATTGCTGAGTTCTCACACTTAGAGCCGGCGGGGGGCCAAAGCTGCATCTACACAGGTAAGTATAATTGGGGGGAATGCCCTTTATTTCGTTAAAGGATAAGATGACTTTAAGAGAAAAAAAAAAATTTTTTTGCAGGTAAAAGTGTTTTTTTTTTGGGTTTTTTTTTTTTGGAGAGCCTATAAAGTATTGCACGCACCAGGGAGCAGCAAATCCCAAAGGTGAACTTATCCTTTTAAGGTAGATCTCCAGGTTTTACTTTGTGTGTTCTATGCACACACAACATCATTTCAAAGAGGGGCTTATGGAAGAAAGTTGTTTTTTTTCTCTCTTTAACATTCATTCAGAAATCAGAACTTATGGGTTGGTATAGCAGGCCTATTTTCAAGTGTATGCATTGCCAAAACCTTTTTTTTTTTTGACTGAGGAAAGCCGTGTGCCCCATAGGGGCGATTTCACTTCACTTCCTGTCCCAGAGACATAACAGGGAGTTAGAGGAAATCTCTCCACTGTAAGTGAAAAATAAAAGCTGCCTCCACTAGGATTTCCCTACTATTCCTGTAACATTTCTGGAATTCCCATCACTGCCTGGCCCAATAACACCAGGAAACCTAGAGGGTGAATCTATTCACGAGAGTAGTAAAAAATTTGATATAGTCTAACTCTTCTTACTGCTATCAGGAAAACAATTTAAGGCTTTATTCACTCTGGAGTGGTTTGTAGCTTAAATCTTGAAAAACGCTCACACTTATAAAAAAAAACAAAACAAAACATGGTGCCTGTTTGTGTGATCAGGTATGAACAGTCACGATAGAGAACCTTTTTTTTTTTTTTTTGTAAGTTTGAGCATTTTTGGAGCATCAAGCTACAAATTGCTCAAGTGTGACTGCAGCCTCCGAGTTGATGGTTAGAGCCAATTACTGGAGCTTCGCATAAGCTGATGTCTCTTCTGGAAATAAACATGTTTACTGTGCTGGAGAAATGTGTCTGTTGCCGTCGGTTGGGGGTGTTTATGGAGTGTCTGCTGGCAGTGCAGGTATGAATTAACCGCACATAAAAAACACCACCGCTGCCAGGGTATGGCATCACTTCATATAGGGAGCGAATCTATAACCGCTAGGGGCCACGCTGGGCTCACACAGGGCCACACAGCCCAGCTGTAGGAAGAGGCTGGGGTCAGGAGGGGTCGAACAGATCGCAGTAGGGGAAATGTGAGTACGTTACGAATCCGCAGTGCAAGGAGGAGACAGCGGCTTACAAAGGGCAGCTTGTGCAGTGGATGGAGGAACTGGCTGTCATTAGTCAGGTAAACAGCTTGAGGTAGAACCCGAATCCAGGAATAACATACTGTACATAACACAGATTAACTCATTCCCTGATCCCGCTGTCCTTCCAGTATACATTACACCACTGATGGGAAGATATGGAATATTATTATTATTATTATTATTCAGTATTTATAAAGCGCCAATAGTTCGCTCAGCGCTGTACATTACAAAGGGGGACAGAACATGTGACAGAACAATACCAATACAATGCGATACATGAGGGGATCGAGGGCCCTGCTCTTTCAAGCTTACAATCTAGGAGGGAGGGGATGGTGGCACAGGAGGAGATAGCTGTGGGGGATGGAGTGGTAGGAAGAGTGGAGGAGGTCGGCAAGTTAGCAGGGGGCGGGGTAGGCTTCCCTGAAGAGATGGGTTTTCAGGGTGCGCCTAAAGGAGAGGAGAGTAGGTGATAATCTGATGGGTTGGGGCAGGGAGTTCCAGAGGATGGGTGACACCCTGGAGAAGTCCTGGAGGCGGGCATGGGAGGAGGAGAACCAGGGAACTAGAGAGAAGGAGGTCTTGTGAGGAGCGGAGTGTGCGCTGGGCTGGGCGGTACTTGGATATTAGGTCAGTGATGTAGTTCGGGGCAGTATGGTGGACAGCTTTGTACGTCAGTGTAGGATTTTGAATTTGAATCCGTTGCGCAATCGGAAGCCAGTGGAGGGATTGGCAGAGGGGGGGGTGGCGGAAACGGAGCGGTTGGAAAGGTGAATGAGTCTGGCAGCCGTATTCAGGATGGACTGAAGCGGGGATAGCCAGCGGCGAGGCAGGCCAGTGTGAGGAGGGAGTTGCAGTAGTCGAGTCGCGATATGATGAGGGAGTGGATGAGCTGTTTAGTGGTTTCTGGGGTTAGGAACGTGCGGATTTTGGCGATGTTGCGGAGGTGGAGTCTGCATGAGTTTGTTAAAGAGTGGACTTGGGGCTGGAAGGATAGGTTGGAGTCCAAAATGACACCAAGTACTCTGGCCTGCGGGGCGGGTTTGATGGTGGCGTTGTTGGACATGATGGAGAAGTCATATGGGGGGGTGGTGTCCGGGCTGGAGGGAAGACAAGAAACTCGGTTTTGGAGAGGTTCAGTTTAAGGAAGTGGAGCGACATCCAGTCTGATATGTCGCTCAACACAGGTGTGTGATTCGGGCGGGAGACCGAGGGGGTGAGGTGGGGGTTGAGAGATAGATTTGTGTGTCGTCGGTCGGCATAGAGGTGGTAGTTGAAGCTATCATCTTATATGTACAGTTCTGTGATATAATCCCTCTGTACAATTGCATGCAGGGTATAGGCTCCATTGCAGGACACTCAAAAGGGGAAGTTCTCTGCTTTTTCCACCTCCCCACCCCCGTTCTCCCACTTTTGATAAGGATCTGCTCAGATTGCAATCTGACAGCACTTTCGGTTCTCCTCGCTTTGCCTGCAGGCCTCTGGGACATGTCACAGGTCCCAGGAGCTACTGAACCTTTCACAAAGTGCAGAGAGAAGCCATTTGTGAAGCTGTAAGATTAGACCGCTGCCTTCCCAAAGTAAACATGCAGGTGCTTGGGACCTGAATACCCAGCGAAGGACTGGCCCAGGTGAACACAGCGCTGGCTGCTTGGACAGAAAAGTGTTCTTTTATTAAAAGTCAGCAGCTACAGCATTTGTAGGAACTGGAGTATCCTAATCAGAACATGGACCTTAGCCCTACTAAACATCATTGAAATGAATTGGAACACCAACTGTGAGCAGGTCTTCTCATCCAACATCAGTACCTGATCTAAAAAAATGGAAACAAATTCCCAGAGACGCCCTCAAAAATCTTGTGGAAAGTCTTCCCAGAAGGCCCATTTCACAAGGGCTTCAACTTGAATAAGAGCAGTGTGAACTGCAAGCTTTGATTAGTTTTTCCAAGCCTTTCATGCATCTTTTAGCTCCTGTTTGGGAATGTTATACAAAGATCCTCATGGGAGTGCGAATTGTCACTTGCAGCTTGCTGAAAGCCTTCAGATGGTTTAAAGTTGTGCTGAAGCCTGCTAGTTGCTTGTTTAAAGTGGCAATCAGCAATCCCATTAAGATCTGTATATAACACTTCCAAAAAGGAGCGGATGGGCACTTGCAAAGCTTCAACAACCTTGCTGAAAGCTCTGCAAATGCTTTGTAAAAGCTTACTGTTCATTCTGCTCCTAAACAAACTGAATCACATGTGAAACAGGCTGAAGAGTGAGGCTTGCTACACCCACAAAAGGGGTTTGACCAGTTTGGGGTGGAGGAACTGGAATGTCCTGTACAAATTCTTGACCTCAACCTTACTGAACACAGATGAGCCAGGGCTTCTCATTCAATATCAGTGCCTGACCTCACAAATGGTCTTATGTGTGGTTCTGGCACTGGCTGATAGGGACTGTCCTGTGTTGCACAGACATTTAGGATGCCAAGTTGCTTATCTGGAATCTTATTTGTGTGGCCATCAATGGGAAGAGTTTCCTGTATGGGCTTTTGGCTGTTCTTGCTCCCATACATTTTTTGAAGTCATGTTCAACATTGCAATAGAGCATCTTAAGCTGACGGAATGCAACTAACCACCCGTATAAGAGGCATTCTTCCCACTGACACCCGGAAAATATTTTTAAGGGTTTCCCCAGGGTAAAAAAGGTTGATCCAAACTAACTGCAGACTTTCAGGACCTGGAACCCCTCAGTGCCCTGGAATATAATACCACAGGTGTAACCGTAGCAATTCCAAGTCATTATCCGTGCACAGCGCTATGTTAACATCTGTTTATTGTTAACTATATACAGTAAAAATGATATAAAGTAACACGGAGCCACTCCTGGAGTGATGTCTGTCCCGTCCATTGCTAGAAGGAGTCCTCATCCCGCAATGGGACAAAGTGGAGTGTCCTGCATCAGGTCCATGACACCGGATGGGGCGTTCAGTGCCTAGAGAAGTGCTTTCATAAAACCATGTCCAGGGTCAGCATCCAACAATTAAAGTGCATCAGCTGAAGTCTATGTTCGGTTTGGTTTCAGGACATTCTAAGCGGCAGGGGTCAGGGACTTAAAAATGAAACTGAAAACGTTATAATAAAAGTAAGTGTGAGTAAACATTATGGATTAAGTCTTGTGGCCAACAATGCTCTTTCTTCCTCTTTGGAAGGAGCTCCATTATCGCCAGGTCTTAGGTCCATGGAGTCCAGGAATAGGTGTGAAATGTTTCTAAACTTGTGGTGAGCTCGAATAGTGGAGTCCTCTGATGTGAATTAATACAGGGAGTCATACGGATGAAGGGTTCACTTCCTTTATAGAACACAAGGCAACTCTACCCAAAAAATGTTTCAGGCAGAAGGGGAAACCTTTACTGCTGACCATTGCTCACATCCCAGGTATAGCTCTGACTGGCTGACCTTGGCTTTTTGGGCCAAGTGACTACTGGCACCCTCTATATACCTCTACAGTAAGAATGGGGACAGCAGTCACTCGGCTGCAAAGCTGAATTCTCAGCCAGTCACAGCTGGGCCAGGAATGAGGAGAATCTGGTCAGCACAGCGAAAAACTGACATAGAAATCCTTCTCCACCTAAAACACAAAACTAAAAATTTTATGGAGTTTCTCTTCAAATGTCAGGCTGCTCCTCCATTAAATGATTGTGAGTTGGGTTGATTGTAATTGCTGAAGAAACAAGAAGATTAAAGAGCAATAATTGGGAGTCACTGAGAGATGCGGAAAGATACTGAAATGTCGGGATGGCATGGACAGCGAGGGTTTCCCTTTTATAATCATAGCTGGCTGTGGCTGATATTCCAACACACTTTGCCTGGGAAGGATTTTGATGCAAACATGGCGCCAGCACCCTCAGTGTTCTGTTTGGCATCTGTCAGCATCTGCAGAGGTAATTGCGCATGGCTGGAGAATGCTGGACATCTTGTGCTTTGTATGGTGAACTCACAGCTGCTGCAGGTGGATTAATTACACCCTGTGTTCATCAGTGACCCAATCATATTCAGCAATAAGCACAGTCGGGCTCCCAGGGCCACAATTTTAGGACGGGCAACTCCCTGCTGGCCTCCGACCTTATAAGGATTTATGAGCTTGCTCCCACCTCCACAGGGGGGAACAGAAGCCGAGATTGCGCTCATACCGATCCGCAGCTTCTTCCAGCTCAGTGTGTGTCAGCAATCCCAGAGCAAGCTCAGTACCCCATTTCCAGGTCTTCTTTCCGGCGTCTCTGGGTGAACAGCGAACTAAAGGGGTAAAGTTTGGCTTTGGCCTGGAATCTTTGTCCCGCGATATCTATTTCATACTGTCCTCGGTTGATGAACTCAGGAGTGACGGGGTTCTGGCTGTGAATGAAGCCCAGGCACACATGTCTGCCCAGAGTGTAGCTATAGGCACTGCTGGTGGTCTTGCCCACGAGCTCCCCATTGCGGTAGATGGGCTCCCCCCACCAGGGCCACAAGTCCAGGTCTGTGTCATGATCTTCCAAGATGAACATAGTGAATCGTTTCAAGATGCCCTCTTCCCGCTGCCGGAGCAAGGCATCCCGGCCGATGAAGTCATAGCCCTGCGGGGAGAACAGAAAAGAATGAGAAATATTCTTACAGCAGAACCACCTACCTCTCTACCCCCAGCTGCATCCCTGACACCACTGAGGATGTGCCACACAAGCTGCAGCGTTCTGGTGGAGCACTCCCTTGCCCCACAAAAAATGTGCGCAGACCACAGCTCTCTTCAGATTTCTGTTATAAACTTAGAAATTTAAAACTGAATTCTGGGGAGATGGAAAAACTGCCCTACCAGGAGCATGGGGTACGGTGGTACCCTAGATAAGAACGAGCAATAAACCTTTGCACTGTAGAGAGGCCCCACTACTAGGTAGAATGTTTAATTTCCCTCGAGTTCAGCTTTAACTAGAAGGCTGCAATTTTTTATTCTCCAGTGCTGATTACTTTACATTTTAGAGTAGCGGCAGGTTTTTACCATTTATGTCTTTTTAGGGAGATTTCCCTTCATTTTCTTCTCTGTGGACTGAAAGGATATTTTCCAATCTGAAGAAAATCCCATTAGCAAGTTGTCACACTATTCCCATTGTAAGATATCCCCCCCCCCCCCCCCCCCCGTTCCTGTTCTAGTGGCAACTCACATTTTTGGATGTAGCCATCCGTAAATCTAAATCTCCCTAACAGGGACACAGACAACAAAAACTGACAGAGGGTCTAACCCCTCACTACTCTATCCAGATCCTATTTACAAAAAAGTAATTTAATCTGCATAGCCAGAACAAATGTTAATGTTAGAAGTGATTTCTGAACAATTCTTGTACGTCTTCAATAGACAGGGTTATTTTAACCCAAATCTATACCAGACATTAAGTGCAAAAGACAGCCACCTTGTCCAGCTTGACTCGGAATTCGCGGCCACATTCCAGCGGGGTGGTGAAGGCATCCAGGTCCTGACCCCAGAAGGCGAAGAACTTCTCAATGCGCAGACTCCTCAGGGCGTAGTATCCGGCGTTACGGACTCCATACTTTTGTCCCACACTCATTATTTCATTATAGACGTGTAATGCGTACTAAATCAGGAGAAAAGACAAGTGAGACATAAGAGGTACTTACTAACCCCCCCCCCCCCCCCCCCCCCCCCCCCAGCCACCACACTCAGAAATAAGGGGAGGTCCACACTCAGACATAAGTACTGGCACTCACCTCAATGGGAATGTATAGTGTGAAGCCCGGCTCTCCGGTATGGGTCATGCTCATGACACGAATCGTTGGCGTAGCCCACACTCATCTCCTGTACAGGAATAAAAGACATGAGGCTTAGGATACAGACAGCAAGCCCTGAATCAGAGATGACATATCCGTTCCTTGCCTCACCTTACAGAACAGAGATGGGAAATGGTCGGGTGTCATGGGAGTGTAGGACAGCTCAGACAGTACATCCATGGCGCGTGGACCAATCAGGTTCAGAGCTGCAAAACCAGAGCTAGGGTGAATGCAGGCAGAAGTAAGATCCTCGAGTACATGTTGGTAAGTAGTGTCCCATGAGCTCCCTTTATACTATATGGGAGATCTAGAACATTGGATTTCTTTTTTTTTTTTATAAAGGGAGTCGCCAGAACTTCTATGCTTCTAAAATTGCACAAAAGAGCCAAAAGTTTCATAAAAGTGGCAAACAAGGCCAGCCACAGCCCAAATGACATCAGCTTCATAAAAGATGGCGGATAGCATGCCATACCTGTGTACTTCCAGGTGACGTCCTCCAGCAGTAAATCACTGTCACTGGGCATGTGCTGCTTCAACCAAGACCAGCAATGGACCTGCTGATCTGTAGGGGAGATCATGAAGAAACTACAAGAAAAGGATGAGTCAACCTAATGAGACACACGCATCGACTTCACCACCAGTGACCCGTCCTCCAGTCCTGGCACAACCCAGAAGATGGCACTCAGCTTGGAATGCAATATATTATTACTTACAATGGTGAATGGAAGATTAGAACCCCTGGGAGGTTTTTATTATTGTCTGTGTCCCTGCTGGCGGAATTCACCATCTCTATTTGTCCTGGTGTCACTAAGACAGAAATGATAGGAAATCCACATTGTAAGAAAACGATTAGAGGGAAAATCTTCCAATGGAGGCACCAATTGAGAATTGGTTTCACTTCTAGAGATTTTCTCTTGCGACCTTTTGTATCTTTAGGACAGAAAGTGAAGGGAAATCCCCCCATTGAGAACAAAGTAAAGTTTTGGGTTTCACTTTCTTCCCAGTGATAAAAAAAAAAACAAAAAACCTGGCTTCAGATATACTCAACTAGAGCCTGCCCAATTAACAGTTCCTAAAACTGAAGTTTAATCTGCTTATATTTAGCCTTCCCTCTGCCCCCATCCCCCTCCCATACACAGCCTAATGTAATTTTAAATAAAACATGGCTTATTTTAGACCCATTGATCTCATCACTGGATCTCTGTGCTTCTCTATACAATGCAGGAAGATCATGGCTGGTGGGAGGGGCCAGCAGGGTACTGTACATAGCTGAAAACATCACAGCACCCTGCCTCAGTACTCCTCCCAGCAGCCCTCAGTCATGATACAAGCAGTGGGCTGGCTCTTGGGAGGAGTCATGCAAATATTACAATGCCTTGATGGGTGGGTGTCAGTCTGGAGGGGTGGGCGTTTCTAGGCAAGATGTATTTGCATATGATGCGGAGCCTCCATGACTGAAATCTAGAAATGAAAGGGTTGGGGCACGGACCGTTAGGCTGGGGAATAAAGGGATGATGATGCTGGACGTCCTCCAGCCAGGCAATGAGGCGGGCTCTATCTGACTTGCTGCAGCTTCTAATATACATTGTGAGAAGCTCACAGTGTGCAGTGAAATCAGACTAAGTAATTTCCGTCCAGGAGAGGAGCCGGTACAACTGTGCAGGACTAAGAGGAAGGCGGAGGTCAGATTTAATATGTTGAAGAGTAATTACAACCTTTACAATCAGCCCTTTGATTGTCAGTCCTCTGTGTCACATGGGAGGAGACCCTCTCACCTGCGCTTATTGAGCCGCACCATACTGCAGTCATTCTCGTATCCTCCGCGCTCATTCAGCATCCCGGTGTGAACTATGTGCCCCACGGGAACATCCAAGTCATTGGAGAAGAGATACTGCAGGATTTCCAGCGCCTGATCCCCTGGAGACTGACAGATACATCACATCTTAATGCTACAATGAATATAATATGGTCCCTGAACCAGAGGCGACATCGGGATCTCAGCTTGTGCACACGTGGGGGAAGAACTAGGCAGAAATATTATTTGGACAATGAGGGTGCAACACAGACAAGAACCAGTCATTAACTTGTAGATGTCACCATGCCTAGTGTGCTTTGATGACCCATAAAGCCCAATCTGTCCTCATGAACCCTCTGCCAACAGGCACAATGTGCAGGCAATCTGCATACATGCAAATAGGCCGATTCCAGAGCAAAAATAATGACCGGTAATGGGCTTGTTACCCCCCCCCCCCCCCCCCCCCCCCCCAATCTGATGTGTAACCAGGGTAGAGAGAAATTCCGATGTCTTTCACCATTGACCAGCTTATGCCTCGTGGTCCCAGGACGGTGATGTCATTGGCAGTATTGCTAAACGGATTCATATCAGAAGCCCCAGAACCAGAATTGGGCAAATGCCCCTAAATTTGGCCTCATTCATATACATGAGTTAGCTAGAAGGTTGATCATTGCTTCCTGGTAGCACAGTAGGTACTGTGTAAAAGTAAGAACGTGACTGGTACTCTTTAGATGTCAGGGGTCTCCATACCTTTCAATAGCAGGGCCACATTGTATATTTTATAATTATTAATGGGCAAGAAAAAAATCCTCAGAGTCCCTGCCTTACATCAGGGTCTCCACATTAGAGTCTTTCTTACATCAGGGTCCCCAAGAGAGTGCCCTTTTACTTCAGATTTTCCCCTTACATCAGGGTCCCCCATCAGAAGCACTCTATACATCAGGGTCCCCATCAGAATCTCCCATACATCAGGGTCCCCATCAGAATCTCCCATACATCAGTCTCCTCTCCTTAGAGCCTTTCTTACATAGGAGTCCACCACCAACTTCAGATTTCCCCCTTACATCATCTTCCCCATCAGAATTCCTCTTTACATCAGGGTTCCCATCAGCACTCCCCCTTACATCGGGGCTCCCATCAAAGCCCCACCCTTGCATCAGAGTCCCCAACAGTGTACCTCTTACTAATGTAAGTGTGGTGGAGGCTGCAGGGTGGGAACTGGAGGCAGGCAGAGCAGGTCTGGCCAGAGAAAGTTCCCGCCTCCTGTGAATGCTCATGTCATTGCTAGTGGTCCTAGCAATCAGTGATGGAGATGATGACAGCGGAGGGAACTTGCACTGGACGCTGTAGAGGGGGGTTGAAATGAAAATTAAAAAATGAGGCCACTCCACTGACCCTAGCTGCGGGCCAGGTAGTATGGAGACCCATGCTGGAAGTAATAAGGGGAGGAAACACATGCGGTCTACAACAATAAAAACGTCTTCAACTGTGACACCCAATAATATGCAAATGATACAATGTGGGTGTGTCCTGCTCAAGTGTTTTTCTACTTTTTCTTTTTTCTTTACTTTTTTTTTTTAAACCAAACACCCATAGTAAGTAATCTAAGGTGGAGGAAACAAGAGGAGGAAGTACAGGGGGGGGGGGGAACATTCACAGCTGAAAATAAAGACTTACAGGAATCTGGTGAGCGAGACGGCACAGAAAGAAACAAAAAAAAAAAAAAAAAAAGACGGAATCAGCAAACAGACACAAAGTGTGGTCAGGGATGCGAGCATTGTGGGGGAGGGAACTCACGCTGATCTCGAACTTGGTGAAGGATGACATGTCGATGACGCATACGGCCTCCTTACAGCACTTCACCTCCGAGCCGACAATATCGAACCAGTCCGGCTTGTAGAAGGTTTTACTCTGATCCAGGGCCAGCAGGTCTGCAGAGAAAGGATGGTGCTAATTAGTGACTCCGCCTACCTGATATGGTACCTTTGGGGTGTAGTAGGAGGAGTCTCAAAGACTTCAACAAAAGCCAAATTGAAGTTTAATGGCTGTATATGAATTCATGATGCAACCTTGATACCAGCAGAAGGTCAAATATTAGCTAAAGCATGGTGGTCCTCTAAAGCCACCACTGCACAAGGTAAAAACAAGAAGATGGCGGTGATCCTCCAGGATGTTATGTGAAAGTATGAACCTTCATAGGTTGAGCACCACCCCCAGTTCCTATATCTGCAAGGGACTGGTGTTGCATTGAACTGTTTAAGGTTTCTGTTATTCTGATTTACGCTTCCATCTAGTGGTGGTTTTGGGCCATTCCTACTTGTTCACTTACGTGATTTGATATTGTCCTCTGTCCCTCCCTCCTGTTTCGTGCTAGTAAGTTCAGTCTTAGTTAGACCCTCCCCGCTTTTTTCCATGTTCCCTCAGTCACTGTTAGTTCTTTGCAGAGACAAAGCATAGGAAAGTTATGGTGTTGTAACACTTAAAAAAAGCTAAAAAAAAATATTGTATGAATTGCACCTGTGAGAAGTAAAATTGCATTGGATTCAAGTTACGCTGCTTGTGGATGGTTCTCAGTCAGCAGAAGGCCATATTGTCTGGACAGATTGGATCTATGGCGGTATATCAATGCATAAAGCTGGATATGAAACAGAACAGTTGATGTGGATCCACCCCCAGTCTCCTCCATCCCCCAGTAACCCACTCTGCTGGTTTCCTACTTCTTTCCCTTCTATACTATTAGGTCTACATGTATCTCTGGACATATCCCCATCTGATATATGCATAGAGCTACTAGGCCACCCACCAAAAGTGTTAATTTAACCGACATGCCAAAATTCTTCTACCTCCATCTTGGCTCCAGAAAAGAACCACTAAGGCCTACAAACAAGCATGACCATGTTCAAGGCATGCAGACAGGGGCACACGTATCCTGACGACGGCAGGAGGGCCCGGGATCTGGTGTCCCAGTACTCTGGAGATACATTTCATTTCTCTTGCTTGTGTGTCATTTGAGCTTATGTAAGCAGAATTTGTTCTTAGAACTCTAACTCAGGATGCAGCAATACCCTCCTTGCCACAGCAGAAGACAATGCAGACAAGGACTGTCGAGCTCTATATGAAAGCAGTGATCTATCTACAGCAGTCCAACATGCCCCACCTTAGTACAACTACAAATCTGCAACCCCTGAGGGGGAAGAACAATTGTTGGGGTCCCTCACCTTTTCCAGGAGGTACAAAATATTTGGCTCTCTCAAAGCCATGCTTTTCCATCCATCGGGCCCCCTGGGCATCAAGCCGGTCATAGAGAGGGGAGGTTCGCAGCTGCCGTCCAGTCTGGAAGTCCCATCGGGGCACTTTTAGATCATAGATCAAAGCTGGAAGAGGCCAGATGAGAAATATCATAAAGATGATTAAGAGAAATTTGTTATTTCTTAATGTGCCCATACTGGAAGGGATCCGATGATTTGGAGATGAATGATCAGACTTTCAGAAGACATTCATATTCAGAGTGTGCTGGCAATATTCCTCTCTTAGTGAGGCCCATTTATAAAATGTACCAATTAATTTCTTGCTGTTTTTTATACTGGAAATATCAGTTCTGACCGTATCAAAACAAAGGTGGGAGGAGCCTCAGTGCTCCTTACTGTGGTGCAATAGTTTGGAATGGAATTTAGCTGTGAAATCAGGAAACATGAAGCATAAAAAACAGAGGACAGCCAACAAAACTCTCCGATCACTGGACTCCCTGAGACACAGACGTGATTGAGAGATGATCAGAGGATTGCTCTATATCTGTTTACTCCACATACTTACGCATGACCTCCATCACTCTGTGACGCAAGAAGGTCCTGCTGCTCTGCAGGGCCCCAAAACGCTTGATGTCCAAAGGCCACACATTATCCTGGGGGTAACCATGGACCATCCATTCTGCAAGGAACCTGGGAATTAAGAGGACAAAAATCAGAGCCGGATGTAGAATCTCGTAGATAGCTTATAACTTCACTGGGAACAGATGGTACAAGGAATGGGCGGGGCATTTACAAGCGGTACGCACCTCCCAGCTCCACCTCCCAGTGAGCAGCCTTGAGAGTTCATCCCGGCCAACACAAAATACTTGCATAGTGTAGGGCTCTCCCCCATCACACATCGCATATCAGGGGTGAAGGACTCCGGACAGTTGACCAGGCGTAAGATTTCCAGCGCTTCCAGGGACGGCATCCGGCGCAGCAGAGCACTGAGTAGAGGCTCTGCAAACAAGTCAGAGACAAGTCAAAACAAATGGCCAAGACCACAACTCCCTTCCCACCCCCTGCATCTTTGCACCCCTCCTCCTGTGCCTCTGCACCCCTCCCTCTGCACATCCTAATCCCTTCCCCTGCACATCCTAATCCCTCGTCTTGTGCCTCTGCACCTCTGAATCCCTCATCTTGTGCCTCTGTGCTCCTTCCTCTGCACCCCGTAATCCCTCCTCTTGTACGTCTGCACCCCTTCCCCTGCACTTCTGAATCCCTCCTCTTGTGCCTGTGTGCTCCTTCCTCTGCACCCCCTAATCCCTCCTCTTGTACGTCTGCACCCCCTCCCCTGCACTTTCGAATCCCTCCTCTTGTGCTTTTTCCTCTGCACCTCCTAATCCCTCCTCTTGTACGATATGAAGAAAAAAGCAACCGAATGCCTGAGCTCCTGCGCTGGACAGTGGACTCCACAATGTCAGTATCCTCACATGTGTATGGAAGGAATGAAAGCTATGCTGCCCTCAACAGACCAGGGAAATCCAGATAAAACTCTATGAAAAGACTAAAAGAGGGCGCATGGGCCTAGTGCATTACCTTTAAAAACGGAATTTATTGATAAAAAGTAAAATACAAAGAAATAATCAAATGGAGAGCATGTCACAAGAAATGCAGCGTGGTCCACTCACCCTGAAGGTGGTCTGGTGGGGGACTATAGACCTCTAGGTAGCTGATGCCCAGGGCTCTGAGGAAGAGGCACAGCCTCGAAACGCGGCAGTAATCACCTACCTAGAGGTCTACAGTCCCCCACCAGACTACCTTCAGGGTGATTGGACCACACTGCATTTCTGGTGACATGCTCTCCATTTGATTTTATTTCTTTGTGAGCATTTTACTTTTTTATAAATAAATTCCATTTTTAAAGGTAATGCACTAGGCCCGTGCGCCCTCTTTTTGTCTTTTCATATACCATCCTCTTGTACATCTGCACCCCTTCCCCTGCATTTCCAAATCTTTCCTCTTGTGCTCCTTTCTATGCACCTCATAATCCTTTTTCTGCCTCTGCACCCCTCCCTTTGCACCTCCTAATCTCTCTTCTTGCTGGTTTGCACTCCTTCCCCTGTACCTCCAAATCCCTCCTCTTGTGCCTCTGTGCTCCTTCCTCTGCACCTCCAAATCCCTCCTCTTGTGCTTTTGTGCTCCTTCCTCTGTACCTCCAAATCCCTCCTCTTGTGCCTCTGTGCTCCTTCCTCTGCACCTCCAAATCACTCCTTTTGTGCCTCTGTACATCACTCCCTCCCTCTGTACATCCTAATCCCTCCTGCACACCTTCCCCTGTACTTTCAAATCCCTCCTCTTGCACCTTTATCCCTGCACCTCCACAGCCCTTCCCCTCCGAATGCCTCCCCCTTCACTGCCAACAGTTTGCTCAGCGCTTTACAATATAACGGGAGACAATACAGCAACAATACAGTTCAATACAAGAGGGATAGGAGGGCCCTGATCCTGGGAGCTTACAATCTAGGAGGGAGGGGCTGGTGGTACAAAAGGTAATAACTGTGGGGGATGGACTGTTAGGAGGAATAGAAGATTCCATTATTAGCTGAAGACATGATAGGCTTTCTGAAGAGACAGGTTTTCAGAGATCTCCTAAAAGTGGGCAGAGTAGGCGATAGTCTGACAGATTGGGGTAGAGAGTTCCAGAGGATGGGGGAGGCTCTTGAGAAGTCCTGGGAGCAGCATGGGAGGAGATAAGGGAACAGGATGTTGTGTGAGGAGCGGAGAGTACGGTTTGGGTGATATTTGGAGACAAGATTGGTGATGTAATTTGGGGCGGAGTTATTAATGGAAAAGAGAATGTGTGACTTTACCGAAATGGTCCCAGTCTTCCTGCAGGTTCTGAATCTCCAGCTGGTTGCGTCCCTCGGTGAAGATGGGTTTGGGGTTCTTCTCGAAGCCTCCAGACAGGATTCCACCTTGCCAGCTGCGGATGTAAATCCTGCCGTCGGGATCCACCACAGCTGAGGGCAAAACCAGAGTGTGAGATGTTACGGAGGATGCTACGTCAGACGATTGTACATTTCTTCCCTTCCTGGGAACGTCAGATATTCTTTGAGAGACTTGTAACGCCTCTTTAAAGAAATCCTGTCATTGAGGGCAAAGTGTCTACTGATAGCTCCTCCCACCAGTACCTTATACTCACCAATCTGGACCCTCTCAGTGCCTCCCTGCACACAGAAACCATCGCAAACAGAGCAAGGCTTCAGGGCATGGGAAGCATGTGACCTCCCACATGTGACAATGCTCAGCCAACCACCAGGCCTGAATACTGCCACATAAGGAGGGGCAGTGACATTTCACATGGGTAAGCTCTGACAGTGGAGCTTACCCAGGGCAGCAGAAAGGAGGTAAAGGAGCATTGATGGGCGAAGTTGTTGGGGGAAGAGTGTTAAGCTGGCTCCGGATATTATTTCTGGTTAACCATTGAACTGGAACAAGCATGCACTCAGTGAAAGCTTAAAGGTCTGAACTACAACCCAGAATTTTTGTCTGGACTTCTAAAGAAACATGAAAGATGACAGCAAATCTACTTGCACAGCTGTTCATCCATTGAACCTGTATATGAATTAATTCTGTGAAAATTCTCAGGCTACATTCTCTGCAGATCAAGTGTTATTCATTGAAAAGTAAACTGTGTGAATAGCAAATTACCACATTATAGCCACTAGATGGCACTGACTATCACAGGAAATAAATATACTCCTCAGCTTCATCTAGTGGCCATAATGTGGTATATTCCCCATTCACACATTCGATCTGCAGAGAATATAGCCTGTGAACATTCAATTTCCCCATTCACAATTCGATCTGCAGAGAATATAGCCTGTGAACATTCAATTTCCCCATTCACACATTCAATCTGCAGAGAATATAGCCTGTGAACATTCAATTTCCTCATTCACACAGAACACATTTTATTACTTTAAAGACGAGGACGGCTCAAAGCTGAATCTGCACTCTGATTATTACCAATGTGGAGAATACAGGGTGTGATGTCGTAGCTGGGACAGGCCATTACTATATACGTGGCACATTGATGTGGCTATGAGGCATCCAACTGGCTGTTCAGTCACGTGACCTTGCTGTGTAAAAGGCTGTGATGTGTATAATACGTACTGGGTGTGCTGTCCCTCAGGGGCGTGGCCACGGGGCGGGTCAGGAGGTAGAAGTGTTCACAGGCGTGCAGCGGGATGCTGACAGGCTCCTCATTGGACAGGCCGAGCTCATAGGCCCACTGCAATGGAAGAGCACATCGGGTTACACCGTGAGCTCACATCATCATCATCATCATCACAAATATCTCATTGCATTTTATTCCATCACATTATTCCACTTCTGTGTTTATGGTCCCCTATGGCCACTTTTCATCTAGAACACAAAATGGTCTTGTCTTGGACGGAGGACCACTTTAGGGTGACAGACTTCCCGATTACCTGTCCTGCGCAGTTCACAAAATACTCGCACTCCACCTGGCCGCGGTCTGTGTCCACTCCGCTGACGTGGCCTTTCTCTACCAGAACGTGGTTGACCGTGGTGAGTTCATGGACCTGAGCACCTGGTGGACAGACGAGAGGACGGTGGGGGTCAGTGCGCCCTGCGGATAACGGCAATCTATATATCTGAAAGAACACCTGTCTGTGATGCCTCAGGAGCTAGATTCTGCCTTTCATTCCCCCATACTGCACCGGGAGAACCATAAAGGAGAGCTGGATTCAGCAACAAAAGCGGTAATAGACGCTTCCTCCTCCTTCCATACTATGGAACCAACTACAATACATCCCAGAGACGCTTCCTCCTCCTTCCATACTATGTAACCAACTACAGTACATACCATCCCAGAGACGCTTCCTCCTCCTTCCATACTATGTAACCAACTACAATACATCCCAGAGACGCTTCCTCCTCCTTCCATACTATGTAACCAACTACAATACATCCCAGAGACGCTTCCTCCTCCTTCCATACTATGTAACCAACTACGCTTCCTCCCTCCTCCTATCCAGTACACTACAATAACATGCCAGAGACGCTTCCTCCTCCTTCCATACTATGTAACCAACTACAATACATCCCAGAGACGCTTCCTCCTCCTTCCATACTATGTAACATACTATGTAAACTACAATACATCCCAGAGACGCTTCCTCCTCCTTCCATACTATGTAACCAATTACAATACATCCCAGAGACGCTTCCTCCTCCTTCCATACTATGGAACCAATTACAATACATCCCAGGGACGCTTCCTCCTCCTTCCATACTATGTAACCAACTACAATACATTCCAGAGACGCTTCCTCCTCCTTCCATACTATGTAACCAACTACAATACATCCCAGAGACGCTTCCTCCTCCTTCCATACTATGTAACCAACTACAATACATCCCAGAGACGCTTCCTCCTCCTTCCATACTATGTAACCAATTACAATGCATCCCAGAGACGCTTCCTCCTCCTTCCATACTATGGAACCAATTACAATACATCCCAGGGACGCTTCCTCCTCCTTCCATACTATGTAACCAACTACAATACATTCCAGAGACGCTTCCTCCTCCTTCCATACTATGTAACCAACTACAATACATCCCAGAGACGCTTCCTCCTCCTTCCATACTATGTAAACTAAAACAATACATGCCAGAGACGCTTCCTCCTCCTTCCATACTATGTAACCAACACAATACATCCCAGAGACACTTCCTCCTCCTTCCATACTATGTAAACTAAAACAATACATGCAAGAGGAGCATCCTTCTCCTTCCATACTATTTATCCAACTACAATACATCCCAGACACACTTCCTCCTTCTTACATACTATGCAACCAACTTCAATACATGCCAGAGACGCTTCCTCCTCCTTCCATACTATGTAACCAACATGCACTATGCAATCAACAATGTTACAGGTGACAACACAGGAGCATAATGGGAAGACAAGGACAGAGTGTTATCACCCTAAAACAGGAAGTGTCTGAACAAGGACCTTACCTTTACTCCGTGCAGCGGTCACCATGGCAAGTGTCACATCTGAAGTGGAAACCACAGCATCCTCTGGCACGTACATGGCACCAACCAGATCATGAATATTAATGAGGGGGTGGAGTTGGCCTACTCTCTTTGGTGTAATGATCTCACATGGTATTCCCTTCATCCTAAAAAAAAAAAAAAAGACAAAATATCACTTTACAATCATTAACAGCTCTAAGACATTATAATGGCTGCTGGAACTTTCCTAACCTCAGCCGTGACATCATCCGTCGCAGAGAGATGAGTCGGTCCTGCGTCTGAGCCAGGAGAATGGTGCCTGTCCTGGTGTACCCTACAGGAAGAGCGAGAGTCAGCAGATGCTTCTACAACATGGAGGAACTTTTCCAAGACTTTAAACCACAGGTTATGTTACTGCCAAAAACCTGTGTGAGAGGCTTGGGATAGAGGCTGCCAATCTACAAGCTGAACACTTCTCAGCCAGCACAGTTGAACCTGCAGATGGCATCACTGCAGCCTAAGAGTCAAACTTCCATCTAAGGTTTCTCACACAGGCATTTTGCTTCATTGAGTGTCTCTATGAAGACCAGTTGAAAATTCTGTGCTGCATTTTATGTGTTAATGTGTTGGGCTTGATGACAAAGGGTTAATTATGAGTTGTGAAACCCCCTCCAAAAAAAGTTCCTGCACTGCTCAGCAGTTTCAGTTCCCGGTGTACAAGGAACAGTGTTGTCTCATGGCACATACGTGGCAGAGATTGAAAGGAGGTGGATCACGCCACAGTGTAAATGCTGAGCTGCTCACTGCCCATCATCACCAGCCTAGCTCTGCCCAACAGACTACCCAACAATTTCCTGTTCCCCCGAGGCTCCTCCAAACCCCCCACCCCAAGAGACTGAGAGATACAGAGCAATATTGTTTATAAACATTGTTCATGTGGGAGATACAAAGTAGCATTGTTTATAAAATTGATCAAACAGGAAATAAAGAAATACAAAGGAACATAGTTTATAAACATTGTTCAGACAGGAGATAGATAAATACAAAGTAGCATTGTTTATAAACATTGCTCAGACATCTGAGTCTCAGTGTTATGGGATAGGACACATGTATCACCTATGCTTTCTACAGAGTCCTTGATGTCCACGTTGTAATCCCTGGCTCACCTGTCGGCACTCCCGTCTCCGCCTCCAGCTGCTGGTAAAGTCTGTTGGAATATTCCGCCATTTCAGTCTCTATAGAGATGTGTTTGACGGTACTCACTGCCCCGGCACAGAATCGCGTGGAACCAGCCCCCAACCTGAAAAAGTCAGAGACCTGGATCAGAGAGGAAGCAGATTTCCATATGAGCAGCAATCTGCTGTTATGGTGCAGAATTATGGGAGGAGTCAGGGACAAGGGAAAGTCATACACAGAAATTGGGTGAAATGGACAGAAACCAGAAGGCCTCCTGCAAAACAGGAAAAGTTTTTCAAATAAGGACAATGTTAGGAAACAGAAGACTGAGGTGTCCCCGGGACAGCCTGGCATTTGGCATTATGAGTACAAATTATGATTGGGTTGTACTGCGGCCGAACAGGACACAGAAAAGAAACCATGCCAGCAGAGGGCGCCCTCACTTACCTGCCCTGCTCCAGTAACAGGATGTCATGCCAGCCCAGCTTAGTCAGATGGTAGGCCACAGATGCCCCCATGATGCCACCTCCACAGATAACCACTTGGGCCCGAGGGGGCAGGGGCTGGACCTCTGTGGAGGCCGATCGCTGTTGTGCGCAAACGCACCGCCAGCCCCTCCATCTTATGTGGCTGCGGAAATCTGCCAGCAGGCGGGCGTGCATTGTGGAGGGTCAGAGGATGATTCCACCACGGGATCTGCAGAAGGAGAAAGACAAGAAGAGTAAAGATGTAGAAATACTCCTTCCCCTCCCCCCCCAGAGTTAAATCCTAGAGGACAGGGAAGTCACATCTGTTACTATATGCGTCCCATGGATGACAAACCAACCTTGAGGTGACACCAGAGCAGAGCTGACACCAGTGACTACAGAGCTCCATGAATGTACTGACTACCATCACCCCTCCCCCACCATGATTGTCGATCTGAGACCCCAAACCATGCCAATGACACCTTCAAATCACCTAACCACAGCACAGACTATATTACTATATATAAAGACAAGAAATACAATGTATAATATGCAGGTTCCTGGGATTTCCTCCTCCACGTCTTACAGATCGGGGGAGGTGCAGCACACAATGATAATAATGACCCCATTCTCCAATGTTAGTCCAAGCCAAGGTAACAACAATGTACCACAATGGGGTGTATTTATAAAAATTTGAATAACCATTTGCCCTGTGAAAGTGCATATACATTCATTCTGTATAAATAAGGCATAAATAACGAATGTTATTAGGATACTTTCTGTGTTGGACGAATGATTTTCACGGAATTAAATGGGAAAATACCTTACTTGGCCAGTAGATGGCACCAAGTATCATAGGAATTTCCTAGGGTACCTAGCACCATCTAGTGGCCAAAGAAAATTATATTACTTTCTTAAATCAATAAAAAGCATTCATCCAACACAAGAAATAGCCTAATAACATACGTTTTTTTGCCCCATTTATACAGAATGAATGTATATGCACTCTCATTGGGCAAATGGATATATATGAGCACTCTCATTGGGCAAATGGATATATATGAGCACTCTCATTGGGCGAATGGATATATATGAGCACTCTCATTGGGCGAATGGATATATATGAGCATTCTCATTGGGTGAATGGCTATTTAAAAAAAAAATATAACCCCAAGTATTTTCTGGTCTCTGTCAGCAAACATATGGTGACCCCTCAGGACGGCCCCCTTCTTGAATCTTCATCGTTTTTGTAATAAATAGAAGATTTTGGCTTCCATTTATCACTGACACGAGAGCCCATTAGAGTTTAAAATATCAAAACCAGCTTCTGATGGAATATTAACCTTCAATCCAAAGATTCCCTCACTGTATGTTTTCAGCTACTAGATGTCCTCAGTCTGATTGTCAGAAGCATTCACCCAACTTCTTCTGAGCCCAAGTCACCCTGAACCCACCCCCAGTCTGACTGGACAGTGAAAAGAGAAGCAGCACAGTGATGGGCTCATCTCTCTATCACTCTGCTCTCTCCTCCTATCAGCATGCTGGTCAACACATGAACTGATTGGTTCCTTGCACTGGATCTCCCTCTCCTAGTATGGACTCTGCAGTACAGGGACAACAGGAAGCTAATAACATTCAGGGACTTACACTGCTAGCATTTAATGATATAATAATGATTACAGAGCTACATTGATTTGTGTTTTAGATCTGCCTAGAATTCTGTCTTATTACCCAGAATATCAGCCCCTGTCCCCGTTCTAAAAAGCAGCACTCTGTAATGCACAGCGGGTGTCCCCCCTCCATTACAGACCTGGGTTGGGGTTCTATACATACACACATCACATCCTGTGTCACCCCAACACAGAACTAGACAGGGTCCATTGAGAAATGGATGATGAGCTGGGTGGAATGCATTAATATCAGATTTATCCTGGATCATCCACACAGGAGAGATGGCAAAATAGTCGGAGGAGTCTCATTTGTGGTTGTCAGAGGCCAAGAGAGGAGTCTCTGAGACACCCAATACAGGTCATGTAACCCAATATGAGAAGAGACCCTGGAACACCCAATACAGGTCACGTGACCCAATATGAGAAGAGACCCTGGAACACCCAATACAGGTCACGTGACCAAATATGAGAAGAGACCCTGGAACACCCAATACAGGTCACGTGACCCAATATGAAAAGAGACCCTGGAACACCCAATACAGGTCACGTGACCAAATATGAGAAGAGACCCTGGAACACCCAATACAGGTCACGTGACCAAATATGAGAAGAGACCCTGGAACACCCATTACAGATCACGTGACCCAATATGAGAAGAGACCCTGGAACACCCATTACAGATCACGTGACCCAATATGAGAAGAGACCCTGGAACACCCAATACAGGTCACGTGACCCAATATGAGAAGAGACCCTGGAACACCCAATACAGGTCACGTGACCCAATATGAGAAGAGACCCTGGAACACCCAATACAGGTCACGTGACCCAATATGAGAAGAGACCCTGGAACACCCATTACAGATCACGTGACCAAATATGAGAAGAGACCCTGGAACACCCAATACAGGTCACGTGACCCAATATGAGAAGAGACCCTGGAACACCCATTACAGATCACGTGACCCAATATGAGAAGAGACCCTGGAACACCCAATACAGGTCACGTGACCCAATATGAGAAGAGACCCTGGAACACCCATTACAGGTCATGTGACCCAATACGAAAGGACTCCCCGAAAGACCGTATATAGGTCATGGGACTCAATATGAAAGAAGTCCTCGGAACACCCAATATGAAAGCAGTTCCTAGAACACACAGTGCAGGTCATGTAACCCAATATGAGAAGAGACCCTGGAACACCCAATACAGGTCACGTGACCCAATATGAGAAGAGACCCTGGAACACCCATTACAGGTCACGTGACCCAATATGAGAAGAGACCCTGGAACACCCAATACAGGTCACGTGACCCAATATGAGAAAAGCCCCTGGAACACCCATTACAGGTCACGTGACCCAATATGAAAGGACTCCCCGAAAGACCGTAGATAGGTCATGTGACTCAATATGAAAGGAATCCTCGGAACACCCAATATGAAAGCAGTTCCTGGAACACACAGTACAGGTCATCATGTGACCCAATACAAGAGAAGTTTCCGAAACACCCAGTAGGGGTCATGTGACTCAATGTGAAAGGAGTCCCTGGAACACCCAATACAGGTCATGTCCCCAGGACACCCACTATAGGTCATGTGACCCAATATGAAGGGAGTCCCCAGGACACCCAATACAGGTCATGTGACCCAATATGAATGGAGTTCTTGACACACCCAGTACGGGCCATGTGACCCAATACGAGAAGTCCCTGAGACACCCAATACAGGTCATGTAACCCAATATGAGAAGAGACCCTGGAACACCCATTACAGATCACGTGACCCAAAATGAAAGGAGTCCCCGAAAGACCATATACAGGTCATGTGACTCAATATGAAAGGAGTCCTCGGAACACCCAATATGAAAGCAGTTCCTGGAACACACAGTACAGGTCATGTGACCCAGTACAAGAAGAGTTCCCGAAACACCCAATAAGGGTCAGGTGACTCAATGTGAAAGGAGTCCCCGGAACACCCAGTACAGATCATGTCTCCAGGACACCCAGTATAGGTCATGTGACCCAATATGAAAGGGGTCCCCAAGACACCCAATACAGGTCATGTGACCCAATATGAATGGAGTTTTCGACACACCCAATACGGTCATGTGACCCAAGATGAGAAGTCCCTGAGACACCTAATACAAATCACGTGACTCAATATGAGGATAGTCCCTGAGACACCCAATACAGGTCATGTGATCCAATACGAGAGGAGTCCTGGGACATCTAATGGGGGCCATGTGACCGGAGACATATCTCTACATCCTGTGTGATGTATATAAAGTGGGTAAAATATTATTTGATCCCCTTCAGATTTTGTAGGTTTGCCCACTTACAAAGAAATGAAGAGTCTATAATTGTTATCATAGGTGTATTTAAATGGTAGAAACAGAATATCAACCAAACATCCAGAAAACACGATACAAATGTCATAAATGGAGTTGCAGTTTAGTGAGTAAAAGAAGTATTTGATCCCCAAGCAAAACATGACTTTGTACTTGGTGGAGAAACCCTTGTTGGCAACCACAGAGGTAAGACAATTCTTGTAATTGGTTACCAGGTTTGCACACATCTCAGGAGGGATTTTGGTCCGCTCTTCTTTACAGATCTTCTCTAAATCCTTAAGGTTTCTTGGCTGTCGCTTGGCAACGCAAAGTTTCAGCTCCCTTCATAAATGTTCTCTAGGATTAGGTTCTGGAGACTGGCTAGGCCACTCCAGGACCTCAATGTGCTTCTTCTTGAGCCACTCCTTTGTTGCCTTGGTGGTATGTTTTGGGTCATTGTCATGCTGGAACACCCATCCATGACCCATCTTCAGTGTTCTGGCTGAGGGTAGAAGGTTCTCATCCAAGGTTGTACAATACATGGCCCCGTCCATTGGCCCCTCAGTGCGGCAAAGTCGGCCTGTACCTTTATGCTTGGGACTGTTTCTCTGCTAATGTTTCCACCTCCGTGCTTGACTGTAAGGATGGTGTTCTTAGGGTCATAGTCAGCATTTTTCTTCCTCCAATTATGGCGAGTCGAATTAATGCCAAAGAGCTCCATTTTGGTCTCATCTGACCACAGCACTTTCTCCCAGTCATTCTCTGAATCATTTAGATGTTTATTGGCAACCTTCAGACGGGCCTGTATATGTGCCTTCTTGAGGAGGGGGACCTTGCGGGCGCTGCAGGATTTCAATCCATGGCGGCGTATTGTGTTACCAATAGTTTGTTTGGTGACTGTGGTCCCAATTGCCTGGAGATCATTGACAAGCTCTTCCTGTGTAGTTCTGGGCTGATCCCTCACTGTTCTCATGATCATCCTTACCCCATGAGGAGAACTCTTGCATGGAGCTCCAGACTAAGGGCAATTGATGGGCATTTTGTATTTCCTCCATTTGTGAATAATCACTCCAATAGTTGTCTCCTTCTCACCAAGCTGCTTGCTGATGGTCTTGTAGCCCAATTCCAGCCTTGTGCAGGTCTACAATCTTGTCCTTGACATCCTCTGACAGCTCTTTGGTCTTGTCCATGGTGGTGC